CTTACGAAAGAATGATCAAGTGCGAAGCTGGCCAAATGAAAGCCTTCATTGGCAATCTTCAGAGAGTATAGGTATGTAGTAAATTCAACTGCTGAATTCCCTAAGTCTGTTTTAATGAATATTGATAGTACTACTAAATCTAAAAAAACCTGACTGAAACTTTATTGAAAAGACTAGTCTTTTACTAAATAAGATATAAGTATAGTATAGTATAATATAATAATAAGACTGAATAGTCTTATTATATATATAATATATTGTAATTATACTACAAAATTATTATAACTTAATTTCTTATTTAAACTTTGCACTTTTGTAAATACTTTATATATATTTTTATTTTATGCATTTTCTTATATATTCCTTTATAGTACACACTAACAACCTTTATATTTTATAACCCCGTCTCCATATGGGGCACGGGTTCGATTTTATTAGAAGGAAAATAGTTAATCAGACTTCTGTGCTCTGCTCGGCCAGAGATATGTATTATGTTTCCTCGGTTGTCAAACCCAAGACCTTAAGCGCTTAACACTATGCGCGTAACCATTGTGAATCGACAGTTTACGATGTACATAGAAAAAAATACGTTAACATGTGGAATAATTTAACAACGTTACAACAACAATAAGCGCGTTTAGTGGACATTGTTATCTTAAAAGCTCAAGAGGCTTTAAATGACTTTAAATTCGGTGAGTGCGGCTTTCATTTAGCACACGTCAGCCATGAACTATTAATCTTGTTTCTCAAAACAATTTATTACTGACAGAGGATTCGTTTGGTTTGCCGAATTGCTAATACCGACATCGAGGGACAGTGTTTAAACTAAACAGTCTCTATGCACTCATGACATGAGTTTCATCCACAGTATATTCACTTTTTAGTATAAAATTTTCTATGAAGCATCTTCCTATCCATTTTAAATTATGATAAAATTACAAACGTGAGGCGCAATAAAACAAAATAAAGAGATAATTTGGTTACACACAACCCGATTTTGAAAAGAAATGACTAAACTATTTTTCATGTTTTGATGCTGTTTACGTAGTATTGTTTCCGATGTATCACACTATAAATACGCAATCTTAAACGAGCAACAAGTTTATTTTAATTTCTCGAAAACATTACGTACGGCTTATAGGACCCACCCAATTTTTTAGTCGTTTTGCAAGTTTGTTCAGAACGGGTTTACAACACGCAAACTACGTACGCCAGGTGAGATTTATCACGAAATAAGACATCCAAAATATATATCAACAGATTTTATCACGAAGCAGTACATACAACAGGGACAACAGCTGCTTTGAGACAATCGTACCACTAGCGTATACTGCGGCCAAATCTTTATAACAATTGATAGTTATATATACAGCTATACTCATTAGTAAACTTTCTGCGTTTACACAAGTCACGTATACAATTAAAGTTACAAACATGCTTTGTAACGTACGAAGATACTAAAACGGGTAGCGGCTACAACTTTAAACTAATACAAATAGATGTTATTACGCATTGGATGATTAATGTTACGGCCATTATATTACTTCTAATTTAACAATGTTATAACTGTTCATACTGTAAATTTAACTACTGAGCTCTTTAAAAATATAGTTCTTCTTTAACATGTACATTACTTTAATTAAAATAAACATCTAATTAGATTTATTAGATACAGCAATAAATATCAGAAGAATTATCTAAAGGCAACCTTAAAGATCAAGCCAAACATATAATCTTTATAATGTTAAAGAGATTGGAGTTCCTCAATGAATAAACAAGAATATAATATACATTACCACACCTATTAAATCAAATAATTAATATAACCTTAAATATATGTGCTAATAATTTAAGATAACAATAGATATTTAATAAAATATATATTTTTGGCTTTCTGTTTTTATTACTGTATAAGCAAACCATACTTAAAATCAAGACCAAAATTGGTTTAAATGAAATTAATTGTAGGCGACACCAGCATCTCGACATCGACAAAAGAAACACTCGAGCAATAACAGGGCGACGAATAATGGCTTATTCAAATTTAACGCGAACACCGCACTTCGGAAAACGATCAGTCCGCGCACCTGGTGGGGCAGCTAAAAACCTTTTTAATGTCATTGTAATGAAGATATTTTATGGTTAAAAGACAGCTAAGGTGTATTGCTTAAAAAAGAAACATTTTATTTATAGGAGTGTTTGAAAATAACACTTTAAAATGTAGTGCACCATCAACCCTAATAAAGGTTATTGAAAAGTACACACAATGTCGAAAAGTTAGTTTAAAATTTTACTATATTTTTAAACATACATCACACACATGACGTTAAATGCGTACATAAAATTAAACATCTTTTATATAAGAATTCAATAGACTTTTTGCTCCAAAATCTTTATTATTAGATGTTTAAATTAATTTTTTCTTATGAAATGCTTTGAATACTTAAGAATCACCAATAAATTTAGGCTCAATGGCATTTTTAGTCATTAGAAAGCTATTAATCATAAATGATAAAGGACTTTACAATTCAAATAGACCTGTCAAAGAAATTTTTATATTGTATCCTGGAATGTTTATCATTATATTATTAGTGATAATAATTAATGTTCTTTAATCATTTGATTCTAGAGAATATATATATTGCATATTTATAAGGAAGAGACAGCTATAAGAAATTTCTTAATTGCAATATTAATTATTATTTAACAATGTAACTAGCCTGATTATTTTAAATATTAACTACAATACACAATAAATATTTTATATCTTTAAAGCTTTTTAATGTATATTTTATACCTTTGTTATTTCTAAAGATATTAAAACCACCATAAGCACATATTATTTTTGTGTAAAAGCTTAGCATAAAAAATCTTAGTTGGTTTCATAATACTTCATACTCACTACTAAAGGCAACTTTCTCTAAAGCTCCTTATTTCTTAAATCATACTTTATTTTCTGCATATTGACAATGAATACATCATTTTGTTTTATTTTTTATTTCTGTTCATAATAGAATGTCAGTATATTAAATTGTTATTGTTTTTCATACATGATTCGATACAATAACTGTTCTATATAATATCGATCGACTGTTAATGCTTGGTTGCGCTAAGAAAAAATTTCACTTACCTCAGTCACTTCGTTTTATGATATTTATATATTCACCACGACACTTTCAAAACTCCTAAAAATTTTAATAAATAAACACACTGATCAATATATCAGCTGTTGTTAATTAACAATAAAATGTTTTACAAATGAAAGAAAACAAAAAGAATCGAAATCTGTACTTGATCTTCGATTTATACAAACTGACAGCGACAGTTGACATCACCTTCTGCGCAAATGTCAACATTAGTTTATGCCACTCACAGAGCACATTCTATATTTTTTTTATCCTCGCTCTCATCCACAGACGTTTTATTTGTTTGTTCAAATGTCTATAGAGTATAATATTAACATGTTTATTGTTTTGCCGTCCGTAATTTCGACAGTTAATTACGCAACTGATTCGATTTTGAATTCTCGTCTTATTAAACAATAAATATATTTTCTTAAGCTTATATTTTCTAACTAATTCCCGTTCTTCCTTTTACTTTACTTCAGATCGATCATTGTGATTATTGTATACTTTTCTCTGCTTGTCTAGACTATCTAAATTCTACTTGTGTACTTTAAAATGCATTGTAATTTTTACGTTAACAAATCTTTTCGAAAAAAATCATATTATTGTAATGTAACTGCGGATGTATATTATATGTGGATGCGTTAAGATGTACATTATTACCTTTTTTAATACTTGTACCTCACAGTAAATGTATGTAGATCAGAAGTATTTTACTAACCCAAAGGCTTTATAAAACCAATTTACAAGCAAAATTAGTAATTTCTGAGGAAAGGCTCCAGAAAAAAGTTAATCTTTTTAACACATACTTATTTAGCCACTACCATAATTAGCGACGACATACTATTAACCCTTAATTGCCCTATTCTAAGCATACATTTAGATGAAGTAACATCAATCAATGAAAAACTGAATTATGACCTTAAGCGATATATAATTTTATTTAAAAATAAATTGCATCCATAAAATATAACAGCCTCATAGAAATGTGTAGTTAGCAATATACAACACTTAAACTTTTGTAGGATCTTCTAAAATATTTACAAAATCTAATCGATCACAGTAGGAATATTATAATTAACATAACGATATGCATTAATAATAATATTAGGGGCAAATTTCGTCCTTAATCGTGTTCGTAATACTTTGATTGCGTAGGTGATTATTAATTAACGATAAATTAACACGATATTAGGTGATAGTGATTGATAACCTTCAAAGTATGTGATAACTGCCATTAGTCTTAGAAAATAAATATCTGCTTTTATATAATATTTTTAACTATCGTTCTATGTCGTAGGTATAAAACTTTAAATTTACGATTATACAAAACTTATGTCGAACAAACTCCTTATAATTTAAAAATCGAAAATAAATTGAAAAAAAATTTCGACTCGGCAGGACTTGAACCGGCATGTAGCGTTCAATGCTGTTGCTCTACCAATTGAGTACCGAGTGGAACAATTTAGTGTTTTTTACATGAAGGCACTAGTACAATTTGAAAATCGAAAATAAATTTAAAAATCGAAAATAAATTTTAAAAAAATTTCGACTCGGCAACACTTGAACCTGGCGATCGTCAGTCAGCGTTCCTGCTGTGTCGACCAATTGGCTACCGAGTCCTTCACCTTTTGTCGAATTTTCACTTGTATAGTGCCTTCATGTGTCAATAAGTTATGTAAAAAATAATAAAGTTTTCAAACTCCTTATACTTAAAATTATTTAATTGAGACATCTACCTAAACTTGCATTTAAAGCACACCAAAGGCCTGCGATATTAAAATAGTTATACATTTTTATACTACCAATATGAATAAATAGCAATAATAATAATTCAGATAGATTCAGGCAAAACTTATAGATACTTTTCAAAACTTATGCAAAATCCACGCCGGTGTCTAGGAGGTCTCTAATCATGACAGTGGCTTTACGTGGTAAAACCCGCAGGACATTACCCAAGTACAGTAGGTGTTTAGGAACAGACGCTTCTGCATAATTACGACGTACACTTTCGAGAATTGCATTTGCCGCCTTATCTGGGGTAATTGTGCCAAAGTAACTTGGTATCCTGAAAAACAAATGTTTGACTAAAGCGCTTTTAACTTATTTTTTATTAGTTTCAACCAAGACCTGACCTTTCGAATGACTTTTTCGTAGTTAAAGCAAGCATTTAAAGCCGCTAGTGTTTAATTTAAATGTGTACTACTGACGTAAACTAGAGACAATACCTACTTAAAATATATTTGGTAATTATACTCCTAGAGAGTATCCACTCTTGATTATTGATGTTGAAAATAATCAAAATGTAAATGACGTCAAAAGCCTTATTTTCATATTTTATTATGAATTTTATATATTACAGTCCATACTTGGTATTTGTATAGAGGAAATTCTCTACTTAAAGTTATAGTTTAACATCCAACCAGACTGGGTTGGTGCATTAGGTATATGAATTAAATACATTATAAAAGTATTGTGTATACTTACTTGGACCTCAAATCTGAATTATCTGTCACTATAAATGGATATATATGTGATAGTGTGATATATACTCCATTGATTTTATTGACTCTAAGATCTTCCATCAAAGATTTTGCAAGGCCTTGAACAGCAAACTGGGCAACACTGAGTGGCATAAGTTCCTTGTTGTAACTCAAACCAGCCACTGATGTTAGGGCAATAATATGACCATGACTTTTGGCTTTCATTTGAGGCATGAATTGGTCAATAAGCTGAAACAGAAGGAACTTAAGAAAATTTTATAACAGTAAAAGTATTCTATATATTAGGGTTTTATTTCCATCTATTTATAGACCAGAAGTTAATACCTTATTTATTATATGTATTTTAATCATGTAAATGGATTCCAAATCTCCATTTTTTGTTGACACTTTTACAATACAATTGTTTGTGAATTTTACAAACATAACACATACCCAAATATATGATGTTAAGGTAAGATCCATAGTAGCATGAATATCTTGCGGTGGCTGTGTTATTAAGGATCTAGGGCTTGGAATCCCGCAGCAATGAAACAACATGCTCACAAAGCCAACTTCACCTTCAAGTGAAGTGGCTAGTTCAACAATATTTTCCTTTTTAGTGATATCACACGTGTAGCAAAAGACACTAAAGCCTTGTGATTTGATATACTCAGCAGTTTTTCGGTTGTTGTCCTCATTTATGTCAACACAAATGACTGTTACTCCGAGATCTGCGAGTTGCATAGCAAGTGACCGTCCAACACCTCTGCCTGCACCAATTACCTTAAAAAAGATATCGAGAATTAAAATAACTCATGTATTCTGGCTGTTAAAAATTTTGTTTTTGTATTTCTACTATTAACCATACTCAACACAAGATTTAAAAGTTTTGTAAATGGTTTTTTGACTTACCAAAGCTGTTTCATTTTCTAATGATTTCATAGGTCTGGGAATAAAAAACTCAGCAACTGATTTGATTATGGCAAAAATAGTATTTATGTAGACAACTATTATGTCTACAGTCAAGACACATAGTGAATACACTCGCAGCAACATTTGGAAGGGCAGCATGGGATTAAAAATCTTACTTATTATACTTATGCTTTTGGAAGACTGAAAAAAAACATCTTTACTGATTATTTCAATAAATTTCTTATGCCTAATTAAATCTATGTTAACTATAACATTTTTCTAAAATTTAGTGGGTAGAAATTTCAGTGTTTCATTAAGCATGGGATCCATTTGAAAACTCATGAAAAATACATATTATAGATATCTATCTTTTTTTTTAATGTACATAAAGTTCAGTCTTGAAGCAATAATAAATAAGCTTTCTGTTAATAGCTTTCATATTGTACATATATACACACACATTCAGAATTTAAATTCTATACTACTTACCATTATACAGTTAAAGTTAGTCAAAAATATTAGTTGTGAATCCCAAACCCCTAAAATATGTAAAATATTTTTATTGGAATATACAAATTACATAAGTTGCTATACAATAAGCAATATAAAGATTAATTATGTATTATACATGTAGGTATATAGAAATTATTAATAACATTTAGAGAAATAGAGATTTTAATATCGAATAATTAATATACCTAATAAAGTTTTTGATAGTTTATTTGCTTACCTGAATAACTTTATATAAATTGGTACTATATATTCCAAACTTTTGTACAATAACTACTTAAAATTTATTGATTACAAAGCGGATTTAACGGCTGTTCAAAATATCACCAAACAATCTTCATGCAATCACAGCATTACAATATTTGAACTGATAGAGGGAAAGAGCAAGAAATATATTTCACAATGACACTGACAGATAACGAGACGGACGTCAAATAAAGCGGTACGAAAATAATACTGATTTTAATTGAGGTTCCCATTGGGTTGATTAATAAATACTAATATTAACTCAGGCTTAGGACAAAACAAACTTTTTTATCCCACAGGAAGAGCTTTTAAGGACATTAACCAGAGAGATAATTTTGGCCTCTCATAATAAGTAAAGTGCCCTAGCTGTAAGATATTTGTTTTAATAGAACATGTCTTTTGTGTACCAAGCTGACGCTGATTTAGAATCCAAAGCTAAAAAAGGTATAGATATAGTAATATATAAATGATAGCTAAGCTTAGCCAGATTTAGCAACTGTAAAATTAAACCCCAATTGTTTATTTCAGCTGCTGAGCGGATCTCAGAAAACATGCACATAGTGGCAAATGAGCCTTCCTTGGCTCTTTACAGGTTACAAGAGCATGTTCGAAAAGCACTTCCTCCAATGGTAGAGAGGAGAGTAGATGTAACTAAACTGCAGCATGAACTGCAAGGTCGTTGCTATGATGTTGAATATGCTTTGAGGTAAATCTCCATCATAGAGCTAACTGGAAAATAATTAAATATAATTGTATTTATTTTATTCAAAGTGTGGTAAATATGGGGAGCATTTTTAATTAATTAACTCCAGCAGAACAATGGATGAAATATTAAGAACTCTATTTTTGCATTTCTAGTGCTGTAAAATCAATGGACGGAGCCGTAACTAGCTTCCAAAATATACAAGACATGTTGAAACAAGCAATTTTTTTGAAGCAACAATTAAAATATGAGGAGGCTAGGAGAAATAAAAAAGATACGAATTCTGTGTACAAACGTCTCTCTGCTCACATTGTTCTTGACTTGCCAGACCTCTCTGATTTTCCTATGGTCCGTGAAACCACAAATAGAATTGAAAATATTATGGCTCATGCCCGTGGCTCTAATAATGAGTTGCATAGATCGCATACAACTTTACATTAAGATCGGGCACTTTAATATTTCTAAATATTGATGCTAGTCAATTAATTTTAAGTAACATTTTCTTTACCCATCTCTTTAGAGTATGGGCCTAGGTGAATATTTCGTAGTCCTTTTAACTAACCAGGATTTTACTTATAGTCTAGAATGACCTCCTGAAGTTACTGTCTACTATACTATCATTTATGCAACAAATATAAATTATTTTATCCTTTTCAACATTTCAAGTGGCTCTTTTAAAATAATCAAAATGGAATATTACTATTTAGCAGTGTTCTTAAGTACTTCTATGTTTGCTTCACTAATGCAAATTGCTTATATTCACGCTTATATTAAAATTCTAAACAAATCATGTGCCTTTTCAATCAACTTTTATTTTCACCACACTGGATGCTTTAACACTATGCTATTTTGCTTAATTATGCTATCTATATACCATACAATTAAATTATATATATATTAGTAATTTTAGGAATTACTAATATATGTTACCTTCTGGCTTATAAGTCTGTTGTAGAAGGATTTTTGCTGTTTCTAAAATTACTAATCACGCTACTACGCGCCCAATACGCTTTTAAAATAAAAATAAATTATAACACTTGAATTAACGTTACTAAATTCTTCACTATCTATGGAAAATGACAGACCATGGCAATTCTCTTAACTTGGTTATATAATACGTTTTCTTGAACGGTTTCAGTTTTGCCAATGTTGCAGCCGTCGGTGTTTTTTTCCTGGCTTTGCACAAATATTTTGTAAATATAGATTTTGGATCGTCAATCTTTCGAGTCGACTTCTCTGCTTAATATTCTATTGTATACGTAGTCAATGGGCACAGCAGAAATAACATAGGAATATACGTTAGAATTATCAGCTTGAAGTCTCTCCATTCTTTCAAATATTTTAGCCCAGTCTAGATCAGTGTCTTGTATCTGGACGTTAACCAGTACCTGTTAATTTACAAAAGTAATTTTTTTTTAATGTGAGAGGAGGACAGAGAAGCCTGTTGTTCACTTGATGGTTCATAGTATCTAAACAAGTTGCGCTGTCGACCTGTTTTGGCTTTAGATATTCGGAAATCCACAGACTGAAGCCGAAGACGTGTTTAAAATTCACGGCTTTTTCACCAGTTCACCATTCCACCGTTCACCAGAGCGGCATTTCAATATTTCTACCACCCATTTAATACCCAGGTTTTCAAATGAAGTCCAACTGGTTTCAGAATAATTATAAACCAATTATGGACCCAATGGGGATCGAGTCCATGACCCAATGATTATTAGCCGTACATAGTACCATTATACTAAAGAGCGCATTTTTATTTTATAGTTTTCGGCCTTAAAGTATATTTAAATTCACATAAAAAGGAAGGCTTATATTTTTATTTTAATATTATTAAGGGCACTCACTGTACTGGTGCTTCTAGCTCACTGCAGTTTCAAACCGAAGTCAAAATTTATAAACAACCTCCCTAAGATTAAGGGTTCGATATGGCTTTACCTCATTGCTGTCATTGATCATGAAATCCTTGAAATAGTTAGAGAACATTCTTGATACATTGACTTCATCTTTGAGATGAACTACCACGGTGTAGCCCGAGTCACTATAGCGGGCCACTAGGTTATCTACGTAATCAATATCGTAGATTCTGCCGTCGTAGAGTATCGCCAATCGGTTCGTCACTGGCATGTGGCTCTCAACACTTGCAAAAGATAAAATCGATTAAAATTTTTACACACTGGTGGGTAGTTTAGCAACAAGCGTAAAAAAGGAAAAACTAACAAAGCGACGGCTAGGGCTAATTTTGAATAATAGTTATTTAAGATAAAACACTGGACAAGTGCGTGATGGCAGATGGAAGGGATTTAATTTTATGTCGCCAGTACTTGTCATAATAGGCACAGATTTAAATATTTTTCCCCATCCCGACTTCACCAACATAAGACAAGGTGAACACCAAGGTATGCTAAATCCTAACCAATATGGCCATCAGATCGTAAACTTTTTTAATGATAGAGGTGACTCGACCGTTCTATACAATGGCTGTCGGCCTATTTTAGTTTTGGATATTCGGATACTTAATGTTGAAAAATGATAACATTTACTTGCTAGATGATATAAACACTGCATGCCCTCTCTTCCTTAAGTTATGAATCACGGAATACATAGCGCGACGCACTGAGTACTTCTGATATGCTGTGCACTCATCTAATAGAACCACAGGAGGAGCGCCCACCACAGCCGCTAGGAAGCGCAATCGAGACTGTTCATTTGGGTCCAAGTATTGGATTATTGTTTTAGCATAGTTGTGCAATTCTGTAAAAATTACTTTTTACTAATTAAGTATACATACTTATAAATAACGCCCATAACCCGTAAAGCTTGCTCACGCTCCAACCACAATGAAGCTTCGTGGGTCAAATTTTTTTGAAACCCTAAGTCCAACCAGTACTGTAACCGTAATGCGTGAAGTTGACAAACTTTTGTTTTAGAAATAATAATAAAATTCTTTAGTGCACAAACACATTTACAATAAGTAGCACACAGACACTTAAATATTAAATTTACAAATAGAAAAGATGTTGGCGGCCTTCTCGTCAACCAGGAAAGGGAAAATATGCAATAAAATTAATACTTAACCTAAAAAACTTAACAGTAACACGACACTCAGACTAATACACTTAACTTAACATGAGGCCTGAGCCTCATGACACTCCAAAAACATTTTCCTTAAATACAATTACATTGTGATTTTGTAAAAGCCTTATAGCAACTAGTAGCCAATATTGTTGGCAGTACAAATATTAATGGCGTAAAATCAATATTTTTATTTCATTTTATTTATTTAATCAAAAAAAAAGGTGGAGCCCAATCGACATAACTAAAAACTAACATATAAATAAAATAAATTATACTTATAACTACTATTAACTAATATCTATACTATTAAACTAGCTCGCTCCAGGCATCATAGAAAATGTCTTTCTGCTATGAAATAATTTACTACTTTTTAAATTCCTAACAATTCGTTTTAGAAAAGGGTACTTTTATATGGCTTGTGCGAGCCTTTTATGTATGTACTGATCAGGTACTAACAAACAAATTTTAGATACGCTTACCCAAGGCATCGATATAATCATTAACCTCTTCTTTAACTCGTGATTTTGGGAATCCCCGTAGCACAGCTATCAAGGCGAGCGCGTCATACACTGTCATCCAATTCGGCAGTGGATCGTGTTGGCAACAGAGGCTTATTCTTCTACTGTACTGCAATTCCAAATGAACAATATGAAGACCAATAAACAAAGCCAGATAACGATATTTCCGAGTTCTACATTCTACATGGTGAATTACAGTGATCACTTATTAATGATGCTTCCAAGAGATTGTTTACAATCTTCATCATCCGAAGTTAAGAATAACTAAATTAAATAAATCAGTACCATATAGGGGTTGCGGTTCAAGCTCCACTTAGACATACTCCACAGACGCCCTTCACTAGGCAATGTATAACCTAAAATGTGAGGCATTCAGTATGCATATGTAAGTAGTTAATTCACTAGATTTTTCAAGTAGGTATCAAGGGAGACTAACATCCTGCTTCATATTCGCAGACACATTTTCGTGTTGTTATATTATTTCACTGTTTGCAACCCTGGTTGTAACCCTGTCAAAAAATATTTTCGGGATTCGGACCCAAGGCCCCTGCGCTCTACGCAAAGCTAGGCAACGCGTTTATTCTTTGATCATATGTGATTATATGTGTTTATTTAGTGTAATAGTTTGGTAAGAAGTCATCCGAATCCAGTCATAATATTTACCTGCAATCAACTCGCACAACTTTAGCCTACCGTGCTTCAACAAACCAGAAAGAGCTAAAGCCTCTCCCTTGCCAAGTCCAAAATGAACATGTCGGATGACATAAATGCCAGCGACCTTCTTAGAAATATTACTTGCTAAAAGGTATTCGCCGAATGTGTCGCCTTTCATGCCTGAAACATTTACTGGGCCTAACATTTTATAATTTCGTCGAATTCATAGAATAGGTTTCGTCACTTCTTTAATATTTCTTTTACGTCATTTCTATGAATTTGAAAACTTTATCATACTTGATGGAAGGTGTAATGCCCCAGCCATATTACAGACAGGATGCGCTGACCTATGATGCAAGGTCTATGTTGGCTTTGGATATTCGGAAATCCACCGACTGACGTGCTGTTAAAACTTCACATCTTTTTCATTTGTGGACGGTGGTTCGTGACCCGGGCGGAATTTCGATATTCCTACCACCCACTCAATATCCAGATTTGCAGACGAAGTTATAATATGAGATCGAATTCAAATTTCTATGAATTTAGCATTAGTACGACAGTATAAATCACGAATGTCGTTCAAAAGGCTTTAAATATATGGCCATAGCTCAGCCCAATGAAGCTTAAGCCTTGGACCTGACCCACCCTCTCCTTTCTTATGATCTTATACAATAACAAAGTACAAACACGTACTCACGAGTTTTCGAAGTCAATTCCTTTCGCTTGTTCAAAACATCAGCTTTCTCCTGTCTAACCCCTTCACTATCATCGTCGGAAACTTTTTGATCAAAATAAATGAACTTGAAGATGAAGTGGAAACACCGATGAAGATATTTGTATTCCCATATTAGTAAAATGGATGTGAAGATAATGGCTATCGAAAACATAGCAAATATTTCCATGCGCACTCCGGGTGAACTGTATAAGTAGTATTCCTTAGAGAAACATTTTTGCAAAACTCCGCATTTGGCTAAAAGCAATGTGAAATAGGTGTTATTAGAATTGAATTGTATCTATTTAAATAAAGCACTTTTAACGGTTTAAAACGCGCAACTTATTTTAACTACAGACGTCGCGACGTTTGGGGTGCATTGCAGCAGCCGTGGTCACGGGGAAACATATCTTTTTACGTAGTCTATTATTCAATTGGATTGCTTACAATCCATGGAATGTAGTTAAAATAAGTAATTTTATTTGAAAAATCTGTCCCTAATACTTACGACAGCACTTGTGTAGTGTTTTAGATGAACACAAATTTTTCCTTTTGAATATGTTGCATTCGCTGTTGTACAAGAAAATCTTCTTTATCTTTATAAAGGCGTAAGCCATGTTGAATTGTGGTGAAAAGCTCAAAAAATTTATAGCGTAATTCAAAGCGTTACCATAAAATAATTTAGCCAACACCGTCGTCTCTCCTGAAATCAGGGAAGATGATCGTCACAGTTAATAAAGGTACATGAAATTAATGTCTAATAAAAGTTTTACCGAAAACAATGTTGAACATAATGAAAATCATTGAATTGAGAGCTGCATACGGGCCCAAGCTGAACAGATAGGCTTGAGGAATGCAACCTATTCCATACACAGCGAGCATTATGGATATTACAACTGTAAACAAATATTTATATAATATTGTTTCATGTTAAAAACATAATATCTAACCCCATATAAATTACATAACGTAAAGGGGGAAAATGGCATGTAGCCACTTCAATAGCTGTGCCTTGTGTTAGCTTAGATATATATTAAAATTGCTCACAATTATTATACTACATTGATAGGTTAAAGAATGAATATTAATTCAATTACCGAAATCAGCGATCCCGAAATAGTATGGCGCAACTAAAATCATGATGGTCGCCAAAGCTCCAGACATAACAGCCACCAGCATCCAGTAGAAAAAGAGATCGCATATAAACATAGAGAACCAATAACGTAATGGAGAGAAATTGATTGTGTAGCACTGGAATTTCAGAGATATCTAATAATTTTACTTTTTTTTTTTACGAAGGTATATCAGTATTAGCGTAATATTTATAACTAGCTGTGTCAGTGACTTCGTCCGCGAGAATCGTTATTCTGGGCATCCAAATTCGTTTATTTATTAACTAGCTTAAGCTCTTACCATCGCCGCTTTGGCGTCCCTTCCTGTCGTTCTTGCAAACTAAATATAAAAAATAAAGACAGACATATAGTGCCACAAACTCTTTTTTAGATTCCTTAAAGAGGAATCATTCTTTCATACACATTCTTTGAGTATCTTGAACCCTCTTTGCTGCGTACTCCTCGGAAACATATAAAGATGAATAATTTTCCCATTTTTTTTTTACATTTCTCGCTGTATCTTCGCTTGTATTAGTTACAGGGCGATGTTTTATAGCCTATAGCCTTCCTTGATAAATGCTCTAACCAACACAAAAAACTAACAACAAAAACACAGACGAAAGAATTGTTCAATTCGAACTTGTGGTTCCTGAGATTTGCACGCTCACACATACAAACAAACAAACAAACTTTTCAGCTTTATATATGAGGATAGATAGATGTGCTGTTACCTGAGTGTGTCTTATAAATCCACTTTCCTTTGAAGGTATTAGGATCATATGAGAAATTGTTAGAATTAACAAAAATTGAGTGAAAATGGGAGGACTTTCAGCATATGCCATCCACTGTAAAAAATTAAAAATTATTAAACATAAAATATATATATATATAGAGATCCAATTCAAAAATATGTTTTTTAAATAAAATACTTCTAAGGCACTACTTCGGAATTTAAACAGTTTGGAGTGTTTTAATTGTAACTGTTGTGTTGTTTCTGAATAAACATATTTTTATTCTATTCTTTGTCATAGAGTGTTTTCTCTTACTGGTGTAAGATCCAAAGCTAGCGGATCATCCGTTACTTGTATAGTAGCGTCTAAGGAATTTGAGTAATGTCGCAACAGTGCCATGTAAGCCCTCGCTAATGATCTAGCCGAAGCACCGTGATCATAATGAATTGGACTGTAGAGAACTTGCATCTAAAAATAAATCGAAAAAAAAAATACAAATATATGAATCTCTATACTATTCTTTTATTAAAAAATAACATTGTACGAATGACTCCATTTAACATCAACGATGTGTCTGGCAATTGCAATCTATTATTAAATGTCAGTTTTTAACTTGCGACGCGTGTTTGTTACCCTTAATGTTAAACGCGAAAGTATGTTGATCTATTTGTCCATCTATCACACTTAAAGAATCACACTGGTTTTAGCATTCAGGTAGTTGAAAAAATGGTGTCCCTGAAGCGCACAACACAAATGGTCGTCTTTTTTGACACTGCTTTCATATCTTGCTAATTTTCATTAATGGATATCAAATTTACCACGACTTTGTCACCAACCGCTTTCACATCTAATCCATACGCGTACATGTACACATAATGTTGAGGCGAATCAATAGCTCGCGTCACCAAGTATTCAGTTATACTCTGAAACATTTTATAGATTCCATATAAATAGTAGAATATGATCCCTCAATCTTTTCCGTAGCGTTTATGCTTATACAAAACAATGATTGGGAGTGGAAGTGACATGAATTATATTTGATAAGTAGGTATTTTGCAAATACGTACTTCCACGTCCGAAAGTGCCGTATATTTCATATTTTCAATTTCTTTTTCAGTTGCGTTTGTTTCAGACAAGACATACCTAAAAAAATATTTTTATAAGAAAGAGAGAGTTTATATATCAAAAATGAATTTCTTAATTCGTAGATATGTGTTTACAACTGAAAAATATTTAAATATTTGTAATATCATCTCTCTAGGCTTTATTTCTAATGTGTATAGAGTAAGTAAGCTCCAACGTCATCAGATAATTAAAAAACAATTTAATACTAATGTAATACTAACGCATTTGCAATAGATTGAGCTTGAGTTGAATTATCCGTTCGTAAAACTAGCGTGGTCTTTTGCTCTAAAGCTTCAACGGTTAAAATCTAGAAAAATCGTAACAAATTTATCCTTTTATTTTAAAGGGCATTAGTATATATTAGTATAGTATTGAAATAAATATACCTCGCCGTGCAGAATCTGTTTAGCAACACGATCATGCTCAATATCTATGAGTACTTGAGATAAGGATAATCCAATAAAAACTCCCGCCACGAACGCTGATATGACCTAAGAATAGCATCTAATGGAGATCTAAACTGAGTTTCTATACATAGTCCACGTTTTTAATAGACTTTAAAAGCTTACTGTAAAAATCAAAACGACTCTGTTCTGATTGTAAAACGAAATAAACTTTTGTCCAATGTATGACAAGTGTATAATATTATCCAGGCTGTACGGTGCCCTTGACGGTCTCCACTCGTTCGTTGCTAGAAGAAAATTAATTAAAATTATTATAGTATATGTAATGTAAGGACTTAATACGTTGTTTATATACTTCCAAGGTGCGCCAGTGCAGTCCTAGATACTTCGTGAGCTTCAGGAGTTCCGTGTAACGCAGCCCTTGATTCAAATATCGCCCTAGAATTATTTACTTTATAAACATCATAGTGATTAAACACTGTTTTAGTTTACGCGAGTAGTACACATTCAAATAAAACCAAGTAACGGTTTAAAACGCGATATTTATTAGTTAGACTTATTTGAAAATTATTTTAACTACGACCCGAAGTTTCCGTTACCACGGCTCCTGCAAAGCATTCGAAACGTCGAGCCGTAGTTTAAATAAATTTCAAATAAGTTGGACTAATATTTATATTAAACGTTTAATTGTTTTATTTTAATCATATTGATTGTAAAGAAAAAGCTAACCCTAACTCACAGATAAATAAATACAATTAAACGTCAAATTTGATCTTAATGTTTAAAATAAATTTAACATAATTATATCATCATTTAATCATGTTCTATGTAATGATAAGCTATATAGTTTTCTAAACAATCAACGTAAAATCTTATCAATACACTACTTTTAGTACCGTCTGAACTTTAGAAATAGAATCTTAAGAATATAGAAATTGTATAAAACGAGTTAAAGTAAGTAATGTTGGCACCATTAAAAAAATCAATACTTACCTATTACACACTTCCTCCGAGTCCGGGATACTGATATTCATAGACACAATGCCGAATTTACTTGAGTCATTGCTAAGTATTTGCACTAGCTTAGCTACGTTCGCCGTTGGATGAGTCGGCACTTTTAATATCAGTAACGTACCCAGATGTGCTCGTATTTTAGCACCTGCTTCGGCCGCCTTTTCTAAAAGCTCATCTTTTTCGTTAGTGTATCTATTATTTCTAAATGTGATTCTTATCCTGTAGTCTCGTCCTGTGAACGTGAATAATCGTGACGGTAGTATCGAATATAGCGGTCGAGAAGGGCACAATTCTTGCATTTTACAACGCCTTACCATATTTAAAGAACATATAGGCAGGTGTGCCCCCAAAAACCAACGTCTTCTTATCAAAAATAAAAACACGATCGGCGTACTCTAAATACACGCTGGAATAGCTTACTTTAATTAGTGTTATATAGCTTCGATATTGCTGAAAAGGCCAAGAGTAATGAGCATTATTTTATTTACATAAGTTCGTTACGTACGATACATTCTTACCATGATTTTATCCTTGATAACGGAGATATAATTAGGTTTTCCTGTAAAGTTTGGTATAATAATAATCTGAAATAAAAACAAATGTCACCTTGTGCATTTAAACAGGTTACCAAAGTTACGGACCTACTAAAAGGCACCCGAAAGTTTGGAAATTTTAAACATAATTTGTATTCTAACCCGTTAAACATACTTGTTTATTTAATTATTTTACAACTACTTGACAACTAACTTTTTTAGGCATGTTTTCTATGCAATAATTTTGTTTGTAACTGTACAGTACAGTACAGTTTTGGTGTTTATGCGTTTGCGTTTGCATGCGTATGAGTGGATGTAATGTGAGTTTTACAGAATTACTGTGATCTTTTTATGGTAGAGGAGGACAGACAAGCATAGCAAGGTTCAGATGATGGTAGGTAAAATACCCCTAAACAAGATGCGTTATCAATCTCTTTTGGCTTTGGAATTGAAGGCGATAGAGAAACGCGATTTACTTGACGTCTTTTCCATCTGTGGACGGTGGTTTGTGACAAGGACGATTTCCAAAAGAAGTCCAACATGTTTTAAAAAAAGTATAAAGTTATCAGAATACAGTTGGCCCGGACGGTGAACAAACCCACGTTGTTTACTCGCCGTACATTGCTACCATTACACAATAATTGCGCCCGCCAAAATTAAATAAACGCGTAATAAAAGTAACGTTAAGTTGCATCTCACTCTTGGTTCAAGCAACATGGCTATAGCCCAACACAGCTGCGCTCGGTAGAAGTCATCCAGATTCTGAACATACTCTTGTTTAACCTCTTCTAAATGGCACTCCTTCATCAGGTCTTTCGAACGCAGATGGCCATATTCCGATATAAATTGACTGCTTTCATTCCAGAGGCAAAGCTGAAAATATTGATTTATGACTGAGAAAACTTTATAGCCATAACAAGAAATATATAAGTATATTGTATTGGGTATTCTTGTCGTCTTATAGCTTATATCTAAATTTAAAAAAAATTTACTAAGTATTTTTTCAAGGATCCTATTAATTGGTTACTTAATTAGATCTATTACTAGCTTCATATATTTTAAGATTCAAAAATGATATTAAATTTAAGAAAACCTGTGTTAAGGCATTGCGACATGATTGCGCATTAATACTTCGTAAATCGTTTTTTTTTCCTCTAGGTAGTGAAATTTCTTAAAGATATATTCTTATAGATAGCAATCAACATTTTAGTAAAAAGTTTTGGTTGATGAATTAACAGATTTGAAAAGTTTTAAGCCAAATTGCGCGTGGCGGAGGGCTTAAACGCTCTTAATAATTTAAAAAAATATTTAAAACAGACTTGTTTAACACATAACACGTTGGATAACTAAATGTAAAATCTGTTTACGGATAATTTTGCTTTAACATAGGTGAGGTTAAAATCTGCTCACGGAAATAAAGAATGTAAGGTTCTCTTCCACAGTCAGTTCGTCAATAAGAACTTCGCTTCGATGACAGTAACCCATCATTGTCAACATGGACATAGGGTTCACCCCAGGTTTCATTTCTTCACCCAAAATGCTGATGGTTCCAGTATCAGGTGATGTCAGACCTATGAAAGTAGTATGCATAGAAACACGAACAAGTGATTTGTTTGACTACCTCCACATGTTCATAGACAAAATCGTATTGCCTTGTATTTTAAGAGGTTTTAGGTTCGAATCTCTAGAATATAATAGTTTCCACTTGCCTGTTTCAACATTGATTAGTGAAAACAATTCTCAAATTTTTTTCTGTCCTATGTTAAACACTTTTACATTTATTCAAATTATACAATTGAAGAGCACACCGATCAGAAGGTCCTCTATAGCTGTCATCATCTTGGTTTGTATTCGTTCAGCATACATCATCGTGAATTCGCCACGATATATATCAAGAGTCACATTTGTTACCACCGGGCGGTTCATGACACTCTAATAAAGGAAAAAGTAAAGAAATAGATGAAAAGAGAGAAAGATAAAATATATGTGCATAATAGCCTTTTATATGGGGCTTCTAGAGGCAGAGTGGCCTAATAACAAATAGCATGTTTTTTTAATTAGATGGAAAATAAAAATGCGCAATTAACATAGGCGAAAATGAATTTGTACTATTATTTGTGTGCAATTATGTTAACAATTTTCGGTCTCTATGCTCTTGTACATTAACATTTTTAGACTATGAAAATATAAATAACTTAAGTCACAAAATTACAGTTAGGCTACTCTGCCTATAGCGACCTCATATGTATTTAAATAGACATACAAGAAATGACGCTAGCGAAACTCGAACGGTTAACTAATATAACATTTTCCACTTTGGCGCGGACGTAAACTTGATCAATCAATACTAATATATAAAGCTGAAGAGTTTGTTTGTTTGTTTGAACGCGCTAATCTCAGGAACTACGGGTTTAAATTGAATTGGTAGAGCAACAGCACGGAACGCTGACGATGCCGGTTCAAGTCCTGCCCGAGTCGAACATTTTTTAAACTTATTTTCGATACTTAAATTATATAGTGCCTTCATGTGCTATAAATCACATGTAAAAAATAATAAAGTTTTCAAATCTATACTAATATTATAAATGCAAAAGTAACTCTGTCTGTCTGTCTGTCCGGCTTTAACTCCGAAGCTACTGAACTCATTTAAATGATATTACGGTACACAGATATTTTAGAGCCTTCAATTTTTTAAAGCCAAAAAAGGGTTGAAAAAGGGGATGAAAGTTTGTATGGAAATTCGTGGTTTTTGAAGCTAGAACAATGAAACTTTCTTCTTTGGCTTTTTGGGAATAGTAGTGGGAGTGGGAGTGCGAGTGTCGGTGAGAGGACTCACTCTCACTACACTCACGTGTAGGAATGAGAGTAAGGAGTGATGATGAGGTGTGAGTGTTGCGCCAAAGTAGCACTTACAAAATAGATTGGCTACCTTCAATGCGCCCTCACATAAATTAATAAACAGCCTAAATAATCAAAAATTCCACCCCGGACGAAGTCGCGGGCACAGCTAGTATAATTATAATTATATTACTCAAATAACCATTGTTACTATAAGGATTATAAGAAAGGTTAAATAATATTTATTACAAGGTACACATAAGAATTTTTATCATTTACAATATAATTAGAATTAAAAAATGACATAGACGGAACTCAAACCCGTAATTAACAGTCCCGCGTAATAGACCGGCAAACGCTAAAAGTTAAGAATCACCTTATTATAATATGCTAATATGGATTTTTTAACAAAACACACCGAGTTCAAAACTTGTTTAGTGTTTGTTTTTTATTACCTTGGACACGTTGCGCATGCTTATAGCCTTCGCGACTAATTCGTCGACTTCCTGCAAATTGTCGCGTTCTTTGCCAGTCGGGTTTTCTATTTGATGTAGCTTGTTTGCATCCTGAATGTAAAGTATGCAAAAGTTATGGAAAACTTTAATATTTTTCACATGTTTTATATTTGGCGTTATTATAAGTTAAAGATTATAACAATATAGCAATTAAATAAAACACTAACGGTTTAAAACGCGATATATATTGGTTACTGCTGCAAAGCATCCGAAACGTCGGGCCGAAGCTAAATTGATTACCAAATAAGTTTAACTAATATATATCGCGTTATAAGCCGTTAAAGTGTTTTATTTCAATGTGTACTCCTTGCGTGAACTACAGAAAGCATAAATTTAAGTACAATCTTAGTTTTCCTGTTCAAACAATTCAATAAGCTAACGTTGAGTTATTTCAAATAAAAATGTTAAAGTACATACTTCAGCTTTCTTGAAGAGAATAGACTTCCAAGACACCTCGCCACCAATGGCGGTTTGCTTGATGGTTCTTTGCATCAGCATCAACACGCTAAAGTAAACAGAGATCATGAACAGCCAAGACAGTATGGTGAACATGACTGAATGGGATTCCCATCTTCCGTCCTCTGCAATTTTATATTTAAATTGAAGTATTAAGGAATGAATTTACATCAGTAGAATGGGGCCTTGTTTTTAATATGCATCTGATCAAATTTTTGTGTATTTACAAATGCTCTCCGATGGACGAAAAAATTTGAGAAAACCACGTCAGAATTCGACATGTATCATTTTTAGACTCGCCTTTAAAAAAAATTTTTTTTTAAAAAAACCCCAAAAAGGGGTTTTGGAGGGAAAAAAAAAAAAAAATAACGGTATTTGCTTTTTATATGTATTTTTTTCAGATTTCATATGCTTAGTTACTTATAAGACCAAGCCTATTGTGATAGTCGCTGGGGAGCAGTTAGAACCCAAGAGGAAGTCAAATAAGACTCCAGTAGTTTTTTAACACCAGCCACTAACCTACATTGCGCCCTGTTTTCTCTGCGTTATTCGTATCAGACACCATGAGTATCGATGTAAGTTACTGTTTTAATTAATCTTAAATTTTAGCTGCGTGACACTTAAATTAAATTAAGTAATTACTAAACTTAATATATTACGAAAAAAAGGAACAATCTTCTAGTTTTAATATTCAATTACTTAGATATCTAGATTGTGCGCTGTGGAGTTTAAAGAGCATGTTTATTTTCACTTACGTCCAGTTTGCAACAATGCAAACTCGTTGAAACCATGCTCAAGGCCCAAGGGAGGTATGATTAGGTGAAGAAAGAAAGTGAGTACGGCATTTTTCGAGTCTATCTGATGATGGATTATCAATTCCGCAACAAACGTCTGCATTAAAGTGAAGAGAGTAGTCCATACAGTCGCGACCCAGGCTAAAAAAAAGATGTGTGTGGGTGAAATCAAATAAAAAAAAACTTTAGGTATTTACAATATCCTAATTTGATATTACTTCCTATTTAAATACTGTCTCTAGTTTACGCGAGTAGTACACATTTAAATAAAACACTTTAACGGTTTAAAACGCGATATATAGTCAAACTTATTGGAAAATGATTTTTAACTTCAGCCCGACGTTTGGGATGCTTTAAAAATAAGTTTAACTAATATATCGCGTTTTTAAACCGTTAAAGTGTTTTATTTAAATACGTTCTACTTAAACAGAATTGAGAAATTCAAAAGGCTGATGACGTCACTATTACAACATCAACTTTTATCAATTAGTTTACTCACGTTTATACTGAAACATGGACATGATAAGGGCCATCATGATCATCACAGACACATACGTCAGAAGCATTATGAAGCTGTACAGCATGTGGATCCAGCGGAAGATCAGCAAAAGAGTTGCACTAGCCACTATGCAGGCTGGTAAGACAGTAAGGTAACCATAGACAATCCAGCCGAGATAGATGGCTGAGTAATCTACATTACGTAGTCGAAGTGCGCGCTGGAAGGAGTTTGTTATTCTTATTATTGTCTACCATATTGTTCAACACTCAATCTTTCCCATTGAACCCCTAAAATTTACCTAAATTAAACGATTCAACAACTTAAATTTATGTTTGAACAAGTTGGGCCGTAGTTAAAATAATTTTCAAACAAGTCTAACATAGTTACATAATATATTACGTTTTAAACCGTTAAAGTGTTTTATTTAAATAATAAATCTTTTTTTCCTATTTTAGAATAGTTGATGAATAAAATTAGTACAGTAAACATAAATTTGATTACTACGCTTAGTTTATGTTAGTAAAAGGCTTATAAACAGGAAATCCAGTTTGGGCATAGGCCTCCTATAACACTGTGATCTTATAAAATTTATAATCTTTTATTTATTTTCTTAATTGATTTTACTTGTATAAACACATAATTGTTATCGGTTAGAATATTGTCTCTATTGCAGACTCGAGTAAGCATGTTTTATGGATATTTCGGAATTTATATATGCTTGCAGCTAATAAATGTTACGTGATAAAAAACAGCACTTTTTTAATCTGATCTACTTTCATAATAACTTCATAATACCTTTAGTCGATTTTGTGATTCCTTAACGACCAATGACTCCATCTCCAGAACAGGAGGAAGAAGGGCTAGAGTAAAGCAAAGCAGTATACCGGATATCGCTTTTCTAACTCTAGCCTGTTGCATCAAAGGCGATACAGGCATTGATACCAAACTTAACTGAAAATATTGGAAAACTTTAATATTTCTCTCATGCTATTGTCATGATGACTGTAGATGGTTCAAGGCCTGCCCGTATCGTAAAAAAAATTAAAATTAATTTTTAATTTATTATCACAAGTACAATAAGAAATTATAATACTGACATAATGTTGAAGAATTTTCTCTAGATAGTAATTAATATAAATCGTACCTACCTTTCCATAATTTCAATTTATTTATCACAGCCGAAATAGCTCAGTTGGGAGAGCGTTAGACTGAAGATCTAAAGGTCCCTGGTTCGATCCCGGGTTTCGGCAAATCCTTTTTTTTTGTTTTTGTTACTACTTTAATTAACATTTGTAATTGTATTCAATCAGATTTTAAAACGTAGAATTGAAGTTTGTACTTGTATATAATATACTTTATAGAATATTTTTTTCAAATATGGATATATCATCAAGAGATACAGTAAGTAAGTAAGGAAAGATAAGGTAAGGGGGGTTGTCTATTAATCATGTGAGGCTTGAAGATTCTTTGTAGGTACTAAAAATACACGTGATGTTAAGAAGGGGGAGGGGGGGGTGTTGTGTTGTGTTTTTGTTTGTTATTTTTATGCGATCAGTAATTGCAATAGACGTGTTGTCATGCAGAGTCTGATAAAATCACCATCAACGGGTAGGTAAGGGAGTACAATTACGAAATCAAAGAATGCCAACCTCATATTGCGGTGTTATTGGACTGACATACTCCAAAATAGCTTCGTTGACAGCTAACTGAACTGCTAGGAAACCGCTCCTCAAATGTGGGTTGTGAGAAACGACATTTTCAGACCTGGTTGCATAGCGAGCGCGCTCCGTACTACGAATACTGTATCTCCAAATATTTTTGTCCTGAAAGTGGTTTAGTTTCTTAAGTACCAAGCTATCAATATTAAACTCATGTATCGAATGGGATAAAAGTTATTGTCTAACCTAAACTATACAATGTTTACAACAATAAATAAAATATGTATTATAAATCGTTTTTTAACCTGTATTTTCTTTATTATACTGCAAATAAGTCAACTAATATATTTCGCGTTTAAAACCGTTAGATGTGTAGTACACGCAAAACCTACAGACCATACTTATATTTTATTGTATTTTTGTAACTGTTATTGCACGCTGTGTAAGCTTTAATCTATCTCAATAAAATTACTCGTAATACACACCTCCTGTTTCCAGATAACCCATATAATAGGGTTATCAATCGGAGTACCTTGCGATCGATTATATAACATATTATTAAGGTCGTCTTCGGTCGCCGCACTGATGGTCTCTGTAAATATTACGTGTGTCTGGTTAAACCACACAAGCCCAAGGTGATAAATAGGTCTTCGCAGCATTATTATGATTGATTTGTGAATACAAAAAACAAGATAAAAAGGTTACCCTTATCATTTTAATTTTTTGTATTTTCAAAAGTTCAACTATATAAATAATATTATTATTATTGTATGTCCATTACTGATGGGTACCGCTCAAGTAGAAATTACAAATGATTATAATTTTTATTACAAGAAATGTTTTTTTAGATCTCAATATTCCAGAAGATAAATCTATTTATAGAAATATAATTGAAATGTGAGTAATTTAATAAATGTTAGTACTGGGGAACATAAATAAATAAAACTCGTTATTGATCGACTCTACAGTCAATAATCGATTGAAACTACCTATTATGCTAATAATCTTAAATCGAACAATATCAAAAACGAGAATCTATTGTCAAACTTATAATCCTATATAAGTCCAAGTTTAAAAGTACAAATATAAATAACTCATACTAATTTTAAGCCGATTTGCTGCCCTGGCCATTACACCAATAAATGGCGGCGTGTTCGGGGCATATCCCAATATATTATCAGTCTTTAGTGAAGCTATTATATCAGTAGAAGTCAATGGACGTTCTGGTATCGCTTGCAACGGTGTCATAAAAACAGGTTTCGCAATATACGTAGCGAAGGAGAAGAGGAATACGGCAAACAGGGTTTCTATAACCAGGATTCGCCATCGCCGCCTGAAAACACTTCATTTCAAGCTAATAAGTCCCACGACATAGACCACGCTCTTCCACAGCGGCATGGCGTTTTTTAACGACTGTCACCATTAGATAAGTGAAATTAACAGATGGCTCGTTCTTAGAAGCTTCCGCAACTCAGGGCTGGTATGGGAAGTTTTTAAAATACCTTTTCGTCGGACCGTAGACTCGAACCCTAGACCACCTGATTTAAGAGAACAAACCACTAGACAAGTAAGAATGAATTAATTTAATCATTAAAGAGTGTACGTATCAATGGACTTGAAAGCATATTTAAAATAAACATTAAAATATTCTTAATATACTTGGAAGTTAAACGAACAATATATGTATTAGTCAAACATCTGGTCGAAGTACAATTTATTTGGTAACAACACAACAACACGCCATAGAAGTATGGACTCACTGTCTTTGAATATAAGACTTCCAAAAAAGGGTAGTCACTTGTCTTTGAAACCTATTGCGTATTGGTTTTTTTGCTTCTTCTACAGTCATTCTCACTGGGAAACTATTGAAATATAGTTAAAACAATTTAATATTATATTAATAGTCCTCACAAAAATAAACGACAATTGACTATGTTTAAAATTGACGTGACTTTTATTTTATCGGACAGTCTATATAGGTTTGCATTCTTTATATCTAAACTAATATATAAAGCTGAAGAGTTTGTTTGTATGTTTGAACGAAATTCTTTTTTGTGTTTGGTATAAAACATAGTAATGTAACTAACAAATGCGAACTAACAGCGGTAAATGTGTAAAAAACGGGAAGAAATATTCTTCCCTTTGGGTTTCCGATGCGTATCCTCCGACACCGGTTCGAGATACCCAAAATATATGTATGAAAGAATGATTCTTCTTTAAATTATCTAAATAATGTTCGCGACATTATATGTTTATCTTTTAAGATTAACTTGCAAGAATGACGGCGGCCGACGTCGTTTGCAAGAGTTTACATTTATAAAGATGAAGAGGAAGTTTGCAAAACAAATTTGGATGCCCAAGTTAACTTTTCTACGCGGACAAAGGCGAAACAAAGTAAAATTTAGAGAATAAAGAAGTAAAATAAGGGGGGGGAGTGGTACTTCGGCATTTTACGATAACAAAGCGTTGTGTAATTTTATGCTAATGCTTATTGGATTTTTTCAATCATGTCCTGAGTTTTGTATGCCAAGCTAATAAACGTAAGCATGGTGGTAAATATATAAATTGATGATATCACAAATTATTATCAGTTCAACGAATTTGGATGAGAAAATGGTTTATAGCGCCATAATACCGTTTATTGTAATAGGATTAATTGGGCCTTCTTTTGCAGGTAAGTAGTTAATTACTAAGAATATCCCTCTAATGCGCATGCGTAAACTTAAACGCAATTGTTTCTATGATATTTTGTTTTCAGGTATTCGAGTGATACGTTCGCCGCAGTTTTTCGGAAACTCCGATGACGATTCCTCTGGACTTGGATTAGGCGGGCGTGGATTTGGAAGCGGTTTTGGCCAAGGTTTCGGACAGTCTGGATACGGCGGAGGATTTGGTGAAGGTGGAGGATTTGGCCAAGGCGGTGGATACGGAGGAGGTTTTGGCCAAGGAGGAGGTTATGGTGAAGGTGGCGGTTATGGCCAAGGGGGTGGATATGGTGGAGGCTTCGGTGAAGGAGGTGGATATGGCCAAGGGGGCGGATACGGCGGAGGCTATGGTGAGGGAGGTGGGTTTGGCCAAGGAGGCGGGTATGGCCAAGGAGGCGGATATGGTCAAGGAGGTGGGTATGGCCAAGGAGGCGGATTTGGAAGCGGACTCGGTCGAGGATTCGGAGGGTCTCTGAGCTTTTCTAAGAGCTTAAGCTTCGGCTTAGGCAGTGGAGCTCAATCAGGTTCCAGCGCCTTCTCATTTGGAAAGTGATAAAATTGTTAATCTTGTAAGACTGATTATAATAATGTGTACTGTTTATAGTTTACGTGAGTAGTACACATTTAAATAAAACACTTTAACGGTTTAAAACGCGATCAAACCGTTAAAGTGTTTAATTTAAATATAATAATGTGTACTGATCACAATAACTACATGCCTACTTTCGTAAATTTTTACTAATCCAGTTTATTAAAATATTTGTTATAATACACTGAATAAAAAAAGTAAATAAAGTTTAAGATCCTTTGAGTTTCATTCCCCCCTGTCACACTACTTGAATTTTTTTATAATGAATACGAATTGTTATTGGTTGACAATGATGGATAAAAGATAATAATTTAATATACATTAGGTGACGCCTTGTTAAGCAATATTTTCACCTACACTTTAATACGAAGAGGCGACAAAACGTCGTGATTTATAGAGAATAGAGTTTGTAATAATTAAACAGACAAGAGAGTTATTTTTCAATAAATGTTTATTTTTATCTGTTTCTATCCCATAAGGAACACGTCTTAATTCGTAAGTATTTTGTACATAAAAATACGTAAATGGATTACTGACCCACTGACCCTTTAGACGTCCAACAACCTTAACATTCCCTTAACAATGTTTAATTATAACTGTTCAAAACCAAAATTAAATTAATCTGTCCTACCTAATTCAGGAGGTTAAGCGAGATAAACGAACAATATAGATTTTAATAAATAGGGTGATAGAAATATGTTAGATTATTCTATTATTCTTGTAAACAGATACCTAAAATACAAGGGATTCCCCTTGTTAGGAAATACTAACGTAAAACGTATGTACGGTGTAAACTCCTGTGTACAATAGTAATATACACTAAGTCGCTAATATAATTTTCCACGTAATATAAATACACTGTTTAAAATTTATTCTTATCAGTGACTAGCTAGATAAAGTACGGAAAATGCCACGCCCAATTTTCGCATTTGTATTAGCCATCTTATTGGTAGGGCCATCCTACGCAGGTATTATTAAAATCATAATTAGAAGTTTACACAATTACTTCTAACCTAAAATTGGGACGGTTTCGCCCCATATTATGATGAAATTAAGATTGTTTTTCTTTTAGGAAAGCGGGTTGTTAGATCACCACAATTTGGATTAGGCTTTGGTGGTGGATACGGTGGGGGATTTGGTGGAGGATTCGGAGGCAGTCTCTACCCTCATCCACCTCCACCACCGTTCTTTGGCCCACATTTCTACCACCCCGTACCGCCGCCTCCGCCACCGGGCTTCGGTTACGGTCTTAGTGGTTATGGTCATGGTTATCCAGGTGGCTACTATCCAGGTGGTTTTGGCCATGGATATTATCCAGGTGGACTTGGAGGCGGTCTCAGCATAGCTAAGAGTGTCAGTATTAGCTCAGGATTAGGCGGTGCACAATCAAACTCAGAGGCCTTTGGATAAAGCGTTAACCAATTAGGATAATAAAATAGCTAATAAGTTTTTGACCATTTTCATTTCATTTCATTATGTATCTCAATACTTTTCAATTATTTAAACATCAATAGAAAAATTGACGAAAACTAATACCTTTTATTTACAACCTTCTTAAATGGGAGCTAACTACCCTAGTAACTGTTAAGCAGTGATCGGCAGGGACTACATCAAATTCTTACGACCTACTAGTACTTAGAACGCAAGCAATGTTTTTTATAAGAACATAATTATGACACAAAGATTTTCCTCTAAATAATCTTTTCTTAGCAACAGGAAGAGTTCTTCCCTCGTTCGAAACTCTTATTAGTAAACTATAAATCTGTCATGTACTGCACTAATAATCACCTACTTGTTAATAGCAAATGTAGACGATCAAGTACAGCCATGAAGTGTTAAGTTATATATAAAGTGAGAAACATTTTCTGTGTCAGTTCTAAAAAATATACTGTATCATAATGTTTCGTTTTTTGGTGTTCAGCACGTTTTTGATAGTTTTCGGTTTATCTCATGCCGGTAGGTCATGTGTTATATTAAATCTTATGACTGCTTTGATAATGTGCACTAATAATAATACACTAACTAATAGAGTAATAAAATAAAAATTCATTTTTGGTAAAACTTGTTCCAGCCCAACGAGTAGTGAGATCACCACAGTTTGGATTCAGCCAAGCAAGCGCCAACGCGCAAGCTGGAGGATTTGGTGGCGGAGGTTATAACAGATTTCCACCTGAACGTTACGGTGGACCCGGATTCGGTCCAGGATTTGGCCCACGTTCGCCTCCTAACTTTGGCGGTCCTGGTTTTGGTCCACGCAGTTTTGGCCCAGGCGGCTTTGGAAACGAACATTACGGCCCTGGCGGGTTTGGGCCAGGACGTTATGGACAAGGTGGTTTTGGCCCAGGTGGATTCGGGTCAGGTGGCTTCGGTCGTGGCCCCGGTTTCGGTTCTGGTGGATCATTGAGTATATCAAAAAGTGTTAGCATCAATGCAGGTAGAGGAGGTCCTTCTGAAGCCAGTTCCAGTGCTAATTCTTTCGGTAAATAAATAAGAGACAATGTTTTAAGGTTATACACAATTTTTTAAGTCAATTGTATGTTACGAAAATAAAAGTTTACTAAGTGAACGTTTTTTTTTCTTTGGTTCAACACTATATTTTTTTCGTATTCTTATTATGGTGATATAACGCTAACAAATTTTAGCAAATAATTTAAAGATGACAAATAGTGCAGATTTTTAACTTAGAAATGTTCTTGAATCTGGTTTCAACTGAAATCCCTTTTGTTAGTTAAACATTCAGTGCAAATGGAAAATTGTCCGGATTTTAATTCCCCCATTATTTAAAATATTACATCCTAATTTAAAATATTAATTTTAAATTAAGGTAAATTAGAATAACACTTATGAGAAGTGATTTCATTGTTTGTTATTAATTAAATTCTATTAAATGATCTGTTCGGTGTTTTATTCTATTACCTAATACAGTTAATTCATTTTTGACAATACCCAGGTAGTTATCTATATACAAACTAAACTACTAAGAACCATATACGAGTATATCAATATTGCATCTGACGGATTCATTAGTCCAATGGTGTATGGATCAACGAGTTTCGAGTCCGATTCCCATCAGATAAATCTAATTAATCACTTTTAACTCCAAAAAAATTGGATATAAATGGATGATAGGAATTAAGAAATGCCATCCGCGTTCTACATCTACAAGCGATAGAATTGAAAAGTACAAATACATTTGGGTTTCAGTCTGTCGAATTTTGAATGTTGAAGCTAAAACAGATTGATATGTAGTTAATTTGGTAGTCATGTTATATCGCGGGGATATTTTACATTCCATTGTTATAAACACGTATAACATCTTACAACTACGATGAAACGTTCATTTTGCACAAATCAGCAGCATTTTAATGAATCTAAGTTCATGCAATTAAAATTCGACTAAACCCTTTAAAAACTTTAATTGTTGTGTTTTAATAATAATAATACGCTCTGGTAGTAATGGTAGAAGTAAATATCTTGAACATTAACGTTAAGTATTTTTGATTTTTGACAAAGCGCTTTAATATGTAGTAAACAAAAGTCGTCTTTAAAATTAAATAAGGTGTGCCCACATGGGAGTTTAATTTTGAACCCATAAAAACGTCTTGAATATATATTTTTAAATACACTGCATAATTAAATATTCATTATTATTAAAACAAAGGAATACATTAATTTTTATCATGTATGAACTTTTTAATTTAAAAATCGAAAATAAATTGAAAAAAATTTCGACTTGGGCAGGCTTGAACCGGCATCGTCAACGTTCCGTGCTGTTGCTCTACCAATTGAGCTACAAATGACTCGGTAGCTCAATTATTTTCGATATTTAAGTTATATAGTGCTTTCATGTATAATAATATGTAAAAAAAGATAAAGTTTTCAAATGTATTTACTTCGTAATCAATAATAAGAAGTTATCTGAAGGTACTTATATTCTTAAGCCAGGCACAATATTATTAACATTGATTCTTCAAAAAAACACTTTATTCTATTAATGAAACACTAGCAATATTATCACCATTAAAAGTGAGTATAATTTTAAATAATAAAAAATAACAATTAACATAATTATTACTTTTAATAAAAATTATGCGGTTAGTACGCGAATTCTAACTAGGCAACTAAGTGTTACTATTTATACGAGTTCCCTCAAATGTTTACTTAAGAAATTATGAGCTCTCGGCATTTTGCTTTAAAAATATTATTCATGGAATTCGGACATGTCATTGTCAGATGTGCAATAACTATAAAACGATAGCAAACTATAGTAAAAGGCCAGATCGAAAAGCGCTCTCAGCACGATGGCAAAATTAAGCGTCATTACATTATCTCTAATTGTTTGGAGTGCAACGGCGCATCCAGGTAAAATAGTTTATACTTCTTAAAAAATCATAACTACAAATTAATCTTTTTTAATATCTGTATTTTTATTTATTGCTTTGGAAAACGTTGCCTAACTCAAATTCATATTTAAATACATTGTTTTCTTTTTTTAAAGATCTGATTTACGTAGTTACAAGAATATATATATATATATTATAAACATAGTTCATAATATTTTCAGATTCCATACAGTTGAATCGTGTGGTAAGGTCACCTCACTATGGTAGTTTTGAGTTTCACCCATTCCCACCACCACCATACCCTTTCTTTCAAACAAATAATTGGAGCGGTATCACAAAAACCTCTGATGGCAATACCCAGGGAGTGTACAGTGGTGCATCTGCTAGTGCTAGAAATACAGGATCGACTTCTGGACAAGCACTGTCACTAGCATCAGCGGACTGTGACGATGACACCTCAGGGCAATCTGGTGTTATTTCCGGCAAAGAGAGTGGAAATGGCTTTACGGAGCAAGGTCACGGTGGCGTATTCGGAGGCTACGGAGGACATTTCAGTTCCCAGAAAGAAAGTCATTATTCTTCTCAAAGTGGAGGAGGAAAATTTGGATTTGGCGATTCCTTTAGTGACAATAAGGGCCATTTACAAACAGGAGGTATATTCGATATTTCTAAGAACGGAAATGGTCAGGCAGCATCGAATGGCTTCGCAAGTGCAAATTCCCAAAGCTCTAATTTTGCAAAAGAAAATGTAGATGGACAACAACAAGTTGAATTAATAAATGGAGGTTTACAGAGAGGTGACCAAGGACAAAGTAACCTTATCACAAGCAATCAATCCGGTTTTGGAGGATTTAAACATCAAGAACAAGGCGGTGGTTTAGCTGGCTACAAAGAGAGTGGAGTGGGCCAACAAACAGGTTCTAATGGATTTGAAAATACTCAATTTGGACGCGACTTTAACAAACAACAAGAAGGTAGTGGACTAAGTACTATTGATGGTAAACAGGATACTAATGGTGTTTTCAAATTCGAGGGACAACATAATGTTGGTTTCGACCAGGGCGGCTTCAGTCAACAGCATGGCCAACACGAACTTCAACAAACAGGTGGGTTTCTTCAAAGTCAAGAAAATATAAGACCTGAACAACAAAATGCACAAACAGGATTAGCGGGATCTGGCACGGGTCAAGCTTCGTCATATTCTTACGGGAGAGGTTTCGGTTATAATCGAAGTTTCCCTGGATACGGGCGTCTTACTTATGGTCGGCACTATGATAATAGCTTCGACAACTCCAGATACCAAGAAAGTGAGAAAAATCAAGCACAACAAAAGCAATCAGAATCTGAATTTACTAATAACGCAAATGAAGCCACCCAAGGTTCTGGCAGCCACGATTCATCATCAACCATCGGAGGAGCCTTGAATCTCGCTTCGCAAAGTCTTGATGCTGCGAAAAAAGCTGGTTGTAGCACATGTAATAAAGAAGGAGGCTATGCTTTTAGTAATGCTAAAAGCCATAGTGGATCGGCCATTGCTGTCGCTATCGGTGGTTAAAGTATTTATCCTGCAAAGTATTGAATATGAACTGTGACCTAAAAAACTTAATAAACATTGAATATAAGTTTTGAAGATTTTTATATTATATACCTATATTTTATTTGTTTAACTCAATCACAATAAAGTTAGAGTTAAAATATTTATTTATTTATTCAGGAGTGGAAAACTTACAGCCAGTACAAGAGCATCGACAAATTAGATATCAAAAAGTTAATTTTTGATTTTAGAATATAAAATTAAAACAATATTGTGCATAAGCTTGTAAAACTTGAATCAACTCTAAAAAATTGTTTTTAAATAGATATCACCCACTTTTCTTTTTAATATATTTCAAAACTGAACTGATATCGTAAAATAGAGGAATTTTGCCTCAGGACATAGGTATTTTAAGACAATGCTAAGTGTATTAATGAATTACTTGTTCAAATAACATTACATAAGCAAAAATTCCAAGTAAACACGCTATGAGAGTAATCTGCATTTGTGTATGTTAAATCATGAGACGACGCCAATATACATAATACATTAACACTCAGACGCTATTTAGGCTCCGATACCAGGTAAGTTCTGTCAATTTGTTTTATCCACACTCGAGGAATACTTAAAGACATTGTCTAAGGTGACGAAGTATATTGGTATAATGGTGAAGTTAAGTCATCTTGACGTCTCGGCTTTTCTATCTGTGGCATTCTTCATCACAATAGCGGCTAATGATTGTAAGCTTTTAAAACTTATCTAGTCTGAATTTCTTATTTAATGAATTTCGGAGATCGACCTTATTGTTTAGGCATATAAGGTCTAAACAAGATGCAATGTCGTCCTTCGGAAATCCACATCCAAGCAAAACTCTCAATTAAACGATATGAATTTGATATTCCTACCAACTATTAAATATCCAGATTTCCAGACGAAGATCAACATATTTTAGAAAAATTATAAATCTGTTAACAAATTTTGGACCCGACAACCAACGAGCCCGACAAAAATTTCTACCTTTTCAATTGTAAAAAATAAAATGTAGTAATTGCAGTCTTGTTATACATTTAATATGGTTTATATTTTTTTATGTCATTTCAAATTCATTTACACAATGTTTTGGATGATTGTTCGGGTATAGTTCGCTCTATCGACGCTCTATTGTATGAATCAACATTATTTTTCTAGGCTTTGGGAATATCAACTACTTCTTATTATTATTCAAATAAAATATTTGTACATTTCAGATGGGCCTATATTAAATCGGATAAAACGTGTACCGTGGAATACAAATTACTATGGCACATATGATAATCCACACCCACCAGTTTGGGCACCGTATCAACGTACTTCGTCTGCAGCTCGACCGTTTTGGCTTCCAAATGAAAGGCAAGTTATTCAGAGCCAGGATTACATAGAGCAGAACCAATTTAGAGGCTATCCATATACCAAAACTCCACCCTGTGAGAACTGCAGAAAGGCTGGAGTTACAAGCAATTCACAAAGCGATACGGGTGATGCTATCTCAATTGCGATAGCTGGTACTCCGAATATGTGATTAAATAAAAAAAAATAAACTGATTGAAACGCGGAATTAATTTTTGGACTTGGAATTTTTGGTGCTTCATAACAATGATATTGAATATCGAAAATATTTTTAGTCATAAGAAAATAAATTAACATAAGTTAAAGACTGTCTATAGTTTACGCGAGTAGTACACATTTAAATAAAACACTTTAACTGTTTAAAACGCGATATATTAGTTAAACTTATTGACAATGATTTTTAACTTCGGCCCGACTTTTCGGATACTTTGCAACAGTCGTGGTCACGAGGAGACTACAGATGGAGGATATCTCTGGCGTTAAAGTAAAATTTGCTACCCTAGCGCCATCTGTTCCGTTCAAGTTGGTATTTCCAACCAATTTCGCCAAACAAATGGGGGGCCGAAGTTAAGAATAAGTTTATTTTATTTAAACCGAGCTTTGCTAAATTTTATTAACAGGCGATGCTAAACTAATATTATTGTTAAACTCTAGTTCCTACTATTTGTTTTTTAGTAAGTTCTGCGACATCTGTGATTGACATTCAGCCTACGAATAAATTTAGACAGTTATTGGTGTTATCTTTTTTTATTGTACCGCAAAGTTAATCCTTGAGTTTAAACTGCTTTGAATATATTATAATTTTTATCGAAGCGTCCATGTAAAAAAAATTGGCCAACTCAAAACTATGTATTTCATTTTACAAAATGAAGTAACTTATTTATTAATAAAACATTTATAGTTTGGCGTATTGGCGCATATTAGTGATATACCTATATTAATGCTACATAATATAAGATTTAAGTACAAATAGCTAGGAAAAGACCATTTGATATAAAGGGTCATTGCCTAGGTCACGTTTGCTTCTGCGTATGCGCAGAGACAGCGACTACGACATTTTGCATAATGAGTGGGTGTTTAATATTCTTTGGAATTAAATAACTTATTTTGCATACACATAACTCCATATAAGGGTATTTGGCATGCCAAATAACTTCCGCAGGAAGTCAAGATCAATGTATATGCGTGGGATTCGCCCTTGTTTCAAATAATATAAAACTCCTAAAATTTTAAAACATCAGCACATCTCAACTAGTAGTATTACACTATTTAAAAACTAAACAACATGTCTTCTAGTTTTCTAATTTTTACGCAACTTGTAATTTTTATAGTTAATCACGAAATAGTAGCTGGAGGTAAAGTATATTTTAAAATTATTAATTAATACTAAGTTAAATTTACTGCTAGTACTTTTTCTATGGCTAATTTAGTTTTAACAAAAAAACTTAATGTTTTCAGCAGCACAAAACGAAGGAAGACATTTATCGAAACATAAATGTCAATTCGGTGCCTGTGGGGGAGGCAACTTTGGGGGAGGGTTTGGAAATTATGGGGGGTACCAGCAAGGGTACCCGTACCCTCCTATCAATATAGGGATTAGTCAGTCGCAGGCGTCTTCACCGGGCTATAATAGTGGTTATTACCCATTTTACAACCAAAACAATCAGTACAATGGTTATCCTTCACAAAACTATGGACCATATTCAAATTTTGGACCATACGGTCCAGGATTCGGAGCTGGCGGTTATGGACCCTATAACAGACCATTTGGAAATGGATTTGGCCCTGGATATAATAATCAATTTAATGGAAACTACTATTTAGGGGATACTGGGAACGGTTATGGCTTGGTGAAGAGGTTCAGCGACAATTATGAATACGACAACTTAAACGAGGATGACGAAAGATCAGCAAATAGCAGACTGAAACAGTCATAAGTAAATACATCTAATGTAGTTATTTTAACATATGTACATAATATTAGTGAATTTGTATTTTGTCAGAATAAAAATTAAAAATACTGAAATGATTTTTTCAATACCCGCAGCTTCACATTAGGATAAATCACCCTTTTAAAACATATGACTTTCAAATCGTAAGCTAATAGAGTCGGTGCCTATTCGTAGTTCACGACAAATTAAAGTACCAGATTAATAAAATACTTTTTAACTGGTCGAAACCACCTGGTTTTTATTAACACCTATTGTTGTTTTCGCATTTCAATCTCAATAATAATTACTACAACTGTATAACAAATTTGCTCTACCCATCCTAAATTTATACAACAAAACAATGTCGCTTAGATATTATGAAACAATATTTATTCGTAAATTATGCAATATTTAAGTTCGTATGAGATGTGGCAAAGATTCATTTCGTAAATAGGTAAAAGTGTTACGTTCGCTGCCGCCATGTTTTTACTAGACAGCAACAGATTGTCGCTTGTTTCTTGACTCAGCACACGCGTCAACATGAGACTTGTCATTTTAGTATCAACGTTCTTTATCTTATTGTCTTTAACATCTGGTGCACCCCAATCTAAGCTGCAGTTTGGTAATGGTAAGTGACTTGCCATAAGAAGTAACTAACATAGTATGTATTTGCTCTTGTCTTTGTCTTAGGTATATAACCCAAAAGACAATAACTATAATAGTAATCTAGTTTAAATTTATATTTTTTATTATGTATATTCAGAATTAGAATTCCTTATTTTAATGTTAATTGTATGCTATTTAGAATAGTTTAATCGCTAAATAAAAAGTTAACACGACATAAATTTAAAATGGTTAACAGATCATCAATAATCACACAAATAACATCTTAATATTGTGCTTAAATTATTTTATCACGTCCATTTTAAATTAAACTTCGAAGATTCACGATCAAATAGGTTCTCATGGAAACTAGTTAGACTGCAAAATAACTTATTAATGATACAAGAACGTAGGTGTATGTGCAACTAACTGGTCTTTGATTATGCAAAAAACGTCACAATTTTATACACGTTCTACTGTACTTGCTGCGGTTTACGTCTTTTGTAGCACTTGCGTTATTAAGAATGTATTATTACATTATCTTCCATACTGTACTTTGAAGCCCTGTTAACTCCCAGTATTAGGATATAGATAATATTGACAGTTATTATACAAAAAGTTAATACTGTTGCAAAATTATCGCTACAGTTGTATTTACCTTACTAAATAAATAGTAACCCTTGTCCGCAATACCACAGCTTTGGTAATTTATGTGGGTTTAAACTTCATGTCTTTTTTATAATAAAAACTCAGCTTAGCTCAAAAATAAGGGTAGCCTGGAATAGATAGTCAAATTTTTTGAGCTAATGATAAGATAAGTGTTTACTCTATCTATGATGCCCCTAAGCATCATAAATAGAGTAAACACTTATCTTAGGTTTCATGTTAAAGTCAAATCCGACAAGATTATACACATGATTTATTATTTTATTATGATTATGAATATATACTTACAGACAACAAGCAAGTTCTGGAGGAGGTGGTTGTTGAGTCAGTCTTACACATAAAAAGTCCATCTGGCCGACAAGCAAGAACTAACACAAGGACGAACCTACAAGATGGCGCTCGCGTCGCGGAAACCAAACGGACGAATAACAATTAGTTATTTTGAATTTTAATAATAGTTAGTATTATTTATAATAACAACATTGTTTTCATTAAATATAATTTGTGATATTAAACTCTTATTATTAAATATGTCTATGTTTTAATTTGTATGGCAACTTACAATAATTTTTTAGAAACGTTATGTATTGTGATTACATAATTAATCATTTAAACAAAAAGTATTCAAGTACCTTGCGCGACCATTCCAATCGACTACTGTGACATCTACCGACTTATAAACAAATCAATATTCAAAATTCTGATATAGATAAAAAAAGTCTTAATCTTCTTCTTCCAAAGGAATTTCGTGAGAACGAACAAATCGTATATTCACATATTTAGATACTCATAAAGCTTCCTTTATTTATACAACATATTAATAAGAATCTGTGAAATGCTAATTATAATATTTAAAAGTAAAAACAAAAAAGTTTAATTATAATAATAAAACACTATGTTGCACAGACAAATAAAATACAAATATAGTAAATATTATATACAAAATTAAAATGAAATATAATATACTAAATTAATAACTTACATTTAAGATCTAGTGCAATGGAGGTCTTATCGAGTATGGCGATGGCAAAAAGGAAAAAAAATGACAATAAAAGAATAATATGCTATAAATTCTACTTACAAAGATATCAAATACTAACACAGCAAAAATCGTTTATTTCTTACTGAAACTCAATGTTTTCGTTAATATTCAATAGTTTAACAGTATACATGGAAAGATGGACCTGACAACAAATCACTGACACCCCTCGCATAAGAATCGTCTAATGCAAAGTTCTGAGAAGCTGTAAACGTATTCTCCGCATATGAGCCAAATAAATAATCGTGGATAGTGCGCGCGCGCCTCTAACGGTCACGAGATCCCTTGTTCTTTGATTGTATTTAAATTTGGTAGTTTTTGTATCGCCAGTATACGGAATGTTTTAAATGATACTAGCAAATGATTACCAGCAATACAAAAATATAAGAAATCTCTATAAACTGGCCCCGTGGGATAAATCGCGACTAGCATTGTCTGGTATTGTAGTAAGCGCAAGAGCCGGCTTGTAGGGATCGGGCTTAGAGTTCGTATCACAACAACACACACACAAGGCACAATAATGTGTCTGTGTCTGAAATGAAACGGTATTTCAAATAAATAAACTTGAAAAGGCCTTTTCAACCGGACAAGCTTGTCGCTAATACACGCGAAAGCTGCCGTGGTCACGGGGAGACACGGCTGCTGCAAAGCATCCGAAACGTCGGGCAGGAGTTAAAAATCATTTTCAAATAAGTTTAACTAAACCGTTAAAGTGTTTTATTTAAATGACTTTCATTGTGCATATTTTTATTAGGCACATTTTTAGCACGTCCTGTATTAGGCGACTTTAAGCCGAATTGCAAATATTCAAAGCACGTTTAAATTTCATTAAAGCGTCTACCGCATATTCCATGAATAAGGATTATTAATAATGTTTTTCATAATACAAATGGAATATAATTATAGATTACTAAAGTTAGTAATAAATACTAAAGATATGTGTTACGGAGATTTGGTATCATCGTTGATTGGTACAAAGTTGTAAGAATTATACAAACTTTTAGTTATTTATTTCAAACACGTCCTGAAGATATCACATAAATTACTTTTGTAGAGCTTCCGTAAACATTAAAGGTTTTACTTAAAAATGAAGAGGGCTATAATAACAAATGCTTATATTAAATTACTTTTATCTTAATCGTAACTCAAAATGATAAAATTGGTATTATTGTCAAATACAACAAACTAACAGTGAGAGAACTGTTCTCATTATGAGCGTGACTTGAACGCTGTGGTCTGTATTGCATTGAGTAGCTGTTACGGTAAATAAACAATGTTTTAAAAAATTTTAGAGACTTTTTTTATTTTTTTCAAGACAGAAACGTGCTTGAATACTTTGCTCCTTGACGCGTTTCTTTATAATATTGTAATTTTTTGACACGGTAAATCCCCTCTGGAAATCTAGAAATATAGAAATTCCGTCATAAACACGAACCACGTCTACATAGGTGAAAAGCAGTGAAGTTTTTTACGTACATATTTTAAATTTCATTCTATTGTTTTTTTATTTATGTCCAAAGACAATAACGGCAAATTGTTAAATTAAAATACAACACCCACACACATCACATAAGAAATCTGTAATTAAAAGTAATTATAAGTGTAAATGTAAAAAAATATATAAAAGCCTTTATACCAATTTATTTATTTTTCGCTAACTTTAATAAATTCTAAGCAATGTCACAAAGTTAAGCAAAATACACCTGTTCGAATAAAAAACTTATGTAATATTCAAGTAAGTAATTGGTCATACTACAGAAATAATGTTTATTCAACAAATAATGAAGTCGCTACTTCATTTACCTGGGATAAGTACAAATTGTATGTTTTTTGTTCTTGAGACATATACACGTTTGATCCACTGTTTTTTTTGAAAGAACTCTATATTTCACATGATAAAGGTAACATTATTAAGAAGGGAATTATTTCTAATTTGAAACTTAGTGCAACTTTTATGAAAATTTATTATTTAATTTCCATAACATTGTTAGTCAAGAATATGTACATATGTATAATGAACAACGACTCATGCGCGTCAGACTCTTGTCAGTGCTTTTTTTAGGGTAGTATTAATATTCCAAGATAATAAGTTCGCAGCTGTATCTCCGAATTTATTTCAATACAGAACAATAAAAATCCGCGACACGCGTGACGAATCGTGATTAGCAAAAAATCTGGTTATAAATTAAAAATAGATGCGGCGCGTGAATCTTAAGATATACGAATTATCATATGCTTCTTGAGGTAATATGCATACATGAACCCAACAATGCTCCCAGATATTTGGTAATCTTTAAAGATATTGGTCTTATTATCAACGGTTCGTGGCTTTTATACCACATTTTAGAATATATTGGTGTTAGGATTTCTAAATATCTAAAGCAAAATACGTCGACATCACATCTTGTTTAGATCTTATAAGGCTATTCGCTTACCATCAGTGTACCGTCCTCTGTCGTCTGTCCTTGTCTATGATTAAAAAAAATTGCTATAATTATTTTTTTCAAACTGTATAGTTTACGCTAAATGGTACAAGTAAAATTAATTAAAAAACACTGCAACGCACACTTTAATAAATAACTAATGCTAGTACTTACTTCGACTTACTTAGTTCGACTTTCATACTTCAAATTGTATTTTTTTGCTTCTATTTTTAGCAGTACTCTGGGAGTAGATTTTACCATGATTTTATGTAACTTCTTTGTTCATTTACGTTACAGAAAATGCGTGCAATTTACGCAAAAAGCCTACGCCGTAGAAGTCGCACTATTTGAGGTTTATATTCAAAAAATGTTATAAAGTAGTAAACAAAGGTTATTATAACATATAGCCTCAAGCAGGATACTCGTAAAACTTCGTCGATAGCGTTTAAATAAAACACTTTTAACGATTTAAAACGCAAATATATTAATTAACTTGTTTGTAATTTATTTTAACTACGATTCGACATTTTTGATTCTTTGCACAAGCCTTGGCTAAGGGGGGAGGATTTAATAAATTATAAAAAAGTTAACAATACATTCGATATTTAAAATTTGCATGTTGCATTTTTCTTTACGAGGCTCACGTGCGTCACACCCAATTCGTAGCAAAATGAATCACATAAAACAATGTCACGAATTAACAACAGTGCTTGTGTCATGTTACCCTTTTTCAGAATTGGATTTTACGTTCTTATTATGTGGAAGTTATCGATATCAATACATCAATCTGTTATCATATATATCTTTGTGTGCATAAAATAGCAACGAGATGACGTGCATATTTATAAAGAATGTTGATTTATAAATATTGTGTTATAAGTCTCTAAATTATTTGATTAAAGTGAATTATACAAAAGTCGATATTTCCATCTTGTTTAGGATGAGTTATTGAGCGTCTCCGCAGCACAATATTTATGCTGCGATGACATGAATCACAAGTCTTCGGTTCGGATACCTGTAAATAAAATCAATCAATAAAACTGACACAGAAAGAATAGTAAATAAGATTTCACACAAAGGAGAAATGTTAAACAGACAGTTTGTTTATTTTAGCAAACGAGCCGATTGCATTTGAATAGAAATGATCAAATAAAGTAATACCGTTCAAAGTGATTTGAATAAAGTTTTATCAAGAATTATACATCAAATGGATGTATGTGAATTATTTCTAAGAATTTAACTCGTCAATTCGATTTTTATTTAATTCAAAAACTGTGTTTTGATAGAATTTAATATTATAAGTGTAGGTTCGATTCCCATCGGGTCTAACATGTTTGTAATAAATGTATATATTTTTTGAAACATATTGGACTAGAGAGATATTAGATGGATGGTAGGAATATAGAAATTCCATCCTGGTCACGTACACTGAAGTTTATCGCGTTTCGCTTTCAGTCTTCGGATTTCCGATTATCCAAATCTAATATGGGTCGAGAGCGCGTCGTGTTATATGGTTTATTTTACCTTCCACCAAATAAACCACGCTACGTCCACGTCTGTCCTTCTCTATCATAAAAAAAGTTGTATCACAGATTTTTTTATGAAATCATTGTTTGAACCGAATACAATAAAATTATGCGATGCACATATTGATCCAGAAGATATATATAAGTTATTGAAGACAGATACAGAATTAGTTTTTATCTTAGGCACGTTAGTATTGATAAGAGTAGACAAGAAACAGGAAAATGGTAACCCTATCACAAATTCAGTCCACACCATATAAAGGTGTAAAACTTACAATACTCATGACTGAAGCTAATCATATAGAAGACTTGCCAAGGTTATGATAGAAATAACTTCGTGGTCTTTGCTTTTGGACTGGCAGGTTTTACGCTGGCAAGACCACAGCTTTGCCTATCTCATCTCATATAAAATATCGCATCCATAGATGCATAAGGATTAATCTATAGAAATAAATTCTGGAACAATTGAAGAAAGTACAACGCAAAAATGCTAAAATAATAAATTGAACGGAAAAAGTATGTTACAAGCAGTTGAGTGCAACTTCGTTCGATCGATTCGAAGTTCGATCTTTAAGTCTGGAAGGATTTAGACCTAGGTAATACGGGTATAAACTTTTATGTCCTACCCGACCGAAACACTTTACTCTTTTTCTGGGAATCGAAGGCAGGACCCAATACTAGGCATAATGTTGAACAATTGAGTTGTGGAAGTGGAACAACATTACATTGAATTTCTGATATGGAGTTTGGCGTCATCATCTATCACATACTGGACGTCATATTTAACAACAAGGTTTTGGTCTCATTAAATAAATATGAATTAAAAAGATGATTATCAAATACTGTCTAGATACTTTACGCGAGTAATACACATTTAAATAAAAAACTTTAACAGTTTAAAACGCGATATATTAGTTAAACTTATTTGAAAATGATTTTATACTCCGGCCCGAAGTCTCCACGTGACCACGGCTGCTGCAAAGCATCCGAAACGTTGGACCGAAGTTAAAAATAATTTTCAAATAAGTTTAACGAATATATCGCGTTTTCAACTGTTAAAGTTTTTTATTTAAAAGATGACTATCACTTAATATTTGTACTAAAAGATAATTATGTTATTATTATTACTACTAGTAATGTACAGTTTTGGATGTCTTTTATATAACTACGAAACACATTTCTGTTTAACAATTGTGTTTGCCCCATGCCCCACGGAGGAAACCGAGTTTCACTTGCCGAATAAACATGTAAATTTGTTACTTTCACTGATTTTTATATATATATTATAAACAATAAGCCAACGTCCTACTAATGTACATGCCTAGAACAATTTGAAAGCTCCAACTAACGGTGTACTGAAACCGTTTGTATGTCTTTGTATCAGATCCTTATCTTAACATCTCGCAGACGACAGCCGAAGCACAGTCTGAATGTCTGTGCATATAAAATATGATAGTATTAATGCGAATTCCGCAGAAAAAGATATATGCTGCTAAGAGGTGTTAATATATGTGTACAGTGGTGAAATTGGTAGACTAATACAATTACTAAGAATGGGAAAATAGCCTAGTCCGTTTGCCTACGATTTAGTTAGGCTTTATATAAAAACTAGCTGGGCCTGCACGACTTCGACCGCGTGAAATAGTGAACTTGGGCTTCATATTATTTACTTTTGCAACTTTTGCCCACGACATCGTCCCTATCCTATAGGTCGCAGTCTGATGTTTTACAGCCTTCCCCAATAAATGGTCTATCCAACTACAAGCACGCTTGGAAACCCGGAGAGATTAATATTTTTTCCCGTTTTTTCCACATTTCCCGCTCCTATTAGTCACAGCGCCATGTCATATTGCCTATAACCGAGGAAGGAATTTTTCAATTCGAACCAGCACTTCTTGAGATTAGCGCGTTCAAACAAGCAAACACTTTAGCTTAATATATTAATAAAGATAAGGACCTGTTACAAAAACGAAACTGAAAAATGAAAACCACACCCAATTAACAGCATGAATCTTTGCGTTTTCTTGCAGACAGTGTGTCGCTATTTTTACTTGAACAAATGCGCATAGTTATGCCCTCATAAACATATCAGAAACGATAAGATCACGGTCAATCTGCTCGCACTGAACCAGGAGCTCTTGAATACAAATTCAACATTCAATGTTCCGACGGGACTCACTCCTACGTGGAGGTTTGCAAATTTGACTGTTATGAGGACTAATACGAAAGATAGTGATTTTATCAGTGCGGTAAAAGAAGCTGATGGTATCATAGTAGGTAGCGGTTTCGTGCCTAAAATATCTAATCCATCATTTAAATTCATGATTCTTGACCGATCTGATACGCCGTTATGGTAATCTTTTTTTTCAAATACATCAATTTTAAAGTCTACAACATCTGAAAACTTTAATATAATTCACATGCTGGGACTATATGAATTAAAAATGGATAATATATATACCGAGGAACTGAGTGTCTCGATAGCTTAATTTTTTATCGGTCCCTTGTTCGTCTACGTCTTCGTCGTCTAGATCAATAAAAACCTATATAACAAATACATATATTTTTTTATTGTCTACCTTTAAAGGTACCTCAACAGACTTTACATAAGATCGAATTTATAATACATTTTTAAATATTCAAATTCGCTACGAAAACTAGCAATCGGTCAGTTTCCAAAATAGATTTGAGACTTTGTCGAACGGTCGAACCATGTAAAATAAGACCCGCGGACCCGGATAGAGTACGTGTCATGAATCCCAATTAGAACAAACAAAATGGACTATATAATGCGACAGTTGCTTCTCTTGCGCACTAACTCCAAGACATTTTAACGAACAGCACCCTACGAGACACTAAGGGTATAAAGTGTATAGCGAGGTCCATTCAAAATGCAGCTTGCTGTGTCTTTAATTGCAGTTTGTGCGTTAATCAAAGTTGAAGGATATCCCTCTCCGTACTATGGAGCTAATGTGGATTCATGTAAGTATTTGTAATGTGAATTCTAATGATGGATGCCGCGAGTAGATCCATACTGAACAGATGTTCCTGTTTATATACAGACATGCAATTAATAATATATAATTTATTATATACCAAATAGTTAACAAAAATAGTTTATATATATATAGACATTTCTATATAACTATAACCAATTCAATATATAGTAAACAGACAGACATACAAAAGCAATATATGGGTAATAATCAAATTAAATGGATGGTAGAAATATTGAAATACCGCGCAGGTTATCAACCACCATCCACAGATGAAAAAACCGTAAAATTTAATCGTGTTTCGGTTTCAGATTATGGATTTCTAAATAGATCAACAGCGCATTTTGTTTAGATTTTACATGACTGGGATATATACGTACCATCAAGGGAACCCCGTGCTTGTTTATCCTTCTCTTTCATAAACAAATATATGAAATATTAGATTAATCTTGAATTCAGTACGTAGATAAACAAAGATTTCTTTTGCAAAAAAATTCTTATTTTTACAGACTCATTCGGATCCGCCGACAGGAATCGCGGCGGAATGGTGTTGAGTCGTTACTATAACCCATACTATAATCCTAGAGCTGTAGGTGGTGGTATGGCAGCCTTTATGTTCAAACCCGAACAATACCAACCTCAGACCAGTCAGTACTACCTCCCAGACAGAAGACGTCAAACACCTCAGGATATCAACTTCGCACCACCACAACAAAATGAAGTTTATTATCAAACTCCTGAAGTATCAGGCAGACCAACTTACGTTCCCCAATCACCTTTCGTCCCAGAGGAACCGACTGTTACAGAAAGTACTGAAATCGTAGACCCTACTGAAAAGGTAGAAACTCCTACTACACAAAAAACTATATCGGTTCCAGAAATAACCGAACCTGAAGTCGAAGAGATTCCTGAACCTACTCCGAAGAGACGTGTTACAAAGAAGAAACAAGTAAAACGGCCAGTTAATGAAGACGAAGAAGAGGGAGATGATTATCCTCCCAGGATTCCTACTGGCGCATACTTCCCCATGTTCTTTGGATATGGTGGGAGGTCTTCACAAGGAACTCCCCAAGGTGCCACGGCTATAGCAAATGCCTTTAGCACAGGCCGTGGAGGAGTCGCTACAAGCCACGCCACTGCCTATGGACCACCAAGACCAGAAGCTAAATTGTAAAAATAGATCTAAAAGTCATATTCTTTATAGTTTTACAAAATATACTTTGAATTTAATATTTTCGAGTATAATTTTTAAAACAGGTATAGTTTCCACTTCATGAGGTATAGGACGAACACTTTTCTGTGTCCGTTCATTAGTCCATTTTACTTACAAGCAGTTGATCAGAATCTGTGCCCGGTCCAACTGAACAAAAATCGTATTTTCCAGGGATTAGAGACTAGAACTTTTTGTACTTGACGCAAGAGGCAGCATGTTTAACCATAGAGCTACGGAGAGGGCTTATTATAAAATTGATTTTAAAAGTCCTTTAATAATTTGCATACGTCCCTTTACATTAAAATAAGTATAAACAAAACGTTTCAATTTTAAATAAATACTTATAACTTCACGATTCCAACTGTTATTGACAAATCGGCCTGGAGTATTATTGAAGATATTTATTGAGTCAAAACACAAGAGCAATGAATTGCTTTTAAAAAATAACAGGCGTAGTCTAAATGAACTTATTTACAGCCAGGGTCACGAAAGCGTTGGGCCGTAGATAAAATAATTACCAATAAGTTTAACCAAATAATGTTATATATATCGCGTTATCGAGTATTTCATTTAAATGTGTACTACTCACGTAAACTACGAACAGTATTTTACAGGCGTTGTTTTAAACAGATTCCGTCTATTTGACAAAATCTTTAAAAAATAAAAACCGCATGCAAACTTTTTCAATATATCCTTCGACATATCTACAAAGTTCGCATATAGAATACTATAAAAAGAGTTAATAAGTTGGATATATACCTACACTCAATTTAATTTTAGTTGATGATGGTTTTTTGAAGTAGGTACCTTCCAAAAAATTTGGACGCAACTACCAGATTATTCTTTTATGAACGTAAGCATACCATGTAATATCTAAGTAATATTAAGGCCACAAGGAAAGGGAATTGTTTTTTTTATAAATTTTCGATTAGAAGATTGATTTATGTAGCATACTTAACATTTACTTTAGTATGAATACTAATAATTTATTTTTCAGTAACTATAAGTTATAGTGGTCATATGTCTAACCAGTTGAAAATCAATTGGCTAATTACCTAGTTTTAACCTGTTTAAAAGTGTTTTACTTAGTAGAAGTCAATAATCATAATTTCTTATCACCGAAGCCATCGATCAAAGTAATAGATGATGTAACGCAATTTATCCAGGATGTGGTTTTTACTAACGCAATGCACTCGATCTAAACGAGCAAGGTCGTGACAATACATCGGCTTACAAAGAATCTCTGTAATAAATAACGAATTTAATGACACAATATAATTGTATTAGAAGACAAATTTAATTCATCTTCATTGTTTTAAGAGCTTATAAGGTCGGCCACTTTGTAATAATGATATATGCGACTAGTGCAATTAAGATAAGAACCGTTACAAGATGTTTTAACTCTTGTAACGGTTCAAAACCTGAACCATATAAAAATACTTTTTACTGTAACCGGTGCTTTACAGGAGCCGTGATCATGGGGAAAATGGACGCTTAGTGTTCTAAGCTGTTAAAAAGTGTTTTCTTTAATACTTTACCATTTACGTTCGGAATCTAAAGTTTGGAAACATTCTTTTTTCGAAATTTTGAATTAAGTTTCGATTCCGATATTATACCTAAATCTAAAAGTACTTAAACGTAAGTTTCACAACATGGACTTTGTAGTTGTAATGTAGTAACTGTGAACAAAGTTATAAATAAATTACAATGTTGATAGCTGGTTCTTTAGCAACTGATACAAAATGGAAAAGTTAATTCAAAGCGTGAGCTTTGTACTGTCGCACAAAACAACAAAACAAAATGCTATTTAGTACACTCACTTAATCTGCAGCTATTTCTAGCTATGCCCCTACATGTGTAGCCTTTTGATCTTCGTCCTAGGAAACTACAAATACAATTGTAAGGTGGTGACCCCAGACCTTGGAAATACTTCCCGCGCAGATTCGATCTCTCGTTAATCACAGAAAACTCGCTATACAGTGATCTAAAACAATTTTCAATAATTGACGATAATTCAATTAACCTAACTTTCTTTCATAATTTTATATATTCATTATTAACAATTATCAATAAAATAGAGAATAAACAATTTATTCAGTATTAAGGATATGATTATTAGTACTTAAGCTAAATAATAAATAGCGGGTAGGTACTAAACCTATAATTATCAACAAAAAAAAAAAAACGTTTTAAACCGTTAAAGATTTTTATAAAAGTTAACTTAAGTTTTTAAAATTATTCTAGGAACAAATATGATGATAATGAATTTTACATCTTGTTTTATTCACAAAAAGAAGTAATTTGAAAATTAAAACGAATCCCAAGAACTTGTCTAAATATAATTTCACCACTACAAATGGTCTATAGACTGTAACTTTGTAACGATTAGATGTTCCATGTTTAGCCGACAAAAACTTTAATACATAATTATGTTAAAAATAAGAGTAGGTACCCGTGAATCACGACGTTGTATTGTTAAACTTTAGCGAAATAAAAATTTAAGCTGATATTCAATTGAATACGATAAACGACACGTTATAAGTTATGTATCCGACGATTTTTCAGGGGTGATACAGTAGGTATTTACTTATCTATAATATATATAATTACGGTTATAAGGGGCAACATATACCAATGATAACAATTGGATGTTGTCGAAGATGGAAAATGGATACTGTCGAAGGTAGGAATCAGAGTGTTTGTTATTATCACTGTGGGGTCGTGGATTCAATACCCACGAGAATTTGTTTGTAAAATATTTATGTAATTGTAGGAATATTTGTGCGGGGGTGGCACAATATACATAAAATCCATTAATTCCATCCAGGTCACAAACCACCAACCACAAATATTACAAGCCATGATGTCAATCCATGTTATAGTTTCAGGCTGTAGATTTTGATTGTCCAAAAGCAGACGTAGTGTGTCAACACATTTTAAGCATAAGGCTTTATAATTATACTTAAGTGCACCCCAAAATTATCTCTCTTTCTGTTTTATAAAAAAAAAAAACAGAGGTTTTGACTCCACAAAACTGCGGTCCTAAAAGTTTGAAAAAACAGTGATTATATTTATTTGAACTGTAAAGTTATTCTTCAAACATTCACACGCAGTTAAATCCAATCAGCAATTATCTTTAATGAGTTTAACAAATGACATCATCAACACCTAGTTTTCTCAACTGGTAATTGATAATTGTATTTGTATGTTGTTTACAAATATAATCATTACACTGATACATTTAGGAATTCGCGATATATTACTCTACTGTCAAAACAAACAAATATCTACTTTCTAGTAATTGTTAATTAAGTCAAATTCTAGGAAACAAAGATACAATAATATCAACTATCAATACTAATTTATAAAGCTGAAGAGTTTGTTTGTTTGAAGGCGCTAATCTCGGAAACTACAGGTTTTATTCGAAAATTCTTTTGTTGTGTTAATTAGAGCATTTATCTAAGAAGGTTATATATTATTTCCCGTTTTCTTCGCTCTTATAAAACGCAGCGCGATTTTATAAGAGCGAAGAAAACGGAAAAACAATTTCATCTTTGTGGGTTTCTGGGTTTTGTGGGTACGCTGCGAAAATGGTTCAAGACAATATGATCATTCAAGATACATATGTATCAAAGAATAATTCCTCTGATCTTCTAATATTTTGATCATATGATCAAAATATATATCTATCTTTTAAGATTAACTTGTAAGAACGACGGGAAGGAACACGACCGACGTCGTGGGTAACCGCTTAAGTTTATAAAGATAAAGGGATTTGCAAAAACGAATTTGGATGCCCAAAATAAATATTCTTAGCGGACGAAGTCGCTAGCACAGCTAGTAATATATATTATATGGCTAAACAAAATGCGATCTCCGAATGTAGGGGACATGCATTTCGGAGGAATATTATAATAATCAACGCTCTAGAGTGTACTTTAAAAAAATTTAAATAAGAAATTGAGACTTAGATAAGTTTCAAAAGCTTACAATCATTAGCCGCTATATTATTTACGGCTTAAATTTATAATGATGGAGAGGAGGCTTGCAAGAACAAATTCTGCTGGCCAAAATAACTATTCAATGCGGACGAAGTCGCTGACACAGCTAGTTAATTATGTTTCACTGACTATTTCTGCAAATTCGTTCCCCCTGACACGCATCTGACAACGAAAAAACCATTCGACTTCCCCGTAGTTGATATTCATGTGAACTTGTTTATGCTTACGTTAATAACATCTATAAAAGGATTATAAACGGCAAACCATTGTTAGTGCTTACTCTGAGAATAAACAGCTATGAAGTGGATTTTTTTATTTATTTTTCGGGTTCATCTTAACTGTCGCGGATGCAGGTACATATATATTCCAATTAGTACATAGTATATTTGCAAATAGCGTTTTATAGGCGCTGACTGTCGTAAATTTATTTCAAACTAAAAAAAACTCTTTAATATACTATGAGCTTCTCAAGTGCTTCCATATTGTGAGAATAAAATCTAATTTTTGAGCTTAATAATATTTTAAATCGCCCTTTTCGTATAGGCATTAATTTCACGAGTCATAATCTCTTACTAACCTATTATTTTTCAGTTTATATAGTATCGCGGATTCAATCCCTGTGTTACAATATTTATAAAACGAACTAATATTATAATCTACTGAGAACCTGTAAAATAAGCTTTCATTTGTTTGTAAATATTTTATTTTATTTTTCAGAGAGAGAGCGTAGATACGCCGGGGGTGGAGGCGGCGGTGGCGGTGGCTTCGGTTTTGGAGGTGGTTATGGATTCGGTGGGGGCGGCGGAGGTGGAGGGGGTGGGGGTGCAGGTAGTGGCGGAGGTCTCGGATTCGACGCTAGTGCTGGACTGGCAGGACTGGCGTCAGGTTTAGGTGCCATACAACAAGGCGTCCATAGTGTCATCGACAAAGCAGCTGGATTAGGAAAAGGTGGTTTTGGATTCGGCGCCGGCGGAGGTCTGGGTGCTGGTGGTGGTGCAGGAGCCGGTCTTGGTAGTGGTACCGGCGTTGGAGGAGGATCTGGTTTCAGTGGAGGAAGGGGTTCAGGTTTCGGAGGCGGAAAAGGAAACGAACAATTTATACAGACTAGTTCACCTGACGGAAAGTCTGGGGGATTCGCTTTCACTGGAACTTTTGAGAATGGAGGCTACGGCGGAGGAGGCGGTTATAGTAGTAATGGAGGAGGTGCTAGTGGTGGCTTTGGCTCTGGTCTTGGAGGTGGATGGAGGAATGAGGAAATAGCCATAGTGGTGGATATGGTGGGATCATCTGGCATTGGAGGTGGTCATGGAAATGGTGTGGGAGGAGGATATGGAGTAGTGGTGGCTAGGTGGCGGTTTTGGAGGATGCAGGTGATGTAGGCAATGGAAATGGAGGTGGTCAAGGTGGTGGATTTGGTGGAGCCAGTGGTCATGGAAATGGAGGTGGTCTTGGAGGTGGAGTGGGTGGTGGATTTGGTGGATCAGGTGGCTTAGGCAACGGAAACGGAGGTGGTAAAGGTAGTGGACTCGGTGGAGCCGGTGGCCATGGAAACAGTCTGGGAGGAGGAAATGGAGGTGGTCTAGGAGGAGGATATGGGGGTGGTCTTGGAGGTGGAGTGGGTGGTGGATTTGGTGGATCAGGTGGCTTAGGCAACGGAAACGGAGGTGGTCAAGGTAGTGGACTCGGTGGAGCCGGTGGCCATGGAAACAGTCTGGGAGGAGGAAATGGAGGTGGTCTAGGAGGAGGATACGGAGGCGGTCTTGGAGGTGGAGTGGGTGGAGGCAGCGGTCATGGCAACAGTCTGGCAGGAGGAAATGGAGGCGGTCTTGGGAGTGGTTTAGGTGGATTTGGTGCATCTGGTGGTCATAGTAGTGGCAATGGAGGAGGAAACAGTGGGCCTGGAGGCAGCAGAGGCTGTACAAATGGATGTAGTGCATGCGGCGGCTCTTGTGGTGGACATGGTTCTGCTAGTAGTTCAGCTTATGCAAGCGCGTCAGCCTCAGCTAGCGCTACAGCTCATGCTGGCGGTTATGGAAAATGAACATTCGAACTCATTACTTTAGTTGTTGTCACACGTGGATCAATGTAAGAATCTAAAAAATCTTAAACTTATTATAATAATATTAATCTCTAAAGTTTGTATTATTTTTTTTCAAATGTGATATAATTTAAACATTAACTTTTTATTATAATTTTTTAGTTATAATTGATAACAAGAGTTTCAGTAAATATTAAAAATGATATCCATGTTTTATTTATTTAGCCATTAGCAGTTAGATTTATAGACAACTAAGCACAAATATAATCCTGTTGCCATCTTAACTTCATCTTGGAGTTGCCCCACGAATTCGTATTTATTTATTTATACTTTTTACACAACACACGCACACAATTACAATGTATAATTCGTATATAGTGGTAACATATGCAATAACATGTGAAAAATATATTCAAATAAGTTTTATTAAACACGTGTTTATCTCTCGATTTGTGAAGCTGTTTTGAAGTTTTAGAATCGATGTATAGCAATTTTTTAATTTGGGTAAAATTAAAAAATTACGCCCTTGCAATATCTTAAGCAATAAGTTCTTTAAGCTTTGCTTAGGCTTTGACGTTTATTCTTATAGGCGTGAATTAATAGAATAGTAGTAATTTAATAGTTCTTAAATCTAATTTGCTTTATTTTAGTTTGTATGTACGATAAAAATAAAATGGGCCTTTTTAAGAACAGTTTGTTTACGCGAGCAGTACACTTTTAAATAAAACACTGATAACGGTTTAAAATACGAACGGTATGAGTTTAACTTATTTACAAATTATTATAACTATGGCCCGTCGTTCCGGATGGCAAAGCATGCGAAACCTTTATTTCGCTCTTCTTTTATTTCCTTATAGGGATAATATGCCCATTTTTTATAAATTCAAGTTTAAATAAAATAAGCGAAATATATTGGATAAACTTGCCTAGGTTTATCCAATATATTTTGCAATTATAAGTTAACTAATATATTTAATTATAATTTCGCGTTTAAACCTTTAAAGTGATGTATATAAATGTGTACTACTCGCATAAACTACAGACAGTAATTAAAAAACAGGTTGCAAAGCAATGATTTAATGAACAACGTAATTTAAAGATCAAATATCGTAATGAAATCAAGAACATATAAAATAAAACTTAACCTTTACTACTTATCATCAGTACTGAATGTTACAGTACACGAAGTTATTCACTTATTTGCCTTAAAACAGAGGAACAAAATAAGTAAGCAAACAAAACTATATTTAAAGTGACAATAACATTACCATATTTTTAACTTCTGTTTATTAGTGTCATTGTAACAATGTATGGCTAATGTATATATTTCTGAAACATTTTGGATTTCTGGATATCTGGATATTAAATGGGCGGTAGGAATATCGAAATCCGTGCGGGTCGCGAATCGCCGTCCACAGATGAAATAGCCGTCAAGCTTAATCGCGCTTCGTTTTCAGACTCGGATATCCGAATATCCAAAACCAAAATAGGGCAAAAACCAAAACCAAAAGATAGCGTATCTTGTTTAGATGTTATATGGCTATTTTACCTACCGTCAAGTAAATCTCATGCTTGTCTGTCCTTTCTATTATAAAAAAGTCAAGAGTTTCTAGATGTGGTCTAATTCAACAATAGCAGGCAATAGCCACAAATCACAATAGATTGTTAATTAGTCGAACCTCATCTTATACGAACACTTCGCTTGACTGAATTTCAATAAAAAAAAACTGACACATGATTTAACAACAATAAGTTACCTCGCCAAAACCCTTTTTTAGCGAAGTTAATGTTTAATGTTATTTAAACAACAGTACATGTTACTGAATAAATTAAGAGAATTGACGTTTTACTGAATTCCTAAAATTGTCTTATGTATAAACATACATACATAAGTGTCTATCAAAACTAGGCCATAAAGTTTTTGCAAATTTGTTTGCATATTTTAATAACAATACCAGTTCTTTTAAAAAAGAAATCTTTGCATGGTTTACTAGGCCATTGATTTGAAAAATGTTAAATAAGAACGAATTATCAAAAACTAAAAGCCAAAAATATCGCGCTTGATGAATAAACAAAACTTTCTGTAAACGTTTTAATAGATTTTGGAATAATTATCACACTATAAAGGAATAAATAATTTTATAAAAAGGGTTTAAATTTTAGCAGCTGATACAACGCTAAAAATACCACGTTGTGCTGCTTAAGACATGCTTAACGGATTTTGCGTTTTTGATTGTTTTAAATGACGTGTACTACTCGCGTAAACTTAAGATATAGAAAATGGTATTATACAGTATTTTAAATGTTAAGTTTGATATGAAGTCAGTGAACAAATTGCTTACGCCAAAGTTGATAAAGAACTTCCTGCGAAATTAATTGAAAAGAGACGAAAATAATTTTTGCATTAATTGCTTTTTGTCTAAATTATATTGCTTTTTTAAGTGACGAAATATGTGATTAGAATATTTAAAATAAACATAATTTAAAAAAAAACGTTCAAAATATAACATTGCAAGAGAGAGGGTTTGACGTCGGCCCCGAGTCTATGTTGAAAATAAAAAAGTATTTTGTAAACTCAACATAAGACAAACGAGTTATCATTGTTTTTCGGGTAGTTCGGCCGTGATGGCAAAACGTCGAGAACCTCTTTTCGCTTACGCCGTAATGATAAGCTAAACGATGCCCGTCAAAGCCTTACACAAACGATATATATATGTACATATATATATATAATGGTAAAGCAAAACGATAATTTAAAAATCCTAATATTATACATACTTCATAACATTATAGATATAAAATACATACGAACGTAAAACGTAACAAAACAGAAAACCTGGCAAAACCCCTCGGTACTTCCCCATCAAAGTGTACTTCAGTGCCTATTTGTGATTACTCTCAAAAACCAATTGGTGATTCGTCAAAATTGTTGCCTTATAGGGCTGCCTCCTTGAAAAAAATCTCATTTTACAGTAGATCCAGTTTCCTATTTAATACAGTATGTAGGCTAAACCTATATAGGTTATAAACTAGACATCTGTCTAGCCATGGTTACAGCGAGATAGAGTGTGTGGAAAGACCTTTTTTACTTGGAGGAATCGAATCTTCACCGACGCCCCCGCATGGCCACACCAAGTGGCGAGGGGAGTGTCAGCCAGCTTGGCCACTACCCACTAAACCTCCAAGAGCCCTCGGGAATCTTGCCGGACGCGAGCGAGCGGTAGTTGCCCTTGACCCGCATCCCGGGTTCTGAGTTACAAGCCCTGAAAGATCCAACAAACAAACCCATTAGAGCTGATGAAGAAATGATTAAATATCTGATTTTTTTAACCAGATGCTACACATTATTTTTTTCTCCGATTCCTTTTTAATTGTAGGCTCATTTTAAATACAATTAAAAAAGCTGATTAAATAAAGACAACACTTAATAATGTAGATGAAGTAGTGGAAAACCCTATCCGATAAATTGTGTACTTATACTTAGAAACGAGATGCGTATCTCAACATTTCGAAGAATTAAACAAAAAACCTTCATACGATACAATAGCCACTCTTTTATCGATCTTATTGAGACGAGATTGAAGAACTTAATAAAAACAACTACATAATATGTATGTTCTTATCGCTTCCGCTTGTTTTAACGTGTGTCTTCTTTGAAACTTAAATTAAAGAATTTTTAGGTTTGTTATATATTTACATTACATAATAATAGTTACCCTATTACAAACTAGCTGACAAGGTAAGAGTCGGGGGTTGATAGTAGAAGGGTTAAATTCGTAATTTTTTTGATATATAAATATTTCCTTAAATTATTTATTTTAATTTATAATTACAAACATTTATTTTTTCCGTGCCTATAATGCAAAAGTTATAGGTTGTGGTTCGCTTTTGTAAGAGTAAGAAATATATTTTTAAAGTTTTTTAATGTGACATTTACCTCAGTGCCTCCTTCCATAGTGATCTATCACGAACTTATATCAATTACTCATTACAATAATAAACAAACGTTTTCTGATTTTATCACGATATTTCTTAGTATTAACGGGTTCTTCCCTTTAAAATTTTGATACAATGATATTTTATGAAAAAAAATGTAAGTCTGTACGTTGACATAAATTTATATTCGCTGTTATTTCTATTAGGGTCTGATAAGCTAAGCTTTCTCGAAAAAACAAATATAGTGGGTACTTACAATAAAAAATGTAAAATCCCATTTAACTCCTGGAACATAAGGACACAGTTCTATGTCTATTTCAATCATCTACAAATTAAGTTTAGATAGGCATAGCGTCTCATAAAAAAGCATTTAACAAAATATGTTACAAGAAGTGTATACGTAAATAAAAATATAGTCAGGAAAACTTTTTGACACTTCTAAGAACTTACTAGGGAAAATCTTTAAAGAATTATTAACACTGTGCGATTTATATGTAACATGACATTAATGTTTAGGCACAAGGTCGAAAGACATACATTTAATATAAAATGTTTACATATTGTTTGTTATTTGGGATAGAAATAGATTTCCAAGATTGTTATAACTCAGTACAATTATATTAGCACTGTCAGCTGACACACGTCATCGCAAACAAGACGAATAATTGCAAACATTCGTGGTTTTTGCTAAAAATGTGTCGTATATAAGGATGGGTTGGGATAAACCACAGTACGTTATTCCAAGATGGCAAAGTTGGTAGTGGCTTGCTTAGTATTAGGAGTCTTTGTTTGCGCAAACGCCGTACCATTGGGTAAGCATAAAAAATTATTATGAAAAAATTAGTATGTATCCCATTTTTTTAATAAAGTTAAATGTTTTTGCAGGTTTCGGTAATAGAGGTGGAGGTTTTGGCGGCGGCGGTGGCGGTGGATTTGGCGGAGGGGGCGGTGGATTCGGGGGCGGTGGTGGTTTTGGAGGAGGTGGTGGAGGCGGTGGGGGCGGCGGATTCGGTGGAGGCCGAGGAGGTGGTTTTGGAGGCGGATTCGGTGGAGGGCAAGGTGGTGGAATTGGTGGTGGCTTCGGAGGTAGCCGCGGTTATGGAGGTAAGAAGTGTGGATATCCTAATATTAGAGTGCTTAACACTGATACGCTTTATTGTGGAAAAACATATTATATTTCATGATAACAGTTATTATATCTGAAATTTAGTTTTTTTGACGTTTGCCCACTAAAGCTTCAAAATTTTGCCCTATAGGTAAACATCATGTAGATGAAACTAAGCCCAATTTAAAGGTTTTTAATTTTTTTATCAGGTCACCCTGGTTATGGTCATGGACGTTAGCTGGTAGACGACAGCGCTTATGTCAGATATGGCTAAGAGTAGCTTTCCCGACAATTGATCGATTACCACAAAGGACAAAAGGAAGTCCTTGAACAATAACAATAATAAAATGTTAAAATTATTTATATATATTTATGCGTTTTATTTTTCGTATCTTATTCCTATCTTATTATTGAATGTACCCAATACTATGCAAAATCAACGAATATAACATCGATAATTCGTTTCACTCAACTTGGATGAGTGTTACTGACCTCACCACAGCTCTAACAACATCCAGACACTATATCAATAGCGCCCAAAAACGGATACAAAAACTACGAAGCAAAAAAGTAGTAGGTAAGCATCTACCTGTTTATGACATAAGCTCGCAAGTATATAAGTTACAGCCAGAGGCTAGCTGGCTACACTAACTCTAGTGATATGGCAAAGTTTGCAGTGATTTGCATGGCCTTTGGCCTGATCGCTTGTGTCCACGCTAAGCCAGGTATTTCCACAATAACATTTTAAGACAATAGACTCTTTTTTGCTAATGTTTCTGTGTGCACTAATCGATTTTATTAACAAGCAAATAGTTAATAGCTCCGATTCATTCGACTGAAAATATGTACCATCTTTGAAACGGTTCAAAGTTTTTTACTTTATACTAGCTAATTTATTTTGTACTCCCACTTTTCAAACGGCTAGGTTTAACCATAGTTCGATCGAATTACAATTGTAGTAAGACCTAACATAAGTAAATAACTCTTTAGATAAAAATGATAAATTGTACTGTGGATGGCGAGTACTGAAAGATTTTTAAATATTTAACACTATTTTCGTGAGTATTGCAAATAGCATATTTTTCTATCCTAACATTATGAATAAGGACCAATAATTTACCATGTATAAGCTTACCTAAACATGGTTATAGACAGTATTTACTTAAACAGTTCCCAGAATTTCGTTCATGAAAGCGAAATCCTTTTTAAATAAAATTTTCATATGTTTTAATTATTTGTGTATCTTGTAGGTTATGGCGGAAAAGGTGGATTCGGCGGCGGCGGTGGGGGTGGTTTCGGAGGTGGAGGCGGTTTTGGTGGCGGCAGCGGCGGAGGTGGTGGTGGTGGGTTTGGGGGTGGTTATGGCGGCGGAGCTGGAGGTGGCGGTGGACTAGGTAATAAAGCATCTGCATTAAGCCTTGTTTTTAGAGTGTGATTCTAATTGAGGTTCTACCAATAAGTATTTCAATGAAATACTCTCACACACACACATAAACACACACAACGCTCACTCACTCAAAAATAATATCCTTTCAAGCACACAGATTGTTTTACAATAACTTCCTTTAATTGTACCAAATAGTAATTTAGAAGAATGTTAATAGTAATTAGTTTAACTTATCATACGGAGGTGGGCGCTGGCTCCTGTGCCACAGCTTTACAAGCGCAACCGAAATACTCAATTTGTAAATAGGTTTTTAAGCTAAGCTAATAATAATAAACGAGGAAATTAAATATTATGGTGCTTTTTCAAATCGATGATTTAACGAAACAATAAAAACAATTACTTGTAATTATAATAAGTCTAGGACTGCAAACACAATTTGATTGTATAATAGAAATTTATTTTAAGTAAATGTACATTGTTTTATTCCATTAGGTGGTGCTCACGGCGGTGGTCTTGGAGGTGGAAGCAGTGGAGGCCTCGGGGGAGGTCACGGAGGAGGAAATGGTGGCGGTCTTGGAGGAGGTTTCGGAGGTGGAAATGGCGGTGGTCTCGGAGGGGGTCATGGAGGCGGTCTGGCCGGTGGAAATGGTGGTGGACTTGGAGGAGGTCTCGTAGGTGATAGCGGATTTGGAGGTGGTCATGGCGGCGGCCTCGGAGGTGGTTTAGGAGGTGGAAACGGTGGTGGACTTGGAGGAGGTCACGGAGACGGTCTTGGTGGAGGAGGTGGCGGTGGATTTGGCGGCGGAGCGGGGGGCGGTCAAGGTGGAGGTAACGGCGGATACGGAGGTCATGGTGGTGGTCCGGGTGGACACGGAGGTAGTGGAGGCTACGGGGGTTACGGCGCCAGCGCTAGTGCCAAAGCTAGTGCTAGTTCGGGGAAATATGGGTGAGTTTTATAATTGATTCAGGTTTATGTTATACACAAAAAAATCATAATAATTTTATAAAAATCATTACATTTTTTGCTACATTTAAAACAATATCTATTAGACCAATTTATTATTAAATTTATAGAAACCTACTTAAATAATATATTTCATTCAACATGTATTATTATTTTCAGACGTTAAATGATGAATGGTGCCGTACCAAAGTGAAATTAAGAAAAAAATGTGATATAAGTAGATGTAACACGCTGTTTTGTGCTAACTATACAATATAATATGTTTTAAATTTTATATGGTTTTATTTTTGTTCTACAATACTTGAAAAGGCCGCTCGAAGTAATCATTATTATCGTAAAGTCGTAATTACTATCTATCTCATGGCAAAAATTTCTTATCCTCTAAATACGTTGACGTCATTAGTTAAAACAATTTAAAACACGGAATATATTACATGTTTTTAATTGTAACTACAAAATTATGCTTAAAACGCTCTTCATTACGGGAGAAAATTTTACGTGTATGTAACACTAGCTATGTCACCGACTTTGTCCGCATAAAATAGTTATTTTGGACATCATAATAACCTCCTCTCCACCTTTATAGATTAAAGCTGTTGCCCACCTCTTAAGTCGTCCCGTTGTCTCCACATTTCCCGTTGTTTCTTCGCTCCTAGTAGTCGCAGAGCGATGTTTTATATCCTTTAACCTTCCACGATAAATGATCTTAACCCACTTAAAGAAACTCTTCAGCTTTATATATTAGTATAGATACATGCTATTCTCTTGATATCATATAAAAAGAAGAAATTTAGGTTCAAAATATAATATTAACAAAATTTACCAAAATATTTTTAAATAAACATATTAGGTATGTTTATAACCTGTTCGTTTTATCTTTTAATAAGCTTTTTCGATTTTAATTACAACTCTTACTAAATCGAATGTATATAATTAGAAAATTATATAAACATATTCATTACAGTCAGGAAACCTGATAGCAACATGTCGTTCGCGGACAATCCTTGTTTATTTTTCTTAATTCTTATCATATTTGCACTGCAGATAGCGAGTATTTATAGTGCTCCACAAGCAGGTAAGAAGTGCCTTTTAATACCGATAAATCTATCCATCATCCGACAATCTTCTATCACTTTTTGTATATAAATTATCGTCAACTTTTATAGATTTTTTATAATAAAACACTACGGCCACGGCTACTGCAGAACATTCGAAACATCGGGCCATAGTTTAAGTAATTTCTACTAATATATTTCGCGCATGTAGACTACAGAAAGTATCGGCGATTTATAAAAGCAAACATGGATTACTCATAGCAACAGTTCGCTATTGTTATGTTATGAAATATATAATAATGCATAGCCTCTACGAAGCACATCAAATTTGTAAAAAAATTATGTCATAGTCAATCAAATCAAATTTATAAAGTTCCCCTGTAGAAGTAAAACATTTACTAAAATACTATTTCACAATATAACTTTGAGCATTCCAGTGGGAAAAAAATCTATTTTATTGTAATATTAACTCCTGTAACGTAATTTTCAGGTTTACCTCTAGCAGCCAGTATCATTGACTTGAAAACGCCAATCATGAATGTGTAAGTACTAAAAGTCAAACAGTAATAACGACACTGTGAGAGTCGAAAGGAAGGATAATTATATTTAAATAAAACACTTTTTTATGATAGGTCCACTTGATTGTGGCTGACATACCCCCCGCCTTGGATATTCGGAACGGTTTATTTTAAATAGTAAATAAATTAACTATTACATTTCGCGTTTTAAACCGTTAAAAGTGTTTTATTTTAATGTAAACTGCTCGCTTAAACTTAAAACATTCTATGTGTTATAGTCTATGTATGTATGTAGTGTTTCTCGCAAAGTGCTTAGCTTATTTAGAAGAACTAGTTGTAATTCGTATATTGAATTAATTGTACTGAATCGAAAAATGTAACTCTTTTCCTTTATTTTCAGGACACTTTGAAGGATCACGGTGGACAAACGAAGTACTTTTTAGCATTATAATATTGTTATGGGGTTATATTAAAACAGTGTAAGAAGTAAGCTTTTTTCTACCTTTTCAAAATGAATCTCTTAACCAACTACAAATACAACTTTACTGATATAAGTACGTCACGACAACGATTTTTGACGTGTTTGTTGGTCTAATGTGGCTATCAATAGTAGCTAGTAATGTAGGTAGCAATGTATGGGCAATAAACAATGTTGGACCCGTCCCCACGGCCGGTACAACAACGATTACTTTTGGAAATCTGGATAATAAATAGATGTTGGGAATATCGAGATTCGGTTCGGCTCACGACCCACCCTTTACAGATGGAATAGCCGCGCAGTTGGCGTTTCGGCTCCAGTCTGTGGATTTCCAAATATCCTAAACTTGTTGTTGACAGCGTTTTTTTTAAAAGGCCTGGGGTACTTTACAATCGGTCTAGTGTACTCCATGCTTGACTGTTCATAAATAAATACATATAATAACAAATTCTACGTTAAATTAAAAATCGCGATAACGCGGGCGAGTCTCGAACACAATAACACACATGTTATGTTTTTTGCTACCAACCGCTCCTTTACAAACATTTTTTATCGTTAACTTATTTCTAAGTGGGTATATATTTTCACTTAACTAACGAAAATACATACCTACCTCAATGTCTCAAATTCCAATGTATCTTGTATTAAAAAGGGACGAAACAATTACCTTGTTAGGTTTTTTATTCCTTTTGAGCATTAACTAAGTACCTATAACATGTACGTAATATTAAGTTCGTTCTCACATTATTTACAACTTTAGGTCTTGCTATGGGCAGTTTGAGGTTTTTTAAGTTAACGCGAGTGTCGTTATGTAAGTTTAAAAACGATCCTCTGGTTTTATAGTGGATTTTTTTTTTGAGTACTATTTAAGAGAAACAAATAATAGCAGAAAATAAAGAATAAACAAATCTCAGTAAGATTTTATTTACAAATCATTATACGCACGTTACGCCGTAACAAACGCGCGTTATAAATTAAAAATATACCAGAATACGTAAAAAATGCTTCCATAAAAATGTATCCTCGAATCCATTACACGCATACAGTATACACATTAACAGAATACGTCTAAAAATATTTGTGATCTTTTGGTAAATTGCTAAATCTAAACGTTTATACATATCAGAATGATAAATGGATATAAACGCTGAAATATATCGATACTAAAAAGTAAAGTAAGTAACCACGATTCGAGCAAATGAAGTCGTTACTGGCTCAACGATGATATAATATAGAATAATATTACATTATGTTTGAGTCAACGACGACTTATCTTATAATATTCAGGAACTAAACGCCTGAAAACAATCGGAACATCAGTAAAACGACACACATTCGTAACTAAATTACATAAGTATATAATATGTCTACACTACAATGGTATCAAAACACTGGTCTTCAATTACAAAAATTGCTACACGTCAAAACGATTCGTCTTCTCAGAGACAGTAAAATATTATTTTAAAATGTGCTATTAAGCATTTTATTAAGTCTTTTCGACTTTTCATATAGCTACCATAGAAAAAGCAATCAAACATTCAAATACCGTTCACTTTGTGGAGCGTAGTCCAGCCAATTCATTTTTAAAACACTTATACAATGTCTCTGCATATTTTCCATTATATTTTATGAGTAACAAAATTCGGCTCCTATTAATTCGCAACAAGCAACAAATTAAACTAACACTGACAACTACGGGCTAAGTGATGTTAGTTATTTCCCTTAAGACGAGAAAAAGTCCAATAACTACAATAATGCCAATAATAGACAAAATATACTATAATTAATAAAACATATTAAACTATCGTGTAAATACGCACCTAATTAGATTGCACTTAAATAATGCACAGCATTACTAAAATATAAAGGACATTTTCTGGTGACCAACCAACAAGTACACATCGCGCGTGCCACGAAAAAAAATGTGGTGCGCAAGCGCAGACAGTGCACAGTTGCAGATCGGTGCACTTCTGCGCTGTTGTACCGACGATATATACGAGGTCTACTGGTTGGATGGTACGAGTTGGCTATTCTTACAAATTCCATAGTTTATTTCGTTTAGGCTCGAAGATTTTCTGTGTATATGGCAGTTTACCTTTTAAATAGAACACGGTGTATCAATTTCTTATATACCATGATTATAAGTAGATAAAATCGGACTGGATAAGATGTCAATATAATATTAACGTAGATACATTTCCACTATCTTAGTCATTACAATAGTTCCATAAATGTTAATATTCACCAATTTACTCTACCGATTAGCTAAATATATATTTCTAATAAAAAGCAAAACATTGCAGATCTCAACACGCATTTCGCTATATCGCGATATAAAATTTAACCTAAACATTCTCTTATTTTCCACTCGACCCAGCCTTGAAATACACAGTAAGTCGAAATTAAAAATAAGTAACTATGACATAAAATTATGCTAAGACACCATTGCATCAAAATTGTATATACGTAAAAATACAACAAAACAATTAAAAAATATAACTATTTTAATTATTATGTTGTTTGACTATTTATATTATTGCCGCTTCTTGCGATAAAAATGAGGCTCAAAGACAATATTTGTAGAAATACTGCTCTATGCTCAAACTAATTAGGTATTTGACACCATTTTGTTGAAGTATTATATTGTGTATAAAAACGTTATTAGACCTGGCAGTGTTAATATATGTATTGCTTTGAGATGTGAAAAAAGTCCAAATCTCTAGTATTTAAAATAGTCTTATTATACGCTATTGTGATTATATGACAGGGCCCTATATATGTACAATTAATTTAATCTATTTCTATGAATAAACATCTAATCACTAGCCATTTAATTCGCATAACACAAAACATCTGATAAAAAGAAATGTGCCAAATGGACTTTGCATGTAATGTGTACGTTGCCCTAAATGAAAGCATGAAACACATGCTTCGCTGATACTATATATGAGCCCGCTAGAGGCAGAGTAGCCTAACTGCAATTTTATGACTTGACTTATTTATATTTTCATAGTCTAAAAATGTTAATCTACAAGAGCTTTAACATAATTCTTACACAAATATTTTATTTTCCTCTTTATTGAAAATCGAGTTTCTTGTTAGGCCATTATGCCTCTAGCAGCCTCATATATGCCTGTGGTGTACTAAAACGATGAACAAATAAGTTATATAAAAATAACTTTCGCTTACATCACTTATAATCGTAATAAAGTGGTCCATATTAGAATAAGCTTTAATTGTATATAAAAAATAAAAATTCGTATCGCGCTCCATGCTTGAAAATAAACAAATAATAAGGATTTAACAATTATAATGCGGTAAAACATTTCTCCTAAAGGCACTGTTATAAGTGAAATTTTATTTAAATATAAAACGATAATTGATTTAAGAAATATCAACGCATTTATTTTTTCTCCGTCATATGTATCCTAGTAAAGATATTTTTAATTAACGTATAAGAAAATATAATTTCACTCAGAACTAGCTTATTTGATTATTATGCTTACAAATGGTCTAGTTTCTTTAACATACGACCCACGAATAAAATATTGCACATTACACATTAGTATAATATATATTCTCATTTGTGTATCCCACTCAACCATATAGCGAAGATAAAAGCAATTTATTTCGTTACATTCGTTTGCAGCTGACTATCAGCGTTCAGTCATTCAGCAACTTACAGTTTTCAGATATTTATGTTTGGCATGTTACCAGTTGCCCATTGTTATAATCATTTTCAAACGTTATATAATTAAATTGGTTCGACTATTAATATTGAAATAACTTTAAAATTGAATTCGAAGAGTTATTTAGTCAACGCCAGATTTATATATAGCGTTTCCAGCAATTAAATCTTGCTTATACTGTGTTACTTGGGTTACTTGTGTTCTTTGGGTTAAACATAACGTAAGCAATACGAGAATTCATGTCAAAAATAATTAATAAATTGGACAACAATGGTAAACAGTAAACCTCCTGGTTGTATTCACATTGAGTCTTCTAAGAGTAGAAACGTAGGTCAGAGTTGTGTGTCGGGTGATGTTGGCGTTGAGGTGAGGGGCGCATCTTGCGGCGTGTCGGGCCTTTCGCACGGGTTCATATCGATTCGACCAGCCCGACTCCACACAAGCATATCCATTATGAACGCGAGGAACATGAGTCCAGCTGACAGACCTGCAAATTTATAAAAATGACTATAAGAGATACTATTGTAAATGATACTGTGTTTCAGTGCTTAGTTTAAGCTAAAACCTATACTAATATATAAAGCTGAAGAGTTTGTTTGTTTGTTTGAACGCTCTAATTATTTTTAGGAACTATTGGTTCAAATTAAATAATTCTGTGTTAGAGTTTTTATCGAGGAAGGCTAGAGGCTATAAAACACCGCGCTGTGACTAATAGAAACGAAGGTACAGCGGGAAATGTGAACAAAACGGGGAAAATTTTTAACCTCTGTGGGTTTCCGATGCTTACGCTCGGCAAACGGTTCAAGCAACCAAATCAATATGTATTGAAGGATCATTCCTCTTTAAAAAATTAAAAAAAAAAGTCCGCGACGCTATATGTCTATCTTTTAAGATTAACTTTCAAGAAGGACCCGAACGACGGGTCGCGTACGACGGGATACTAATGTCGTGCGTAACAGATCATAATGAGGAAGAAGTTCGCAAAAACAAATTTTGACGCCCAAAATAACTATTCCATGCGGACGAAGTCGCTGACACAGCTTGTCGAATATTTGACGACTTGAGTTATTTATATTTTAATAGACTAAATTGTTAACATAATTTTTACACAAAGAGAAGTACACATTTATTTTCGCCTAAGTTATTTGCCCATGTTTTTTTGTTATTAGGCTACTCTGTCTCTAGCCGTCTCAAATATGCTTTCGTATTAGAAGTGATTCAATGTTTACTGTGAATATTTTCAATTCAATATCGAGATATGTGATTTGTTGTCATGAAAAAGTAATCAATCACGAAAGTAACTCACGCGACGTCCACGTTTGTAATCACGTGAATATTCAGTTGGACTACATTAGAGTGACACAATATATTATGTAAAATATGTGTGATGTATAATGGTTTGCATTCATTATCGGGAATAGCTGAATGCTACAGTTGACATTGTTTACATGAGAAATCTACGTGTAAGTGTAATCTAGGCTTGTATTAAAGCATTTTTATAGCAAAAAACGACTGATAATAACATTTAGCTGACTATGGGATTTGGCGATTTACAAAATTGTAATTAGAAAATGTCTACTAATGTAAAATGGCTGTGATATTTCACATACCATCAAATGAACTATTATAAGAATAGGATAATTAAAAGAGAAATTAAGTGAGTCCGAAGCTTGTCTCTTCTCCACGTTACTTTCAAACATAGCCATTTTTTTTATAAAATACTTAAACGGTTCGAAATACGATATATATTAAACTTTTTTGATTGATTATTTCAACTACGCCCCGATTATTTTAACTAATATATATCGCGTTTTAAACCGTTTTAAAGAGTTAAAGTCAAAGATAAATGAGTCCTATGCTTGTCTGTTCGCCATATTACTTACAAACACAGCGAATTTTACCTGCTCTTACATTGTATGTTATCTAACTCACCTAAGAAGAAATGTCTCAAGCTGTCGCTGTCGTAGGACACGCAACCGCCCAGCACGCCACACGCGACGTCACGCAAACGGCAAGCGGCGTCGACGGCGGCGCCGAACACGATGGGGCAAGGCACATTGCCGAAGACTCCAATAGCGAACTGAATCACGCCCATCGCCATCGCTTTGTCTGTAATAAGAACGACACATTTTTACACATCATTTAGAGAACATAATCTAAAACGTAAAGTTTTACGTTATGTTCTCTAAATGATGAATCACAATTATTGATACACTTTCGGAGATATAAAGCATTAACAAACAAGTTAAAAACAATTTGGGTACTACTGGGTATGACTAATATTTTCATAGATATTGAATAAATGAATAGAAATTTCAAATATATATCAGTAAAACAAAAACACTTTCGAATCATTCTTCAGTCGGCAGAATGTATCTAATTAAAATTTTGTCTTCTATTGCCAATTTCAATTAATTTGTTCTTCTAGAGGAAAAAAGCTTTACAAATTGATTAGCGATTCTATGAATGTCATACGTACTTGAAACTAATATTATATAATGGCTTAAATACTGTCTACTTACAACTAACGTGAGCGGTAAACATTAAAAAAAACACTTTAACGCTTTAAAACACGAGATATATTAGTTAAATGTATTCACAAATTGTTTTTACTAGGGCCCGACGTTTCGCATTCGGTTTTTAATATCCCTGTGCACGCGGCTGCTCCATAGCATCCGAAACGTCGGGCAGTCGTTAAAATAAGCTTCAGTAATATATCTCGAATTATAAAGCCTTGAAGCGTTTTGTTTAAATTACTGGTCACTTTACACAACCTAAACCTGTATTCATATAAATAATACACAACTCACCGTGCTTGTCCGTACACCGTATAATGAGCAAAACGGCCCCAACTTCCCCGCTCGCGTGCACGAACATGATGGCCGCGAAGATCGCTATGAACGCATATATCTGGTTGCAGGGTCCGCTGCACTCGCCGCTCACAGCGAAACCACTCCAACTGGACGACTCGTCGAAGGTCGAGTTTATGAGGTCGAAACGTTCAATACTGAAAAGTTTATTGACTTTTATGATAGAGAACAAGGGGGTGGATGTAGATGAAATACCCTAGGCCTAGTTAGGTGTCTTAAATTGTTTTCGAAGCGCACGCAACGGAAACTCTCAAAGGTGGAATAATTTTCCCCAATGTCTACTGTTTCTTCGCTCTTATTGGTCGCAGCGCAATATTTCATACCTTAAAGCTTTCCTCGGTAAATACTCTACTAACACAAAAAAAACTCTTCAGCTTGATAATAAAATAATATTAGTGTAGATGTCAGAATATGGTATATGTCCCCATCGATCGTTTGTAGTCAAGATTGATCGCCCCTACTTCGAATTGTGCATTGCTTACGTTTGGTAGGCCTTGTCGCCTCGCGTTTCGTTGTGGACGCACTCGCAGTCGTAATAGAGCCACGTCGTGTTGTCCAGCTGCTGGCTGCCATGGCAACCGGCCTGGCACGGTGACATGTAGGTGAAGGAATCCTGGAATTATTTCGTTATAATTTAATCTTCGTACTCCGAGCGAAAAATGACTTAATTTGCTAATACAAAAGACTAAAATAAAGACTAAATACTGTCGTACTTTACCCGAGTAGATATTTTAAATAAAACACTTTAACGGTTTAGAACGCGACATTATTTAGTTAAAATTCACTAATTTATTGAAGAATACAGGAAACAAATTAGAAATATTACAGTAACATATTTTAAGGAATTGACAAACAATTATTCTAACTACGGCCCGTTTCACCGTGACCGTGAAACGAAAAAAAAATTGGTAAATTTAAGCTCATACATTTCGCGTTTTCACCGTGAAAAGTGTTTTGTAAAAAAATTCTTATCATTAACCCTGTCTACTAAAATCTTGCTTGTTTTTCAAGTTGCATTAAGCAGTTGAGGTCCTAGGTTCGAATATCAATAGAAAGATCAATAACTTTAGTCGGGCAAGGAACCTAGGCTTGATAAACGTTTTTGTATGAAGTCTAGGATTGAAATCCTGGGGAAACAATAGATATGTATTAAGCATATATAAGGATACACACCTGCCCACACACAGGGCTATACGATGAGTTCTCGCAATGACACCCAGAACTGCAAGACAAATTGTTCATTCCGGTCGTGCTCAACACTCTGAAAGACTCTTCCGGGCAATTCACGAACATCAGCAGTATCATACCTGGAAAAGTATTTAAAAAAATTAACATAACATTAATTGGACGCGTAAGAGTTGACGATGTTAATATTACAAGAATAATTGAGGCCACTAGGGGCAGAGTTGCCTAACTGCAATTTTATGACTTGACTTATTTATGTTATTATTGTCTAAAATGTTAATCTACAAGAGCATAGTGACTGAAAATTATTAACCTAATTATTACACAAATTATAATACAAATTCATTTTCGCTTTTCGCTTTTTCATTTTCCTCCTTATTGAAAATTGTTTTTAGGCCACTCTGCCTCTAGCAGCCTGAATTTATCTTTCGAAATTTCAATGTTTCAACGGTTTCATAATTCATAACATAAACTTTATATAATAGTAATTAGTATTTCAGAATTTTCAAGATTCTTTAAGATTTCTCTAAAGTTTATTGTTAATAGCTCAAAGCCACGTGTATGATTATGGAGAAACACGCGTTAAGTGGCGCGCACAACAGCGACCAATTTATCAATTACCACTGCGTTTTATTTAGTACTATTTATTTATGAGTCATTATGGGATAATTATATATGTAATTCTTTATGTAATAAGTCGAAATACGAACATCAGTGCAAAATCTGAGCATAAAGGCACACGCTCCCTTGAAAGTAAGAAAATATATATTGCTAGACAAAAGATTTGAAAACATTAATATTTTTCACATGTTATTGCACATGAAGGCACTATATAATTTAAAAATCGAAAATAAATTGAAAAAATTTTCGACTCGGGCAGGACTTGAACCGGCATCGTCAGCTTTCCGTGCTGTTGCTCTGAGCAACAGCACGGAAAGCTGACGATGCCGGTTCAAGTCCTGCCCGAGTCGAAATTTTTTCAATTTATTTTCGATTTTTAAATTAGACAAAAGATGTTAAAACTTTTGAATAAAACACTAACTGTTTAAAACGCGATATATTAGTTAAACTTATTTGAATATGATTTTTAACTTTGGCGTTTCGGATGCTTTGCAGCAGCCGTGGTCTAGACTAGTAGACTAAAGATGGAGGATGTCTCTGACGTCAAAGTAAAAAATTGCTACGCTAGCGCCATCTGTTCCGTCGACCAGTTTCGCCAAATACCAACATTTGGCGAAACTGGTCACTCGCATAAACTATAGACAGTATTTGTTGTTCTAAATAACAGTAATTTCCCATACAAATATAGCAATAAGAGAATATACACTAATTTTGTTATCTCAAAAATATGTTAAACTAGCTGATTCAGCGACTTCGTCCGTGTAGAAAGTTTGTTTTTGCTAACTGTTACCTACGTCGTGGTACACGGTCCATCGCTCGCGACTCGTCGTTCGATTCCCGTCGTTCTTGCGAGTTCATCTTAAGAGATGGACAAATACGGTCGCGGACATTTTTTTGATGATATAAAGAAGAATCCTTCTCTTATTGCGAAATGAGATTTGTTTACATAACAATAATTCTTTCTTAAAGTCGTGACATAAGGTCTTATGTTACTTTTTTATTTTTTTATAGAATTGTATAAACTTACCAGCACTATAGATAGCTGCAGTAGCAGCAGTCCACGCGGCCACCTGTCTTGCACTCGGAACCAGTTTCAAAATCACCACGCCCGACGTGATAATACCCAAACCCATTACCAGAATACCACCCAGACCTAAAAAATACGTAGTTTTAAGAAAATTATACTTTTACATCTTTTTACTTACTTTGTAATATTAAAAAACATCATAACTTTATTCTATGTCTACGTTGGAAGTGTCGATTTTCAACAGTCATATTGTAATTGCGTAACTAAATGCATATAACTTTTAAACTATTTATACATGTTAAAAATGATTTAAACTGTATTCTTCATACTATTTGTGTAATTTATCTGTTTGATTCGTTATCACTAAATCAATAAATTGTTACGAGCTAGTTGCTTGTCATTTTGTATGTGAACTAATCACAAAAAGCGCCTTCTTAGTACCTCACCCGAAACAAGATTGGCGTCGTGCGTGGGCAGCCGAAACTGTTTTTCCAAGTATTTGGGCAGGAAGGAGTAAACGCCGCTTATCGGCATCAGATGCAGCACGGAGCTGGCCGTCCTCCACATCAGGATGTCGTTGGTCAACTGACGCTTGATGGTTTGAAAGAAGTCTGCAAATTGCAAGTATTGGAAATTGTATATTCATTTCAGCTACTTTGTCACTTGCATTGAGTTGCATGATTTCTAAGCTTTACTATGCAATGAGTACCCTATATTTGACCAATGAACGAAGATGCCCATTAAAGTTAAAAACAATCACTATTTACCTTTAAACATAGGTGCATTCTTTTCTTTGCTCTTCTTGGGTGGCGGTGGAAGAGGGCTTTGTCGGATCTGTTTTGGGAAACAGAACATCAACGAGGATAAGATCAGGACGAACCCGGCTATAAACACCATTCCTAAAATAAGAAACAAACAGGGCTGTAAGAAAGTTGTTGTATTACAGAGGGTTCGCTCTGAAGTCTCAATATTCTGTAAAGTATAAATTCAGTTATTTACTATAAAGACATAAGAATATCATCGTTTGACTGGAGATCGATTTTTTTTAAGGTTAAATAAACCTAATGAGAATAGCAAATGTGAAAATTTTCCTACAGACATGAAAAAAACAGCGAACGAATTATGTATAAAACTACACAAACAAAGGAAAGAGTGGGCGGTGGCGGGCGTCGGCACATTAAAAAAACTTAATTAATAATGGAAACAGAAAATTAATAATTGATAAATCAAACACAAAAATAATTAGTTTATTAAAAGAAACACGATAATAAAACTTGAAATTATATTCTTATCAAATAGGTATATTTTTTGTTTTCAGTGAAAGATCTTGCTTTAATTGCGGTTATCGGTGTTGTTAAAACAAAATTATGTACATATATAATATAGTCTTACAGTGTATTTGCCTGTTTAAATTATAAAATTCGATCATTCGATGCGTTCTGTCGCTCGGCACGACTTTTATAAGCGATTTAAATTTTTAATAAACTAAATGATTATTAATGGTTCTGTAAATTGTTGTTACAACAAATTGCACAAAAAACTCTGAGTAATGAGCCAAAATGGATCCGAGTCTCGATACATCGAAACAGACCACATTTGTGCAAATTCAAGGTCGTCCGGCTACCGTAAGTCAAGGGCGTTCGCTAGACGTTTAGGTACCAAAATTCAATTTACACTCTCCGAATAAAGAACGCTAGTTAGAATTCGAACGCGTTACGAGAATTAGAGTGGAAATTCTAACAGTGTTAACCTCTTGACACACAGCGAGGTCACTTAACCGGTTTAAAAGTAAAAGTGGCCGAGGCGGCGTCGTGTCCACCCACTAAATCCTCATTACGGACGACGGCGGCATAATTGTGGAGCAAAAGGCGCGAGAACCTTGACCGTGGCCGTGTAGATAGAGCGTTTATTTTAGTCGTGGTGTCGCGCCGTGATGTAAGCCATTATATAATAACACAAAGCGCACGCCGCGGTCACCGGCGTAACGGCGATGCAACCGAAGGAAAAGCGAAAGCCGAGAGAAAATTGCATCGCGCCGACGACGGAGCAGCTGACTTGAATTCACTTGCCTTTACGCAACATCACGATAATCATAACAAAATCATGTTTTTCAAGAGATTAAATTGAGACTGCATTTTATGATCTGGGTGTACTTTAAAGCTTTAAAACATTATCATACGATAGCATAAAGGCTACTTCGTAGTAATAAAATGGCGCGCAATAACTAAATTTACAAATATATAGTCCTCAGAATTCACAAATCGTAAGTATGTAATGGCGTGAAAATTATCCTCAACCAGGTGTATAAGTACACTCGTATTTTACAATGTATAAAACGCGCTGCCATAAATGAATCCATTGAGCCGTATTAAAATTCTGTCTACATCGATGAAGTTATAACTTAAACAATAAGGAAATACGCGGAATCCATTCCACGATTCGCGAATTCGCTCTATTGCCACCCGGGGCACGCCCGACGCAATTTCTACTCCGTTACGTGTGAAAAATTAGAGAACTGCAAGCTTTACTTTGTACGCGTTAAAGATGTCGCTGACGAAGGCTGAAATATCACTTCGTACGCATTCCTTTGGTATTTTAGTCACGCTCGTGCTTTCTTCGTGGAGTTTGCGCGCAAATCTGAGTCAATGGTCTCATAACGGTAGCTGACAGTTCCGCGATGTGTATGCCTTTGGTGGAATTCCAGCTCCATACCGTAGATGTTTCAATGGAAGCATTACAGCGGTACAGTTAGCGCAAGACGGAGGTTAACCAATAACAATAAATATTGTGATCGTCTTGAAACTCTTGAATTATTTAGGTTTAACAATGGCGACAATTAACCGCACGTTGTAACACTTAAGACCTTAAGCATCGACGACGCATCATCAAATACTTTATTTGCATCGGATAATATTGTTTAACGAAAATGCAACAAAAAATATATTGGTCAAATGAGTGGTAGTGATTTTGTCAGCACGCGTCTGTATTTTCTACTATTTTCGCAGAGTAAACAGGTTTATCAGAATAAGATAACTCACCAAGCCACCAAGCTCCAACCCATCGTGGATCATTGTACTCATAGCCGGGATCCTTCAGAGGGTCTACATATACCCTCGTACATAAGGCACCCAGAAGAAAGCCTAGTGCAGGTCCAATAACTCTAATTCCAATCGTGATAGCTGTGGAAAAATAAGAATTTAAAACAGAAACAGATACAAAAGTAAGACACAAAACATAAAATGAAGGGCGAGGGTTGCATGTTAGTATGTAATTAGTAGAGGTTAATGCAATCAAAATTAAATTCCTTAATACTGATATAAGTAGAAACCAAACCGCAATTAATTCCAATAGAGCTAAGAAAGACTGAAGTCTAATAAAAGTTCATTCAACTAGAGGCCAGGAAACATTCGACGCATACTAATTATAGGGATAGTACGCCGTCTAGGAGACAGTGAGTGGAAGTTAGATCAAAGAATTTGGACAAGAAGATACCTGGAAGTTTATTTTAGAAAGACAACGACATAATTACATTAATCTTATTAGGTAGACATATAAATGGATATAAACATTTTCAGATTGTATTTGAAGAGTATTATGTCTTCAGATCGCCACAATGTTTAACTCATTACACGGGTTCGAATCCCAGGTAAATAGTTTCGGTCTGGTAAGCGATTAGTGAAATAGAGACACGTATACTCCACACAAAACATACGATCAACAGAATTTTTATTTTTAATGCGTCTTAGGCACGGTAGACACATTCCTATATCCGTTCCACTAATTGATCAATACACAAGCCTTCAGTTACAGCATGACCCCGACGAAATTGTACATGTATAAGTATATAACTTGTGGAGCTTTACGCAAATCTGGCATTTGCAAAATACAGTGGGGCGGACCAAATTATTATTAATATTCTCGGAATAACATGGGCACAGAATCAAGATTACCTACAGGCTACCTATAAACAATAATTTAAAATTAAAATACGTCAAAAAAAACGTAACACATAATTATAAGAATCGGGGGTGATTGACCGAAAAACAATCAGTTACTAATGTAACGCAGGCATTCGGAGAAATCGTACGTATCGTTTGCCAAAAAAATGCACTTAATGCATTTCGGCTTGCATGCGTCTTCGCGGAGAATATATAAACATATTCCTATCGTCATCGCTTATAAATAACAAGCCTCGAGACCGTTTTCAAAAAGCACGACAGGCTTGTTGTTGCAGCTTATTATTTTTAGGAGCTTTAATACCTCATATATCTACAAAACAGATTCATTCAATTACAAGCTGTATTACTACCAACAGTGAATTAATGTTGCGTGAAGTTTTATTATATGAAGTGGACATATGACTAGGCGTCTGTTTAACCGTTCCAACCGGTTTTCAAGTAATTAACGTCGAAAACTCACTGCATCTCCGAATTAACACTATCGGCCCGGCAAAAATGTTAGTAATTATGCAATTAAGGTTTCTCGTAATTTGAGTCGTCTTAAAAACTAAGTACCGCAACTATATGGCTCATAATATTGTGATTGGCGCATTAATTGCAAATTATGCAATTAATTTTTTCGAACAATTTATGGTACTGATGATGGCGAAGAGTAAATTATTATTTTTTTTATTTAATTCACTATAAGCCTGTTTATTTATTTCACACTTTGGTACACAAAACAGAACTTACAGATACTATGCAATTTAAAACTATAGAGTGTACCGGGCGGCCTCTTCTTCCAGGCAACCCGAGTAGAAAAAAACTTAACGTTTAATTAAAAACTATGCAGTGTGCAAGAATTGCGAAACATTTCACATTTAAATTTTGGATTTGGAACGGAAAATTAAAATGCATAATAAATAGTATAATTTGTATTCGCTACGATCCCAAGTTCTAAACGCTTTTTAAAAGCTGTAGGTAGCGTTCGATTTTCAAAATACTTTAACTGTTCGAAATTTAATATGTTCCAAATTCTAAATGTCTCAACCAAAAGTTCAAGATACCCTACATCCCTACCTGCGTGCTGACTAACAATACTGAATAATAGTATATTTGACTTATTAGCAGAATTACATTTGTAATTATCGCTAGACTAAAGCTTCATTAGCGCCCCCATAGCAAGACACAGAAATTACTTGTGACGTAGTTCAATTTATTTACTGAATATGATACGCGTTTAAACTCGTTTTCTGTATAGTTTAACTATTTGCGTAAACAACAAATACATCTAGCACATATTACTAATACAAATACAATAATGAATAATTCTTACATTATATGAGCGATAAACTGTATGCAGAAGTAATAGGGTGAGTAGGTAACCTTGTTGTATTATTTACTACTGATAAACAAAAATAATATTAATTAGATTTGCGCAACCTTTTTTATTATTATTTAGACACATTTGTAATAACTGTGGCCGCCTTTGTCGCTCAATGTGTAAAATGGTCAAAAATCATTTAGCAATAGATTTTTTGGGTTCGACTTTCGGAAAAATAAGAAAAATTTACTTCAAACAGTATTACAACACCACAAAACAGTAATATAAGTGTAACTCGTGTATTGATTGTAAGTAATTTTTCTTACTTAATTTTTTCTAAATACTTTCTGTAGTTTACGCGAGTAGTACATATTTAAATAAAGCACTTTAACGGTTTAAAACGCGATACGTATTAGATAAATTATTTGAAAAATATTTTTAACTTTGGCCCGACGTTTTACAGCTGCCGTGGTCACGGGGAAACTGTAGTCTAAAGTAATAAAATATCGCGTTTTAAACCGTAAAAGTGTCTTATTTAATTTTTTCCGGCCAAAGTACACTCTTACACTTTACGTACTCTTCGCGTACTTGGGAAAATCAATATTTTTTTAACTATAATTTTTAATTAGGTGTAAGTTTGCAGATCATTAGCATCGTGAAATATAAAATCTAAAGCTAAACGTTGATAACAAATGTGTGATAACTGGGTTAATTCATAAGCGATTGCGAGTCATTGACCTATTTGACTAGATATTCTCATTTCGCAGAAGCATGTTTATACTTCTAATTGATTATTTAATATGCTTGATACGAGAAAAAAATCCTTTCCGGAATTTCCTCATTCTGGCCATTGATAGAAAATATTAAATCCCGTTCCCATTACACATTACTGCGTCAGCTTTACTGATCGACTTTATTATACTTTACAGCGTACCTCTGTGGGGTGTACGAAACCACGTTAAATCAGTGATTCATGGACAAGGTGGTTTGCATACGATACGATCCATGAAAATTAAAAAATGATATTTAAACTGGATTCTATTAAGTATTATAACCATCCGATGAGTCTAGTCGCGGGCACAGCTCGTGTTAGATATTTCCCTTTGTTATCACTCCTTTATTTCAGAACTGGTAGTTGATGTAACTTTTGCGGTTTTTTTCCAGTATCGACTTTCCCAAGTCTACTTAGTTACATGGATAAATGATTATTTAGTTTAATTAGCATTAAACAAGTTAACTCTATCTAGAGTATAAAATTACAAAGGAACAAAGAACATTAAAAGGCTGTTTCATTTTAATATTGTATTCGTATGTAAATAAACGTACAAAGGCGAAGTCCTTCCGAAGGGTCACGTTTTATCTTTCAATGCATCTTTCCAAGAAACGATTGTAACATATTGGACCGGGGCACAGTCGAAAAAGATTAAAAACAATTCTATTGATACTGGGACGTGCAATACTATCGTTGGTAATCTAATCGTGCAATACGGTGAAACTGACCTACGTCAACCGCATCGACGATTATAGTGGAATATGATACTTTGCCGAAATTGCATAAGTACGTAACCACTTCTTTTTATAACACAAGTGAGGGGTTTACTTAATGTAACATAGTCATTTCTCGACAAAGTATAGCAACAAAATAATAAATTAATTTAAGAGACATATTGAAATTAAATCCACGATACTTCAATTTAGCAACAAACTTTGTTACTATTGGACCAATAAACCCGTCCAAAAACATTTCCTCTTAAATACTGTCTGTAGCTAACGCGAGTAGTACACATTTAAATACAACACTTTAACAGTTTAAAACGCGATATATTTTAACTAAACTTGTTTGAAAATTATTTTTAACTACGGCCCGACATTTAGGATGTTTTGAGGCAGCCGTTGTCACGGGGAGATGTCTAACTAAAATATATGGTGTTTTAAACCCTTAAAGTGTTTTATTTAAAAAAATATTTCCTCTTGTTACAACAAATTTACATCTAACAATGTGTTGAGCAGTGTCAATTTAAAACAGTTCCGTAAATATAATAGATATTGTCTGTAATCAAAAATATATATAATTTGAATGCACATTGGTAATGTCTGCCATATATGATTTTATTTAGATTTATTGATATTTAAAAAATAATTATACCGAACAACGAACATATACATATATATTAATAATGTTTTCATATATTTTCTTCATATTGCTTTCACATAAAGGTACTTCGCAGGACTTATAGAAGAGAGCTTATGTTAATTTTTTTCTGTCAACTCCACTACCAGTTTACTCGATCTCAAGAAGCCGTGACGCCGTTACGATAATACGATGTTTCCGGGCGTTTTAAAAACAGATTTTGGGGCTTTAAAGCTTAAAAATAATATTTTTTGTTTGTTTTATTTGTTTAAGTTTCTCGAAAATGTCATCATTTCATAATATTACAACAACTTTTTATTTGTTCACTAAATACATTCAAATATCTATTGATTTTAAGGAATTATTTTCTCCATAGTAACAATCTTCTACGGTTTGATACAACAGAGGGGTTGCCAGATAGAAATTGATGAGCCGAGCAGACATACAAAAGAGTATTTTATTCATATACTTTTAACAAGCTAAAGTGGTGACGAGACGTGCTGCCCTACTGACACATATGCATCTAAAATAGCGCATCATACGCGTCGGAAGACATATTATTGTTTCGTAAAGGGACGCGGACGTAACTACAATGCACTATGGCATCAGGAATTAGTGTTGTCTGTAGATTGCATTGGTAAGCATTAAATAACTTAAGACTTTTAACTGTTTTAAACGCGATACATCGAAACTTAATCTCATCTATCATCTTTTAAACCAACTTGGAAAAAAAGTAGGTTCGCAATTCGATTTGTTTGTTTTTTGATGTTAGTTAACGCATAACTTTTATTTTTTACTAATTAAATAAAATATGCATTACTTTGTTCGTGCTTGAAGTCGTTTATATTTTGTTAAAATCAATACTATCAATACATATCTAAAATGTAAAAAATAATAAAAGAAGGAAGTGTGTAAGTTCAATATAAATTATGACATATTGATTTCTTAATTCGTAAGCCGTTTTACAACAATCTATATTGCGTACTACTATATAACAGCTAAGTATAGCCAAAGTATACAATAATAATAAACATGGTCATAAAATAAATTTTACCTCTATAAATATTGGCTTTGCGCGCTCAACATGTATTTAAAATGCATAAAATTTATTAACGGATGTTATAGCATGTCTTCTTAGTTTTAATGCTAAACTTGGACAAACAAACGCCGCGGACAAAGCTGTATTTTCTATGAAAAACATGGCCGAATCAAAAACGTTAGTGACTTTATGACCCAATTAACTAAGGATATAAAAAGGGAACTAGTCACAACTCATAACACTATAATTCTACTGACTATAATTCAAGAGTCACAATCTATTAGAGCTAAAGTAAAAGTAACAAGGTTATTCCTGTAAGGGCATAGGGCTCCATTATGGCAATTCTCCACAATTTAAAGTACAATCGATCCACTTGCACACATCAACTTTTAATACGAGCAAAATTAAAAAGACTACTATTGGAAAATGATATTGAGTATACCAATTGTGGTTCAGCAATGCTTTTATCACTTTAATAGGCGATACAACACATTCACTAAGTATTTTATACTCATAGTTTCGAATATTTCTTTGTTTAAAATTTTAACTGCGAGGTATTTTGTTATTTAATGTTTAACTTTCTACATACTATTATGTTATGTATTGAAAAATGATCTCTCTATTTGACTGTGGGTATGGACTGACTTACCCATATATAGAGGAGACTGCCTGCTGCCCACATTGTCATCAACGTAGGGTATGCCAAGCGTCGCAATGCCGGTCTGCCCCACTCCGACCACGAGGAGGCACACGAAGAGCCACGGGATCACGACCGCAGTAATGGAGGACCGCGCTGCTGTGCTCTTCATGTGAGCGGCGTCGCACGCGCTTGAAGAATTGTCGTTACACACCGGCGCCGCCTCAGCCCGGTGCGAGTCCAAGTGGACGTCCATCAATTGCGTTCCATACAACATGTGGGGTACCACGCACCCGACCACACCGATGGCTAATACAATCATCATGCAAGCGATCCACCTCGGACGATGGCCCCGACCCGCTAAATACGTCAGAAATAATGCTGTACATATTTGTCCGATTTCTGTCGCTGAGAGGAGTATCCCCGTTGTCTTCGATTCCACTTTATATAATTTCTCAACAGTCGTCGTCACGCTCACGAAGTACGTGAGGAACATGCCCTGCAACACCCAACCCGATAGGAACACCAGCATAAACACTCTGGTAGAGTGAAACGCAGACCGAGATTGCTGAGGTGGGAGTTTGCAGTCGAGGGAGCCATTGTTATTTCCGGCGGCCAGGTGCTCTTGTTCCTCTGGTGTGGCCTCCACGCCTTTCATAGCGCCTTCCTCGGGTGCAGGGCCGTTGAGACCCTCCCCGTTCCGCGGTACACTTGCGACGACTGGCGCCCTGCAACAACGGAAGAATACATAAATAAAATTACAAGACAACAGTTTTTGTAAGTATTTCCACTCACGTCATATCGCTCGTTTCGATGTATGGGTTCGGTGTGCAACCCCTAACGAGCCGCGTCCAACTGCGCGGAAACGGAACGCACGCAACGCTCGCCCGATGCTTCTTGATAACGGGCCCGAAAGGAATGTCGATTAGTGATCGCGAAAACCTCGAAGTTGCATCTAAAGCGACTCGTGCGCATGCTTTTAGAAACGGTCGGCGTGAATTGCTGGAGTGGCGAGGGAGGAAAGCTGCGTGCGCGCACCCAGCCCGGTGCTGAGAGACTACGGCGTGCAGTGTGCACTTGCAAGTTGCAACCGCTCAGCACCCGCCCCTCGACATCTCCCCACAGCGTTTTTATTGGCCGCCTATCCGTTTTTTACACCGAATGCATTTACACACGACGAAAGCCGTCTGTATATCGTCCTCCTCGCGAGAGTCCCTCCTGCCTTGTCTGTGGAATGTCTTTGTCCCGTGCGTTTGTATTATTTACGTTTTACATAAAAATTTAACTTATCCGAGGGCGACGTTAGCTAGTGTCACTTCAAGACGTTCACGCTGAACAAGGCTATTAATAGTCCTAATATTTCTACGCAGTTTTTCGCTGTTAATAGTGGGAAGATGTATTCAATTAAACACTGCCATATAAAGTTACGCCAAGTGACAGGAATCAACAGCTAGATTTACTAGTGCAGAATATTAATACGCCTGTTTACGGGCTTCATGTCTAACTGGACTTGCAAACTTACCAATGGGGCCGATGACCAGTTAAATTCCAGACACACACGCGGTTAGTTAAAAAACAAACCACTTCTCCCAATTACACTAATTACTTGCGATTACGCTTTTAAAAAAGATTTTTTCACGAGCGACGATAAGAATAACTCTTTGGTAAATGCATTCCGTGATAATGACTTATGCAATGTGCGGGTTATCTTTATATTGTTATCGCTCTGATAACGGGGACATGGCGAATAGGCCGGCCACTTGTTGAGCGGGTTACTGGCCTAACAACCTTAAACAGAATGCCCTATTTAACAAACACAAGTTATAGTCGCGTGTGACAACAGCCTTGGAAGTAATTAAAATTAAAGAGAAGACGAAGATTACAAAAGAAGATTAAAATCCGCGTTGAGGGCTGAAAAACTTGAGCGATAGCGATAGATACAACAAAAAATTTAAAAAAATATATCAAACTCTTATGCGAGGCTTAAAGACTTACCCATGTTATTTAATTAAATGAGCCACAAAAATATAAGCAAATATCCGGCGACACGTTTAAAATTACTTTAATTACACAACTACAAAAACAAGTCTTTAAATGTACATTCGGTCATAGCAGAGTACCAAAAGAGGTACAAAAAACATTTTTGAAATCTCAACATAAACTGTCTTGTATGTACGTATAAACAAGTAATCAATATTCACAAGAAAAAAGTCTGATAACTTCATTCAAAATGTATTTTTAACATTGAAGGGTCCGTCAATGTATGCTATGTAACTGTACTGTAAAGAATAAAGACTTTCCAAAGAGTGATCGCAAAAAACTCTACCACAAAAAATGGAATGGGAAGCATACTTTAAAAGAGAAAATAAATGATAAAAGTGGGAGTGATGTTGTCAATACATAAGTTAGTAATGAATTCGACTTTGACATTAGTGACACCCTTCTTCTTCGATCGCCGTGTGGCCACGGCTGCTTCTAATCATTATATATCATGTTTTAAATCTGTGTTTTATTTAAATTTTAAATAAGTCCATAGCAGTTCAAACGCTTTTGCTTTAGATTTAAATACGATTAATAAAAAAAATCATTCGAAAAGAGAGTTCCTTTTTCAGCCAATAATAATTCATATTAGGATGAAATTTATAAGACTATAAAAATATATTACCCATCAAAGAATCATGTAGTTCACCTGCATGTAATGAAAATGACTACTTAAATTCAGTATTAAGTAGGTAGATAATTACGATAGTAAGAGGCCGTTAGATGCAGAGTAGGCTCTCACTGCAATTTTGATGACTTGACTTATATTTATCTAGTCTAAAAATGTTAATCTACAAGAGCACAGTGACCGTGGCTAAGTTAATTGCGTATTTTTATTTTCCCCCTTATTGAAAATCATGTTTGTTTTATTAGGCCACTTTGCAGCCTCATGCATCCTCAACGACACAAGACATTTTGCGATGTCTTATGTCGCTTAGTCGATGATAAAATGAATGCAGTAATCGGGCACGCAATTCCTGTTTGACCACGTTGTACGATTTTAACTATTAAACCGCCGCTTGGCTCTTAGGAAACATCTCAACCTAATCTAAAAATTTGCAAATCAAATGAACTTCGTACCTATTCATACAATCAGCGCGGTTCGTTCGTCGATAAAATTCGAAATAATCTTAATATGTCTCGTACTCGTTATTGCCATTTCATTTCGATTTGTACATTTAATAATTAGACAATACAATGTTGTATTGTATTGAATACTTTATGAACGTTCGTTTACACGCAAACAGAACTAATAGGTCGATGGTAACTAACTATAGTACCTATAGTACTATAGTACCTCACGATCAAACTTCCCTTTTGTTAAAGAATTATTATTGATTGACACTTTGCGGTCTCTTTGGCAAAAAGGTAGCAAAGTATGGCTAATAACCGATGGGTCGTCGGTGCGATCCCCCACCGTTTTTAATTTATGTAATATGTCCGGGTCACGAAATACGGACCAACCGATGAAAAGACCTCAAGTTGAGTCGCGTTTCGGTTTCAGCCTGTGGATTGCCGAATAACCAAAGCCAAAATAGGTGACAGTACATCTTGTTTAGATGTAATGTGTAACGTAAAAAAATCCAGTTAATCAAAGACTGAATATAGCACCACTAAATCGTCACAATTGCGAAAGAGGGATGGTCTTCCATCGATATCGTATCAGCTATTGATAACTTAATCAAACAAGTCGCCATGTTTGAATAGCTACGGTACTAAAAATACATTGGATCGTGGATAAGATTAAGGATACAAAGTATGGGTCCCATGCCTGTTCCCCCATACGTTCCGCCCGAATGCCTATAAATATCCGTTCGCCCACTGTCGTGGCGCTTGAACGACTTATCTGTCATTTTTAAAACTTGCTTCTAACTGTGGAATTCGATCTATACGTGTTGGGTTTGTAAAATAACGTTTTAAAACAGCGTTATAAACAAATGAAGTTAGTGACAAAATGGTAAAGTGTCAATCATCAAAGTTGTGTCCAAGATATTTCTAGAGTTTAATAGAGTAAGATCTAGCACGATCCCTCTTGAAGGTTGTACGCCTAGTGAAAGTGAAAAATCGTAGTAAAAATTATAAATTTATCTGTCCAGTTGGGGTTTTAATAGAACGAATTGAGAACTTAAATTTATGAAGTTCGGTTAAAAAGTTGATACCAGTTTAGCCAATACTAGTTAAGCCATTAATTAGTGTGGAGTAAATAAACTTGTAGATACATATTTATGTACAAAGATTAATTTGACATCGTTCACCTCTCCCTATTACTAGAAGTAGGTGTTAAATAAGAAACGATATCAAGCGAACGAGTGTGGAGTAACGTACCTAACACTCTGAAGGCGATATTAATTTAAATGAGTCCGTAAAATAATACGAACAGCACGACATGCGCTGCTAAAATATCTTCTTAATAATTAAACATTTATTTAACTACTATAAGTTATCTGGTTTCACGTATTAAGAAGATGACCTTCTACATAACTTACAACACCACAAATCAAGAGAAATAGAGAATTATTGATTGGAACACATTATTTTAAAATAACAATCATACTGTTTAAATAAAACACTTCAACTTAGTCTATATGGACTAATATATATCGCGTTTTAAACGGTAAAAGTTTTTTTATTTAAATACTGTTTTAACATCTATCACCGTCGAAGTTAATAAAACAATGTATATACATATAAGTGTCAATATGGACCTATCGGTGGAAACAGAGCTTATTTTATTTCAATAGTAGAGAATACAAACTGAGAAAAATTTGTTTGGTAGAGACCAGTCAGCGAAGTTTCTTTGTATTGAACGGATTCAATTGAAATGAGTAGGCACTAAGGTGAAAGTGATACGCAGATGAAATTGGGCCCATACGGAGCGGAGAAATAAATACAGTCAAATGTAACCGCAGTTTCGCTTTACAGTTATTTTACAGAATATGTACGAAAAACAATGTCATATGTCAATATGCCCTTGTGGACAAATACACACAAGAAGCCATAAATAAACTGGGAATTTACAGTGTACGTGCTTAAAATTACTGTGAATATCTTAATTATTAGTCTTTATTAAAAAATACAAACTAAATCTGTCTTATCAAATAAGACAAAATTGCAATATCGTATGTACTTACATACAAATAGTACCTAGTATAGAAGAAGGCTAAGTATAAATCTCATTAAAAAGCACTACGCGTACTGTATTAAGTGGGTGAGGGCCACTTAGAACGACAGTCGCGTTTAAAATCATTTAATTCTTTTTAACGCGATAGACAACATTTATACCTATTTATATCAAACGACAATACTCTTTCAAAAATTGCTGATTAACTAGTCAAAGATGTTAGACCGTCAATTTCTAATTTATGTTTTATGCTACTAACATCAACCACCAAAAAACCGGCGTTAGTTCTAGTAGTGAGTACACCAACAAAAATGTTAAAATTTAAGTTCCAAAAAAAACACTAGAAAAAGACTTTAGGGAAATCTAGGGCTGGGATTTCGCGGTTTTCGTAACGTACCTTTAATCAATTTTGTAACCAAATGAGACAGATGAATATGGAACCTGAGACTGTCGTAAGTCCCGTAGTTACTTCTCATTTTTAAAGGAATGCATTATCACTCATGTCGTTTGTCTATCGTCAAAAAAACCTAAAAGAAGACGTAACTCGTCCCTTTATCCTTTCACGAGTGTCAAGGTTAAAAGCTAAGTGTCATGAGAATGTTGTTCCTTCCATTAGCCTGCGGAGTCGTGTTTGATCTTAAAATACGTGTAGGAAGTCAACCAATATTTGTAAAAAATTAACATGCTAAGTAAATGACAGCGCAACATAGAAATTAAATCTATTTATTACATCATTAACAACTGTAATTAGTAATGTATCAATAAAAGATTTATTAATTTTAAATAAATGTCTTAGTAGTAGGTTCTGAGTGTCTAAAATTTTTCCAAGAGACAAGTACCTCTATCTCTAATTGTCCGGCAAACATCCCGTGTTCATCCACTTTATCATCGTGCGGTTCAAATACTTTCCACCGCCACTCATGATTGTAAGGTTATCAGCGGATCACGATTCAACGAACTCGTTCTATCATTTCACTGTTACTTATCTATTTTTAATGTCTGTGTAAAGCCGAAGCAGTCGAGGGAAAGACAAATATGGATTACGACGGTCGCTCTTTCTTGTGGTTAAGCTGTGTCTATTATCAACACCGAATTGTCGGAAAGCTTTTTCTTGAATAAAAAAAAATAATATGAATGGACACTATAATGTATTAATCTGTTGTACAGTTAAAAATCTACCAATGTAACAGGGTAGCTAACACTTCAAAGTAAGTAAACTAAACATAGGTTTTCTTCTTATAAATAGTCATGTTGCTAGAGTTAAAATGAAACATAGCAATTAAAATTATAAAGTACTGATGTAAGATTGAAGTGTAAAATGATCATGTTATGTATATTTTTTATGAAAAAGTAATTTTCCTCGGTGTAGTTTATTGTTTCTATTATATCACGATTCAAATCATCTAAACGTGTACCAAAATTCATCGTTATACTCAACCTATTATTTCAAACATAACTTGCGCGCTCGAGGAAACAGTAAAAGTAGCCCATAAAATAGTTTATAAATCTTCCTGATATTGATATAAAGCGAATTGAAAAGGAAATAAAAATTAAGTCTCTACAGATCTATTTGAAAGTTAAGCATGAACTTAAGTAAAAAAAGCTAAGTAACAAATATCGGATAGCTGTTACACGACCCACATTAGCGCCCCCGTTACGGGGAAATCGCGATGTAATTTTGCGACTTTATTTCGGAACACTTTTACTTTGGCAACGGGTTACAGTGTGGATGGCACCAATTTCTCTTTTCACAATGAAACATTTAATGAGACAGACCGAGAATTCGACATAAGATCGTGGAAAAACCTATATAGAAAATTAGGTCGGTCAGAACTCCACAATTCATAGATGAATGCACGGATGGTATTTGGTAATAGTGCAACTTGTATCATATAGGGCGAAGTAATTATATGTAGAACAATTAGGAAAGTGTACATTTTACTGAAACAGCATAAGAGAACACTGGTCGACACTTGAGAGCGAAACTAACGCAAGCTACTCGTAGTTCGGTGTATTACTTTCATTTGTTTGAGATGCCGAAAGCGACTTTTACTTTCAGTATGCAGATATTCATTCATTTTATTTATTATTCATATTTTATTTAAACTTTCTCCTTCTCATATATTCTACCTGAACTTGACTGTGGAATGGAGAATTTGGGCTTACGCACATAATTCAAAGTTATGTATTGAAATGACGTTAAGTTTTGAAATTTGAAATGAATTTTATTTAACAGCATATTTAATGTGACATTTTGTTTCGATGCAATAGTTATCAAAATTAAAGACAACCTACACTGATGTCAGTTTCCCAAACCTTTAAGATAATGAGAATAATATTAAAGAGTACACCACCAATAATCGGATATCCAAACCCGCAACAATATCTTAACATTGTTACAACATAACGGCAACAAATTTTAATCAATAGTACAATAAATTGAACAGAACATAAAATAATTCCTCTTTACACATCTTACTCCTTTTATAGACCATTAAACCTGCAAAGTGTCAGTCCGCTAACCCAGCCCCACAAAAACGAAGAAACAGGATCAAGCAGGTTGTATAGCTAACTAAACCTTCGCTTGGTGCATAAAGGTTTCATTGTCCCTAGAGGGATGTGTCAGGCAGCGGACGCTGAATTTTGTAGCAATATTGATTAGCAAACTACTCCTCAATTAAATGACTATAATGTATTAGTACCTGTAAGAAGGACCGATCATCCAGGCTTTATTGTATTTTAGTTGTCATAGAAAAAAATGTTTGGAGTATGTTATAAAGCAAATGATCCTTCCGGAAATAAACGAAATCAAGATTATGTAAACTTAAAGGGATATCACACTTGGAATGGAAATGTCTCAAAAATATCTTCATCAGGCTCAAATCTCAGTAAAGTTAACTTTTCCATATGACAGGATTACAGAAAAGTTTGGGGTTCCTTTAATGTAATGAAAACGTCAGCGTCCTGCAATACCTTATTTATGTGCACCTATGTATTTTGGCTTTAACTAACTTTTATGTAGTTTGGCTACAACATCGGTCTATCGGTCTTCATCGGTTCCTAATCTAAACAAAAAATCTAACCCCTGATAGGACTGATTTTCTAGAACTTGGGAAAAACCTGTTTGGAACACTAGCAGAGTCATCGGTCTTCCGATGGAAATCGGATACATGAACCATAATTTCTGCTATAGGACCAAAATACCAAATTTTAAGTCGTTAAACTGCTCAATGAATTGATATTTTACCACTGTAAAGTGAAGACAAAATCTCGTTATGCACATTCAATATCTAGCAGGTTATGTACATTCATAAACCTGTATAGTATTTAACTTAGCGTTATCAGTGAACAGAATTCAGTTCATGTAATCAAAGTGGATTGCAGTGTAAATTAACTAAACAAGATAAAGTACATTCGTCCCCGATGCGCATATATTTTGCACTTTTATATTTTTGCTCCCAACTCTAAAGTTAAGCGAATCTTGAAAAGCATAATAAAATTTACAAAAATCTATCGAAATTATTGCAAACATTTGTAAGAAAGATTTCGATAGAACCATAAGTAGATAACTCACTGAATGTACTAAGTAGGCGATATGGAATAAGATTTGCAGATAAATCGCGCTGATAAGGAAATGTAAAATTAGGAGCATGTCACACGAGTGTCACACGTTAAATAAACAAGAACAATGTCAATTGATAACAAACAAGACGGGACTGCGGCGAATTTTTCTAACCAAATGAGAAAGTCATTTTAAACTTCGTTTATCTTCTTCCAAGACAAAACGAGTTCGAGAAAACAATGGGAAGTGTGAATTACCCAAGCGGACATTTAAGTTTGCAAAAGAATAGAAATTTGTTTTAATTTAGCCTGTGACCCGTATTCAAAAAACCTGATCCTAGAAGTTTCAAAACGCAACCCAAATAACCGAAGCTAACAAACGCATGCGATCTCTACAAATGATAATATGGTAATTTTATTACAACAACTCAAAAAACGTCCCAGCCGGTTCAGTTTCGAAATGGAGATCAAGTGACATAAAAATGGTGACCTTCACATCTACACTTTTCGTGCTAAGTCGACAAACGAAGTTCCCTCAAAGATTCATGATTTTCTAATTTATAACATCTTAATCTCTCTCTACTATCGATGTTATTTACTACGCATTGACCAAATCTTCAAGAGTTTGCGAGTTTAGGAATTAATAAACTAGCTTTAACTATTCAGTGGAAGTTCCCTAGCGTTAATATCCACTAAACACAACAATCGCCAATTTTCCACCCACCGCTTCCCATTCAGCACGACACGTGAGTGTCGGTGTATTACATCGATAAAGAAACTTTCAAACCAAAAAATAGATTTGACGGTTTTAAATTTAAAAGCATATTCACGACCATTATTATTATATTAATCGAAAACTATGAATGTAATTGACACACAATTTCAAACAGGAAATGTCAAAAACGTCGAAGATTTGAAAGTGAAATAGACTTTGTAGATCTGACGTAAGAGGTATCTTAGATCAACAGGTTTCTTTGTAAAAAAACACTTACGATTGGATTTGTCGCTGCTGATGAACACCACTCAACTGGCCCGGAGTATACGTTCGGTCATCGGTCAAGAGACGTATCCAACATGAACCGGTAAGAACCGGGAACAAATAAAAAACCGCTGCACTGATCACATATCAATCGGCGAAGCAATTGTTTCTCGGTGCGTCGAGGCGCGCAAGTCGGAGTCGAGTGCCGGCGTACGTAGTGCCGAGCCGTGTAAACAAATAGCTGGTGGGGGCCCCGCCGAAAAGCCTCACCGAATCACGCCGTTCACTTACGTCACTATCACTGATACGTAGAAGCCGAGATATCAGTGATTGAGAAACGAAAATTATTTAAAGAAGTCAAAATCACAACTTTAAGCGTTTGTCTTTTTTCTCTATTATTGCGTTACAAGTAATATATAAAATGGAACACGAAAAATGCGCCATTCCTTTCAAGTGCCGATAACGCCCAGAGAAATGATTAGAAAGATATTTTTTTTCTTGCGATAGGCCAACGTAAATTACTTAGTATTGTGCCATTTACTTGTTCGGCTAAATACAACTGAATATAATTTAATTGATATGAAGGTCAAACTATAATTAAGCTACCATCCACTATCTAGAACGAACACTGAACTAGGCCAGGCTCAATCCAAGTGGTTTGTAACTAACTGTAGATACCATTTGAATTCAAAAAAATAGATTTTGAAACCCTTTCTCTTCGTGCGTAAGAGTTTTCTTTAGTGGTACTTAATCAATGATTATTTCTTGGGAGAATCTAGAATGATATTGCTTTTACTTTAGAAGTAGCAGAGAGCAACCTTTGTCTTTCGTTGGGCATATTAATCTATTGACCGTTTCCATATTCAACCATTTAAAGAGATCACAAAAAAGAAGGAAGAGTAGAATTAAATAATAACCAACAATAATTGATGCTTCTGAACTATTTAATTGTATCTTTATCAGTTTGATCTAGTTTTTATTTGCCGTATTATGTTAATTATGAATACGACATCATAAAACGCCCCTCCACTTTAAAGATCCTCATGTGTCATTCAAAAAGAAGCGCATGTTTTATTTATTATGAATTTCAATGTGGACTTTAAATTCACAGATTTCCATACGTGACAGTAAGATCGCCTGGATTATAATCCAGGTGTAGAACAAACACAATATTATAATTATCTTTCTTGACAGTATATAATAGTATTACGAGTATGTACCTCTGCGAATTTTATACAAAATAAAACGCACAATATTCACATTTATTCGTATACTGAATGCCTTACGAGGACATGAAAAATATGTAATTTATTTTTATGTATCGTGACATTCAATTGTTTTAGTCAGTGTCAGGGACAGTAAAAAAATAAGCATATGAGAATATAGTACATACTGCACACACATATACATATATATGTAATATAGTATGTTGGTATGATACAATTGTTCCAATATTTCTTTTACGCCACGAACAAATAGTTCTAACGTTCTAAGTTCTATTGGAACCCAGTGATTGAATTTTAAAGTGATTGTAAATCGACGGCGAACACGATCTGAGTTTCAAATTCGCTGACGCAGTGAGCTTGCTTAATATTTATGTGGAATTTAAAGTAGTGCCCATACGTTATTTTAACCGTATTCATAAACAGTAGGGAGACGTGGAAAGTTACAAGACACGCAACAACTCAGGTTATAGCTAACAGTATTACCTACGGGCATGCCCTAAGCACCAGCAATGTTGGATTGATGAACAAGACTTAAAAATATAATACAATGAATGTTTTATGAAATCATTCAGTCAATTTCTTGATTTTGTAGACTTGGTATTGGTTATTATTAAAATGGCTTCAATTGACAATAAAATTTAGGGCAAAATTAATCGTCAACACTTCATCTGAACAGAAACATCTGCGCATAATCCATTGCTATCATTAGATCCTGTTTAAATAGTATCTGGAAAATTATTGATTTTATCAGAAGTGCCTTAGCAGTCTGCAGAAAGTTTTATTATTATCTGAATACGTCGTGCTTTAATTGGAAACAAGCAATTTATTCCAAATGGAAAAAAAGTAAATTATAGCATTCGTGTCCTTATGATTCTTTTTTAATTGTAGTTTATCTGTACGTGATGGGGCAACGGAGCTTTCAATGATACCGAAGTCATTTTAACGCCTTACGTGAATCATATTATTAACGTTGTATTAAATGTATAAAAAAAGTTGTATTCTAAAAGTAAAATTGTATTCGATTGCTGTATGGGATAAGTAGAGGTAATTCCTAGATACTGTCTATAGTTTACGCAAAAAGTACATAGATATTTACATGTGCATTTATAGTACATGTGTTATTTTAATGTTTAATACACTTTAACGGTTTGAAACGCGATATATATTAAAACTTATTTGACAATCATTTTAACTACGGCCCGGCGTTTCGGATACTTTGCAGCAGCCGTAGTCAAGGGGACACTCCCCGTAGTTAAAATAAATTTCAAATAAGTTTAACTAGCCTATAAATTTCTAGCTACGAATTCTTATATAACACAAGACTTATTCTATAATGAAGTATTCTTCATTGGGAATGAAAAAAAATTAAGGAAATTACAAAGCAAATTCAAAAATAAATTCATGACTCCGCTAGGAAAGCTACTTATTCTATTAATTGAACACCCAATCACGAGGACGAGACACATCAAACACGAAACTCGATAACCGTAGGTGAATAAAAACATGTCTAACTTTGATTGAAACAGATTGACATTACATAAATTGAAAATGACAAATTGATCGCGTGTCCTTTTGGTAAAAGCGTGAACGCTCAATGGAGTACAATATTGGTTCTGATTGGTAGAAGTGGTTTTTTAAAGAAATAATTTAGCAGAGGGCAACGGAGAGAAACTTCTGGAATGAGGACGATATTGACACAATCGACGCGACTTTTGTCCAAATTGACATTATCTAGTAGCTATGAGGCATCGATAACGCTATAGAAATCAATAAAACTACGAGAAATTAAGTTTCTGAACGTCGTCAAACGATAAACTTCTTTAAAGAGGTGTGTGAAATTTTACCATTCTTTTGAAAGCCAAACAAGTTTCCGTGTCGATTTCTATCATCGATTCGCAACTCTTTATTTTGTTTGCCCGGATCCGAACCTAGGACCTCTCAGAATGCTCTATTCGTTAATTATCTATACTTATATATAAAGCTGAAGAGTTTGTGTTTCTTTGAACGCGCTAATCTCAGAATCAATGGCTCGAATTGAACAATTATTATTTATGTATTGGTTAGAGCATTTATCAAGTAAGGCTATAAAGAATCGAACTAAGACTATAAGGAGCGAAGAAGCGGCGGGAAATATAAAAAAAAACGGAGGGAATCATTCACCCTCTGTCGGTTTTCCGTTGCGTACGCTATGAAAACAGTCCAAGATACCCAAAAGATGTGTACGAAAGAATGATCCCTCTTTAAGTGAGCTAAAAAAATGTCCATGGCAGTATATGTCTATCTTTTAAGATAAACTTGTAAAGACGGAACGCGGCTGTTACCGCGATCGACGTCGTAGGTAACAGTTATAATTTTTAAAGATGTGGAGGAGGTTTGCAAAAACAAATTTGACGCCCAAAATAACTATTCTGCGGGGACGAAGTCGCTGACACAGCTAGTATGATATATGTATAATGCGCCGGCAGATAAAAGAAAAATCAATCATCGTTTACAACATTTGGTTTTGCCAACTATCTTGGCTCCACGTGTGTTTTCTGTCAAAGAAAGTGAAATAGTCCCTTCGACATAACGTTCTGGCGAATTACCTACTTAAGTTTCGTCCAACCGCGCTCACTTTCGTTTGAGGTGAGGCGACTAGATAATATGTCACATGTATTTCATATTACGTTAAAAGCATATTGTTTAAATTTTCCCCTTTTAAATACTGTCTATAGTTTACGCGAGTAGTACACATTTAAATAAAACACTTTAACGGTTTAAAACGCGATATATTAGTTACACTTATTTGAAAATGATTTTTTGATAAGTTTAACTAATATATCGCGTTTTAAACCGTTAAAGTGTTTTATTTAAATTTTCCCATTTTTTAATGATAGAGGAAATAAGAATGGGGTTGTCTTGATGGGAAATTCCCTAGTCATCTACACAACAAAACGTATAACATCTACACAAAATGCGCTGTCGACCTGTTTTGGCTTTGGATATTCGGAAATCCACAGACGGAAAACAAAACGCGATTAAACTTCACGGCTTAATTATCTATGGATGGTGGTTCGTGACGCTGACGGAATTTTGATACCAACCCATTTAATATCTAGATTTCCAGGAAGGACAACATGTTTTGGAAAAATTATAAATTGAAAAATTAATAGATAATATGATTATGTCGAGAGTCTGAGACGAATTACCTATAGTCACGAAATATTTTAGCAATTACAGTATTTTTATATATTTGAGTTTGTAACTAGAATTACTCACACACCTAAATACCAAATTAGTTATAAAATACATTAAATAATAATAAAAAAACTAAGTGATATTATATCTTAAGATTTGGTAATCATTGTTGTAAATTATAATTGACCATCCAAGATTAGAGTGAAATCTTGTTTCCCATGCATACAGCATAAACATTGAAGTGTCTGTTTTACAAATATATTTTTATTGAAAAACCAGAAACACTACTATGTACCGATGAGTATTTTAATTTAACTTATGCACAGTCAGAGTTCTCTATAAAAGCCACAGGAGGACTTTCCCCTGGTGCATTTTGTTACTTAATTAAAAGAAATGTGTGTGATCAGTATTCAACTCCGAGTTATATGTAACAGCCAAAATCCATCTAAACACATAACCATCATGATATTAGGAAAAAACATCATTACAACTGATCAGATAAGATGGTATTTGGTAATACCACAACCATAAATTTCATAATTATTGCTGTCTCTTATCAAGAAAAAAAATATTAAACCTCTTTTCGGGAACAGTGTACTAGTTTAACAGTTTCCCAATGCACTAATGCTTCCCAAAATATATTTAGAAGTAAATATTACTTTGAACAGTCCAAAAAACAAAAAGCTAGCTTACCCCTGACTCAAATTCTACTTTGAATCCAACTACAGTAAATTATGTTACCAAAATTTAAAACATTTATGGTTATACAAACCAAAATCTATTATGTCTACTATTTTATCTTTAAAAACAAATCTGCACTGTCTTTATGTAAAAGTAAAGGTTACATTTTGATATTAAAATAAGTTTGTGTTTTTGGTCAAAGTGAGCCCATATTCTCATAGACAACTGTTAGACAATCCAGATATGTTTATGACAATTGGAAATATAATTATGTATGTTACATACCTGCCTTGGAATATTGTTTCGGCGCTATATTTCTTTCATTAAGGTATTCATAGTGTTTCTTGAGACTTAAACTGTCTGTTGTAGGAGTTAAGTATTTAGCTGAATATCTTTCTACGCCTTATGTATACAACTGTGGCACTTGTAAGGGTAACTATAACACCAAAAGTAACAAAATCGTTGTAATAATTTGCTGCTAGGTTAAAAATTCCAGATAAATTAGCTGCAACAACGTCACTTAGTGCCGAATTATAAACTAGTTCGTTACCACAGCAAGACATCACAATTTAACAACGTATAATTTAGTAAAAAATTAAAGACTTATATGAGATCACACTAGGTTTGCCAACATTTTCCTACAAATCCTACAATTATTAAAAATTTGACCTACATACACATTAACTACGAATAATAAACATTGTTTTTTTTTCTAAATCCCATATGCTAGACTTGGATGCGAATGCTATTGGTTGATAAAACTTTTTAAATTATTAATTACGGATGCATGTCTTTCAGCTCAGATTTCTTTATGCGAATGGCCAAAATGGTAAACTTACAGTGTAGATAATACAATTGCAACTAGATATATTGTCAAATGTCTGCTGCTTTTTTTTATAATCAGTTGAAAATACAAAAATAATATATGATGACATAAACAATATTTAGTGAAAAGATTCGCACTTCTTCAAAATTAAAATGGATAAAAAAATAATAATAATAATATGTAAACTTTCTAAAATCAGAAATACATGCTTTTTATATTTTAATTTCAAGGAGTTACTGCTGCTAGTTAACATTAATCTAACTTTGATATTTTCTTATGAATTTATAAGGACTGAATCAATTAGATTTAAAATATTCCATTTTAATTAAAATACATGAAACAACTGTTTTGCCAGAAACTATTACTGTTTAAACTCAAATTAAATTATAAACATTTTAAAATAATAACTTTTTGACTCTAAACATAGGATTACTAAATCCCAATTTGGAAAAAAACCTGGAAATGCTTAAAGATAAATAGTTTACATTCCATTGAATATTGTTGTTGTATACTGTTGAAAGTGCATCTTCTTGTAATGTTATATGCTTAAAGAATTTCACCTTCAATCAAATCATCCCCATGTTTGTATGTCCTCCACTAATATAAAAAATATTTACATGTCAGACATTGAAAGTGAAAAACTACTATTAAAAAATTATATTTTATCAGGTTAAATAAATAGACCAAATAAATATATTATTTTTTATTAAGACATTAACTTTAAAGGCTAAAAATATTACGTTTGAACTTAAATTATATAAATTTAAATGAATGTAAATGCCAGAAGGATGTGAATTTGAAACAAACAGTGTAACATTTATAAATCCTTAAAATAACACAAAGTAAATAGGAGCTTAATTGAAGACAAACTAAACTACAAGTCAGAAAAGGGTAATTTAAGTAAATGCCATAACAAACATGACAATATTGTCATTTGCTTTCAACTGCAATGGACTAAATAAAAAAAATCTTTGAATATATCACCATAATAAGCCCATATACCATATTTTTGGTGAAATACAATAAGTAGTCGATTTCAAACTTATTAGCCATATGTCATAATTAAAGATATTTGAGTTTTCAAGCTATTAGGCCATTGACACTCAGTCTTTGCTAAGTTGGTAGAGGTCAATATTTCATAATGCTATCCACTGGTAGAGACAAAATGTTAAGAAACATGTTAGAATTATGGCCCAACAGATAGAAAACCTAAGTAGATACTGTATACAGAATGGTGGCAAACAGCTTATACAATTTATACTATCATTATACTCTATTAATATATCAGTTTAGATTTTCAGACTTATTGTACCTACATGTAAATTCTCAATTTTCTAAATAAATACAAATAGAAAAGAAAATGCTGTAACTTAAAGTTTTATATGTGGAATTATTTGTATGGCATTGCGTGTCATAGGTTTCTTTGGGCTCAGCTTGTTGGGAGACTGCATCACAACATTAACAGCCCTCCTTAGTATCTGATGTTCACTTTTTTTGTACTCCTCCGTAATTTGAGATAAATCCAGATCTGCATCAAGGACCAATACCTGAAAAAAAAAAAAAAATTTTAGCACTGGCCACAATAATGCAGAATAGTTAAAAAATCAATTTTCAAAGGAGCAAGCGAGCAAGGATTTTTTATTAAATTTTAATATTTATAAGGGGGCTAAGTCCCACATAGTTGTGAGCAATTTTAATGTGTTGTAAATATTTAAATAAAAAATATTACATACGATAGATGGCCACAAATGGAGATGTTCCTTTTTACCTTTAATGTAATGGAGCACCCTCATAGAGATGATTTTGAGTTATACTTACAGGTGCAGGGCACTCAGCATGTGTCCTGTTAATTAGCCAGTCTTCATGTAGTTTATGAAGCTCCTCAATATAATTTAATGGTACACACTGTTCCTCAGATCGAGCCCTCTTTTTTATCCTCTCATAAACAATTAGTGGTGATGTTTTGAGATATACTGTAAAGGGCATAACATATAAATTGATATAGTTTATGAATTACAGGAAACAATGGACCAGTAAGATATGTTAACATAAATAATAATATACTACAGCAACAATCAGAGGACAACAACTTAAATGCAATTTTATGTGTGATAATTGTAATTGACTGAAAATGGTTAACATTTTATATTTCTTTAGACAAATTATTCATCATAGTAGACATACCTATTAGATCTGCTTGGACAGGTATTTCACAGTTAATAAATTTAAACCATTCATCCAATACTGCAAATTGTGCTGGATGTAGAGTTCCCAACCTCATCATTTGCTCAACAAAACAATATCTTGCACTAAATATGGATCGTTCCATTAATTTTATTGGTGTGTTAGTTGGTCTGCGATGCATTTCAAGCATAGTAAGAGACACATAAGCTTGGAATGTCATGGCCCATTTTGAAGGGTCTTTGTACATAAGGTCCTAAAACAAAGGATAAAGATAAATATAAATATAGAAAGCCCGTTTTCGTCCCTCGTGGGGCATGGCGCGAACACGTTTCTGTGTCCGTTTCACTGATCCTTTCTTTTAAGGGGCCAGTAGTTGATCAGACTTCTGTGCCCAGCCTGACTGAAACAATTTTATGTTTCCTAGGGATGCGAGAACCCAAGACCTCTCGCACTTAACGCAATGCTAGGCAAAACGTTTAACCATTTGGCTACAGAGGCGGTCAAAGGATAAATATAATGTACGCTTATTTATGATAAGACAGTGACAAACTTTATTCTCATGTTGGGACATACCAATAGATTCCAACCATGAAGATTGCGCCATTCTTCTACGGGTTCCGTTAGCAATGTGATATCTTCAAATTGTGTAAAATGTTCTAAAAATGTTGTTTTGCCACTTCCAATATTTCCTTCTACGAGAACAGTAAAAGGCTTAGTATGAGACGCTGCCATTACGTGAAGACGGTAGTACTCTAAAGGAAAAGAACGCTGAAATGAGTCGTGAATTTGCAGAATCTCAACCACGCCACTAAGATTTCCCGCTAAAACTGTTTTGACGTTGGTGACAGTTGCTAAATTCGTAAATGTTTTTTGTATGACAGCGGTAGTCACATATTTTGTTATTTTAATAATATTTAGACTAAGAATTATTAGACATTGAATTATCGTAACATCTATAAGAAAACATATAATTGTTCCTATTTTTTTATTAACAGACATTTTTGTTTATTTACCCAATTTAGCATTACCAACTATGTACTTACTTTTTAAACATTTTCCTATGCGAAACATTGTAGTGTATCATTATATTATCTTTGTATGTATTTAAGATGCAAAAATTATCTCTTGTCTTGTACTTAAATCAAAAATTTAATTTGTTATTTATAGGTACTCTTTAGATAAACAATTATGCGGTTATAAGGTTATACCTGAGGTTTTGACATTTTAAAACAAGTTATTTGACATTTGACAAATTATACAGACTCAGCAGATAATACAGCTATAGGAAACGGATTAATTGTGAATGACCATTTTTTATATTCATCACTTCTTGTATCTAATTATACATGGTAAATGTCTTTTACGCGAGCAGTACACATTATTATTATTTTCTTGGAAGGATACCGATAGAACAAATGACAATTACCATACTTATTAAAATAATATATTTAGCATTTTAAACCGTAAATAATGTGCAATTGTAAAAATAATGTGTTACAGAAAGTATTGTATATAGGCATAAACAGAGGGGTCTACAGTCTATATCCTGTGGTCTTATTTCTAATATCAACACCATCGACTAATGTAGATGTTTCACCGTCCACAATCCTCCCACAAAGTTGGTTCACCAATCACGGAACTCCACGAAATCCATTGACAATTTCTAGAGATGTTATTGCCCTTGCATAGGATTTGATGTGTAATTTTATAATTTGTATAGTTCGAATACGACACGCTTTATGATACGCTAAATTATTTTCTAGTTGCGACGTTTTTAATTAGGCGTACCTTATACAATTAGCAAAGATGTTACATTTACGGTGGCTTGGTAAGTTTATAAATATTAAAAGGCCTTAATTTCACGTTTGATCAGAAATCGTTATATTTTTGCCGGCTTAACACAAATGATTCTCTTTTAGGAATACTATTTATAATTGCTGGAACAAATGGACTTTACGACTCATCCTCTGATGTTGTTCAGTTGACACCGAGTAATTTCGAAAAATTTGTCACAAATTCAGAGGAAGTATGGATTGTTGAATTTTTCGCTCCATGGTGTGGACATTGTAAAAATCTGGTTCCTGAGTATAAAAAAGCTGCTAGAGCTCTGAAGGTATTTGCGCTTTTTTTTCTTTCAATTTTGACCAAATGTTATGACTATATTATACTCATTAAATATTCGTAGGGTATAGTTAAAGTTGGAGCTGTAGATGCCGATCAATATAAGGACCTCGGTCAGAAGTATGGAGTTACTGGATTTCCAACTATTAAAATATTCACTGGTAGCAAACACACACCTTATCAAGGACAAAGAACTGCAGATGCTTTTGTTGATGCTGCTTTAAAGGCTGCTAAGGACAAAGCATATGAAAACTTAGGAAAGAAAGCTGGTGGATCAAGTTCTGATAAGGTAAACTTTGTTAAAAACCTCAAATTATTATCAAAGGTTTTGAGGGAGAAGTTAAAGAAAAGCTAATTTTTATTTCACCAAAAAATTTAAGACCCGACTTAATATTTTAGGTTAATAACACACAAATTAGTAAAACAATATGAGCTAAAAGAACAAAAGATGTTGCAATGTATATGTTAATGATATAATTACATAGTTTAATGATAAAATTGTTTAGTAGTTTTTCATTATTTTTAATAGCCCAAAACAAGTAAACTATATGGCCATGATATTAATTGGAAGAAGGCACCAAAGCAACTTGAAACACCCTCTGTTACACCATCTCTAAAGAAAATTAGATTCAAAGCTTTACAAGCACATTTATTTCGTAGAAGAGATTTTAATTATAATGCCACTGCTAGAATTATTAAATTGAATCATTCATTTTTAATCAAAAAGAAGACATAACATCTGTCATGATTTTTTAAATGATAGTCAGCAGAAGTTAATTAAAGTTTTGCCTTTATCTGAAGTTTGTTATTGTATATTCTAACTTAACTCGGCTTTAGCAGGTTTAGTTTACTGCGAAGCAATTATAATAAATTAATTATTTTGTTGAATAGCTTAGACTAAGAAAGTATTCTTTAATAGTTAGGCCCCTTTTATTTATTAATATATCATATTATTTTTATTATAAACTTATTATTAATTATTAACCGACTCAAAATATGTGTTGTTTCACATATAAACTCCCTGAGTCATAACAGTTCAGTTTCTTTTTATTTTCTTAGATATTTATTAGGTGATGGATTAGATACATTTTTAATATTTTCAGGCTAAAAATAATGCCTAGAAGATTAGACTCGTTTACATAGATCATATACTGATTAATTTTGTATGTCTTATAATACGAATATGATGCCTTTGGCATAATTGTATATATATATATATGGTTATTTATTATTAATATGTTTGTTTTCACTTTTAGTCAGATGTTATCACCTTGACCGACAGCAATTTCAAAGAGATGGTTCTGGATAGTGAAGACATGTGGCTTGTGGAATTCTATGCACCATGGTGTGGACACTGCAAAAACCTGGAACCCCATTGGGCCAAGGCAGCTACTGAACTTAAAGGCAAAGTATGTTAGCTTGTTAAATTGTTATTAAAATAGTTATTGTAAATACAATGTTAAGAACAGGGTGGTCATGATTATTAATATTTTTATTCAAAGTCAAAGTCAAAAAACATTTATTCATGCAGATTATTAGATATTTTTAGGAATCAGAAGCAGATTTACTAAAATAAAAACAAAATAACACAACAATTAAATAAATTTAAATTCAACAAAATCCTATCGACCGGGCAGCACGTCCGTTCCATACAACGAGCGGTGAAAAATTGCCCGAGCGGTTAAGGCTTGTTTATATAGCCTTCAGTGTGGCGGGTAGTTGAGCTTCTCTGATGATCTTCCAACAATATATTTATGAAAGTCATACCAGTTAAAAACTAAAGACCCTAAATTTAGATTTACTAACAGTTATCTAATCAAGGGACGTGTAGAGCGAACGAGAAGAACTGACAAGAAACTTAACAGCACTTCTTTTTATTGCCAAATTAAAACTGGCAAAATTTAAATAAATATAAACTTTACTTATTAATAGGTGAAACTCGGAGCATTAGATGCAACTGTACATCAAATGATGGCTTCACGCTACCAAGTACAAGGATACCCAACTATTAAACTCTTCCCAAGTGGCAAGAAATCTAGCGACTCTGTGGAAGATTATAATGGAGGCAGAACTTCTAGTGACATTGTTAGCTGGTCCTTAGAAAAGCTTGCTGAAAATGTACCACCACCGGATGTATTGCAGGTACTCAATGTTGTTCGTAATTGATGGACTCATTATAAGTTTTGTGTAACACTGCATGTGTTTGGGGTTTTTATAAATAAAATTAGTTTTGTTATTGTTGGGTTAACAATGGCTGTTATCAAATACATACCACTTCTCATTCAATAGCTTTCTTACACAATCCTTCGTTGATATTTATATAAAGAGCAGAAATGGATGTTAAATTTTAATATTACGGCAAACGAAAACATGATTGATATAATCTACTATATGTCTTACTACTTTTTAAAGTTTTTTACGTTTTTCATATAACAAACGGTAAATGCTATAACTGGAACGCCTGTTTTATTATACTAATAAAATGACATTGAAATTACGAATACATAAAGCACCAATTCCTGAAAGTTACTATACCGTGATAAGTTCTCGTTTATATCAAGTGTATAGAATTATGCCTTATTACTAGATTATTATTTGCTGAGAGTTGTGATCATGTAATTTAAGTTTAATAAAAATGAAATGCCTTTTCACAGATAGTAGATGCAGAAGTTATGAAGGGATGCAGTGAAAAGCCTCTATGTGTTGTGTCTATTCTGCCCCACATTCTCGACTGTAATGCGGCTTGTCGCAACGACTACATCTCCATATTAAAGAGGCTTGGTGACAAGTATAAGAGCAAGATGTGGGGGTGAGTTATACATTTAGTAATTCAGTAAATTTCCACACATTTTTACCTATTCAACCACAAAAACGTTTTCGAAGCCTTTGTAATAAATAAAAATAACACTATTTCACTAGTTGGGTGTGGTCGGAAGCTGGAGCACAATCATCGCTTGAGGAATCTCTAGAGATGGGTGGTTTTGGTTATCCTGCGATGGCTGTTGTCAATGCTAAGAAGCTGAAATTCTCAACTTTGCGAGGTTCCTTCTCAGAAACTGGAATCAACGAATTTTTAAGGTTTGATATTTTGTAACTTTATACTTTTGTAATTTAATACGCTGAGTAATGCTTACATATTTGTATGTTTTATCAGAGATCTTTCATTCGGGCGCGGGCAGACTGCTCCGGTTCGAGGCGCAGAAATGCCCAGTATCTCTAAAATTGATGCTTGGGATGGAAAAGATGGGGAACTTCCACCAGAAGAGGATATTGACCTTTCGGACGTCGACCTCGATAAGGACGAGCTATAGTAGCTCATCTTAACTGATTAATTTTAAGTTCGATGCTATTTGGAAAAGTCGTTAGACAAATGTTTCATTTCTCAATTCTTCGGTAAAGTATATTGGTTATTTCTAAAAACTCACAATATATCTTATATTTACGTAATCTATCTACTAGATATAAAAAGTTTTCTACATATATCTATTTTATATGGCTCTTAAATATTTCATAGCATACATTCAAGTTAGTTAGCAAGAAAACGCTATAGATATAATTTATTAACTGCCAACTTACAAGAATAACTTAATAATTTATGTACATATCTTTAAAGGGGATTCCATAGGCATAAGCACTATAGTATAGTAAATTTTTGTAAAAGTGTTTAAGGGAAGTTATCACTATTTAAAAAAACACCGTGTGATAAACAAGACCAGTGTAATGATTTTTTTGTAAAACAATTTTGTTTGTTCATACTCAATATTTCAAAACATACTGATACTAACTGAAAAAAGTATAGTTCCATTATTCTCCTATATTACGAAATCAGCTTTGATATTAATTTTTATAAGAATGCATTTAAAATAATGATTAATGAATTCATAGTAAAATAAAACAATTTCCATATCTTTTGTTTCATTCAAGCGTTACTCGTAATTACTAATCATTTGTTTAAGCTTTATTTTTTTACTATATACATGGCCTGTATTGTATTGTACTTAGTTCTACCTTTTATACCTCATAGCTGAAATAAAATGTGCCACAAATAATAGACAATTATAGAAGGTTAGCTATATTTTGAGCAACAATTATTTAACCAGATCTGAAAAAACATTTTTGTAATAGTTACAGTTTACACTGTAGCTATTACAAAAATGACAATACACATTTGTTCATATTTAGAGATTTTTAATTAACACAAATTTTATGCTATTTATAAGTGTACTTTTCAAAGATAAAGATACTGCTTTACTTGTAATATTGAACAAAGTCATAATACTTATAAATCACACATACATTTTTTTTATAATATCACTATTATAATTAAGATTTGAACACATTTTCTCACAACCCTAATTTTCTTAATATTTAATTAAGACTTATTATGAGAAAAACAATACGATATAAAAATCATCAATAAAATACTATTAAAGATATGGATAAAGTAGGTATTCCTACAGTAAAGAACAAAGTAATATCCCTGAGTTATTTTTTTTCTGCTCATTGTAAAAAATGTCCTTCAAATACTAATAAGGTACCCTAACTCAATAGCTTGTAAATCTTAACTTTTATAATTTACTTTTAAGATCTAAGCATTCTTTTCTCTCTCTCTCTCTGAAACATAATTTTACTTAGGCTACCGTTGGTGAACTAATCATGTCATACTTTCTGCTTTTCTTGCACAGCACTGGATAACAAATTGCAAAATAGTACATTCCAGCAACAGCTAATATTGCAGATACAATAAGTGTTATTAGACCCCAAGCAGATATACCAAGACCTCTGCGAATACTACTGGGATTGGTTGTTGAAGATGCCATCTCTGAGTTTGCTGTTGCTGCTTTTTTTCCAGTGGCTTTAGTACTAGACCTCTCTCCATAGGCTCTATTACGAAATGCATTATTGCCAGGCAGAGTTACACTCAAAACTAAAAGAAAACAACAAAAATTACAACTTCTCAAGGTAAGCCAAAGTTTTTTGTAATTAGTTATGCATCACCGAACTACAATTTAATAGAACAATGTAGCTTTCTTAATGTTCAAAGGAAATGTTCAAATATACGAAAATCAACACGTGATATGATTTACAATAAACAAAACACAAACTTACTGAGGTAAATAAAACATAGACGTGTAAGAAATGATAACATGTTCTTACACTTAAATTACTTCTTTAGGACAAATAGTTATTTATCTGTAAACGTGAACGATAAACTTTGGAAAAATGTAAACTTTAGAGTCAGCTTCAATTCAATTGATACAATAACCACGAGAATTCAAGGGCTTTTTAAAAGAATGCAAAAGTAAGATTAAAAAAACAGTGTTTCCAAACATTCAACCATAGAGTAGAATAATATTATTCAACCAATCACCGATCGTCCTTAAATTACAATCCACAGGTTATTATTATTTTTTTACCTTAGGACAAACTATTATTATTGCTACCTATGGTTGCGTCTATGACCGGTTTATAAAAACATTATTTTGTGGATTCTGTGGATAAATTGCTGGCGTGTACTTCCGCTTGCATTAAAATAATCGTCAAAATGTCAATTGAGCTACCGGCGAAGAGTAAAATGCGGATTTTCGTTGTATTCCTCCTTTTTATATCAGCAATATGTGGATCTACGAACGTAGATACAATATCGGGTGAAGTAAAAATCAAAAATGTCGACAGAATTATTGATTGTTCATCACAACTTGTGAAAACAACTTCAAAAATAACCTTGGAAAACACAGGCAAAGCACCGCTAAAGAATTTTTTGCTGGCAGTAGAAAGTTCCGTGAAAGACAATTTATCGTTTCTCGGAGTAAAGGATAGCAACAATAAAGATCTACGGTTAAGTGAAACCGTAGTAAAGGGATATGGAGACGTCAGATTTTATAGAGTTGACCTAAAAGATCCTTTAAACGTGGGCTCCACAGCGGTCGTTGTTGCAGAAGCAGTGCTAACTAAAGCCTTACAACCATACCCCACTGCTATTACACAACAAGAGGATCAGTTGGTCAAGTTTATTGGTAACCTTTACTTCTTCTCCCCATACCATGTAACATCTCAGAAAACCAATGTAATATTAAACACTAAGACTATAGAATCATTTACAAAAGTCAAACCATTTAGTCAGCTAGATGGTACTCTTGTATATGGTGCTTATGCTAACATAGGACCATTTACTGAAAAGGAATTAAGTGTTCACTTCAAGAATAACTCTCCATTTTTAACTGTTAGCCGTATAGAGCGCCTTATTGAAGTATCTCATTGGGGAAATATAGCAATAGAAGAGAAGATTGAAATTGAACATACAGGTGCAAAGTTGAAGGGCCCATTCTCCCGTTATGATTATCAACAGGATCACCATAGTGGCCCAGCCAGTGTGCGCTCTTATAAGACTTTCTTACCTGCATCTGCTGCTGATGTTTACTACAGGGATACAAATGGCAACATTTCTACATCCAATATGAAAGTTAAAAAAGATTCAGTGGAATTGGATTTGAGGCCCCGTTACCCACTTTTTGGAGGTTGGAAGACACATTACACTCTAGGATACAATGTACCAAGCTATGAATACCTGTATCACTCTGGAAATGAGTACCTCTTAAAAATGAGAGTGATTGATCATGTAGTTGATGATATGCAGGTTGATGAATTAGTCACAAAAGTTATTTTGCCAGAAGGAGCTCACAGCATTAAGGCTAATTTCCCATATCCATTAACTAGATTGCCCGATACTTTGCATTACACATACTTAGATACTCAAGGTCGCCCTGTGATTACATTTACAAAGAGAAATGTAGTGGAGAACCACATCCAAGATTTTCAACTTCGCTATACATTCCCCACCATCTTTATGCTTCGAGAACCTCTACTAGTAGTTGCTTCCCTATACACTTTATTCTTATGTGTAATTATTTATGTAAGACTAGATTTTTCTATTCACAAAGAAGCTCATGTAAAAGCTAATTAAATTTTTAGACTTCATGTGTTTGAAATTGATTGTGTGTAGATTATTTATTATGAGATGATATCTGGTTTAGTACCAAGCATTTATTGAGTGCAGTGCAGAATAAAATGTCACAATCAATTCGTATACATCAATGTTTTCATTATTTTAATTTTATTACGAGAATAATAAAAGTAAAAATATACTATGTTTGTGTTTTGTTACCCCAGCCTTAGGGTCTCAGCACACATATGGGATCGGAAAGGGATCGTAACCGTAACGCCTTTCGCCTCGCTGTCAACCAGGCGTCAACCTACCGTACGCACGTAACGAAAGCGTATCAGCAGCGCCTGTACGTCAACTCGGCTACGGCTAGGCGACACCGCCCTTACGCCTCGTCGCCCGAAAGATATTGGGTACACAATATGAATAAAGCAAGGAGGACGCAAGCGCGTGGACGGAGAGACGTAAGCGCGGGGACGATGAGCCGTAAGCGCGGGAATTGCAAGTTCGGAGCCTGTTCCGAGGCGAGGCGATTACGTTACGATTCCGATTAGTGTGCGTTGCAGTAGGGAGTTTAATACAAACCATTCTGAACGGCTCGAGGCGTTACGGTTACGATCCCTTTCCGATCCCATATGTGTGCTGAGACCTTTACCCAGCTTACCCTTAGAAATTTACGACAAATAACAATATTGAATATATATTTTTATTGTTATAAACATTATTTACAATTTCTCATAAATTTCATTATTATTTAGAATTACATTCCATATTCAGATGTTTTAAAACGTAAAACAACAGGAGCACTGGTACAAGGTAGAATAGCCAATTCTGTAACCACGGCAGTCACCAGGCTCGCGGGAGTAACGTCATATGTAAGGTTGAGAAGATTCAGATTTGGGTTAGACCGCCAATCTTTGAGGAGGGAATTCTCATCGGACTTGTCAATTAGGGCTTCTGGATCGCCTGCAAAGTAAAATCACGAATGTTCTACAATACACGCTTGAATCTTGAAGTGATGTGCAATTAAAAACTATTGAGAGAATCTTACCAATCTCATTGTAAACAAACGCATCAGTCTGTACTCTATCAGAGAATTTGTGCGTTTCACATGCGACAAGGACGGGAACATTGTGCGCACGCGCAACTAGAGCAGCTTGTAGTGTTCCCACCGCTCCAAGTACCGAGCCATTGACAAGTAAAGCGTTCGCTCCCAGCAGTACTTTATTGATCTGGAACAAGGTTATTAGTTAATCTACATAAGTATAAAAATCTGTTTGAAGCAATACAGTATGTTGTTATGCACTAAACCAATTTGACTACTGCATATCATGGATAGTAAATTATAATTATGTATATTATATTGCCTTTGTCTATCTGTAAAATAAATTTACAATAAATGTATGTAATGAAGAATCATTCTTCATTGATAGATTTCCTAGAATAATTATTGTGGGGCAATAATGAACATTATTTTAATACTAGCTGAGTCAGCGACTTCGTACGAGTAGAATAGTTGTTTTGGGTAACAATTTTTGTTTTTGTAAACCACCTGTTCAACTCTATAAATTAAAGGACCCTCTCGCCCTCGTCGTTCTTGCAAGTTAATCTTACAAGATAGGCATATACTGTGGCGGAATATAATTATTACCTATAGCCTTCCTTAATAAATGTTTCACTGACACAAATAATTTTTCAATTCGACCCAGTAGTTCCTGAGATTAGCGCGTTCAAACATACAAACAAACTCTTTAGCTTTATATATACGTATAGGTATAGATTTTTTACTAATACGTACAGACTTCATAACGAAGCTAAGTGCAGATATGTCAACGTAAGAGCAAGAAACGCCTGCTGCTATAAGACGTCGTAACATCTCCCTTGCAGAATGGCTGACCCGATTGCCAACAACCACTGCACGATACTGGACCCCAGCCTCGTGGCTTTCACGTAAGATGCGTTCAATTAGGGAAGAGCTGTTGAAAAGACTCTCATTGAAACAACACAAAAAATTCTATTAAAAAAAATGTTGTGACTTTAAAGTCTTACCATCCATATGTAAGTATATTATCACCATTTGATATTTTATTCCTAACTGCAATGCTGATAGCTTCTCCTGCCATATCAATCTGTTCGCGGATATACCTGTCCATCTCTTCCTGTAACTTTTTTTTTGCCTAAACAAGACAATTGCAACAATTACAAAATCATAGGTTATCAAACATTTTCATTCTTGGTGATAAAGATATTTTTCAAATTTTTGCCATCAAAAGTGGAAGGCATCGCCAAAAGGTGTTGAACGTTACTCTTGAGTATGTTTTGCAAAGTGGCCGCGAAAGCCTTACACAGCCAAAGTACAATAGACAGCATACTCACATCAAATTCGTCAACATTATTGGGAAGTTGGGTCAATTGGTGCCGGAAGTGTTTTATTGCATTGACCTGAGAAGCGGACGGTGCCCGCATTCGCCACAGAAATGACAAACTAGCTGCCAATTGCGCCTCTAGACCTCGGGCGAATTCAGTCTTAGCAGGCAAACTATAATCACGGACCATCTGTTGAAGATATTGACAATGCAATAATAGTTTTAACAGTCACTATATTAATAAAAATATTCACCTTCTTCAATGCATCCAGGAGTGCAATACATCTTGCATTTGAACCAGTAACTACATGTGAGGCAAGCTGAACGCCTAGCTTGATCACAGCAGGGTGTAAACTAAAAAAGAAATATAAAGAAAATAGTTAAACATAAATAATTAATTTGTTTAAAAATAATTTTTGGAACATAAAACTCAAAATATATTAATTGATCGGACTGCAGATGCTTTGCAGCAGCCATTAAAGCATAAAGGGTGCACTTAAACAAGTTAAACAATTTGCTAAATATATAAATATAAATAATTACTTAACAATTTATTTTGACTTTGTTTTCTTGGCTAAAACAGAAATATGTTATCTGTGGAATGTCAGCATAACTACAATAATTTATGAGGTATAGACAAACAACCTGTAGAGTCCTTGTACTTTTAGTAATTGTCTATACATACTTAGAATTAATAGCAAGATCCCTCAGTGCCTCCTTGTCATGCTCAGTGTGCAGATGTTGGAACCAATTACATTTCTGTGAACTTTGTGACTTTACTTTTTTCTCTATCAATTTTGGTTTTGGTGACTTTTCCTGAAATTATTACTTGACATTAAGGCATTTTTGAAAAGATACTATATACACCAGTATTTCACATGATCTCAGTAATAAAGACTTCGTTGCCATAAACCTTTATTACCTTAGCAACATCTTCTTTTTTTCCAGGCTCCTTAATTTGCTCAGTCTTAACGTTGCTTTTTTGTTGTACTTCCTTAGCCTGTTGTTGTGCTTGTTTGGCAGCCCTCTGAGCTTCTTGCTTTGCTCTTCTTTCTGCTTTTAGTTCAGCTTTACTTTTTCCATCACTTTCCATCTTTTTTTCCCCAACATCAGGTGTTTTTTCATTTATGGTCTGTTTTTTCACTTCATTTTTGACTTGCTGTGGAAGTGGTAAGGAAGATTTTCATAGTTAGTTTGAAATTTAAAAACTATATTTGCAATTTATATTTAACTTTAGATACTACTATAAGATATTTAACTACAACATGTAGTTCTGTAGCATGCTTACCTTTTGGACATCCATTGCTTTTACAATGGCAGTGACGCTTTCTACATTCTTTGCAACATTAACAATATCCTTTAAAGTATTTACAACATCATTTACAGTCAAGTTTTCAGCCACTGTAACATTACTAACATCTTTACTAGAAGCATGTACCACAGCATCACTTAACTTAGATTTAATTTCTTTAATCATGTGTAGAGATTTTTCTTTATTCTCCTTTTCAGCTCGGTCTACCTCATCTACACTAGGGTTTTTGAGATCTTGTCCTTTTTGAGTTGTCAACTTCTGAGTTTCAGATTTGGTTTGAATTTCAGTTGTACCCTTTTTCTTGGCTTGTTTGGCCAATTTCTTAGCCTCACGTGCAGCTTTGACATCGTCTCGAGATTTAAGTGATAAGCCAGCTTCGGATGAGGGCTCCATGTTTGATACTACTATTTTGTTTTTAGTTAGTGGCGAGGAGCAATTTAATGTATCGCACAATTTGGTATTCAGTTCTACAATTTTATTACTGGAATTTATTATGTTTAAAGGTAAAATAGGTGAAACATTTAAGTAGAGCTCTCCGTTTGGTACTATATGATTTTTCTTTCCATTACAGACTTCTGTATCTTTTGACTTGCAATCCTTTGAGCTTTTTAATGTTTTCCGTCTTAGTCTTCTTCGCTGCGACGCTGTCAACTTTGTTTTGCAATGTGCCTGAAAATATTGTAAGGAATTCTTGATATAAAAATGGAATTCCTATAGAATGATGCAACATAACCTAATGTTTATAATAACTACAATAACTAAAGCCATACCTCCATAATAGACTCCAATGAAAGCTAATTAGGAACATAAAGTTAATATGTAGTTAAAATACATAAAAACAATACTTAACAATCTTGTTTATGTTATCTAGGAACTAAAAGTTGTCAAACTTACTCTCAGATAGTTGTTAAACAGTTTATGTTGCCCCTCCTAGGTATAATTTGTTTATCTTCTCTCCAGGTTTTGGTTAGTTGGACAAACTGAGCAAGGGATGTTCTGAGGATATATTCCACAAAGAGTAAAAAGTATATTACACTAAAACACTATTTCCACTATTATTGAATATAATAATAATTGTGTAGTAGTACAATATTTATAATAAACGTTTTAAATTGATTGTATTAGTTATTACGAATAAGAAGAAATTGATGAGAATTGAGAACCTAACCTAAGGAACAAACATTATCTGTGTAATATATCTCATGCCACAGATAATTTCTTACATAGATTATTTCTTTCTACGTGTGTAGAGTGCACAGATGTAACTTTTTCAGAAGTATTATTTAAAGAGATTATTAATTCGAAGTTTTTGTATATATGTGTGAAATTAGAATGTCATTATATATCTTTTCTATATTCGTACCATTTTAATGGAGTTTGGAAGAAGGATAAGTGCATTACTTGACTTACTTAAGTAATTTGTAAGAATTTGTTGACAATGTGACCATTTATAATAGCCAGTTATTATAAAACTTGCATCTGATTTTAACATCAAACTAAATCTATCATTAAGAACAATGTGATAACTATAATTCGTTTGTTCAGTTGAAACAAAATAAAGACTAATCTTGAAGGAATATGCTGTCAAGAGTATTACGCCGTTTGAGACCTTAGCTAGAATAAGAATCAAACAGACTGTATATAAAATAAATCTTCAATTAAAAAAAAAACTTTAATTTTATTTAAATACGTATAATCAACAATATTTCTGATATATACAATAAAATATAAAGAATGTTATTCATGGAATTTTCATCTTAATATTAAGCTAAAAAGTTGGACGACTTTAAAAGCTATGCATAAATGATGGCCCCATAATTTGGTTTAGTGGCGAAAACGTACGCGTTGACCTCGTTCTTTTCGATATTGCAATATTTTACGTAAAATTCATCTTGTAACATATTAATATATTCATCAACTTTGTCATTGGGACACAATGCGACAACACATCCTCCCCACCCAGCTCCCGTCAATCTACAATGTATGTCCATATTACGTGATACATCAACTAAATAATCTAAATTTTTATGTGAACACTCAAACATATCTCTTAAGCTCTCATGGCTTTTCGTCATCAGTTTTCCAAGCGTCGATACAGTGTCGTCATCATGTTTGGCAATGCCGTTAGATCCATTAGAATGTCTTTTTTCGCTTACTGCGGATTGCATGCAAACTTTACGAAAATCTTCAACTCTTGAGGCCTCTCCAAACACATGGAGAGCCCTCTGTTTGAGCTTAAACTCCGTTAAGTGGGTCGTATTTTGCGTTAAATATAAGTTATTTAATTCAATTTCGTTCACATTTAAAATATTGCAAATTTCACTTTTCGAGTATACCTCTTTCGGCAATAGCTCATGTACTAAATTTATCATTTCACTCAGCGTTTTCCCTAAAATTTTCTGAGCTTGACTAAGAGTTATGACTTTGAGATTGGACGCAGAACTCGAAGAATTTATTAAAATCCGAGCAGCTAATCTACATTCTATCACTCTTCTGTTATAATCATTTGTAGCTGCTTTATTCGCTTCAGCTAAACTATGTGCGACTACAAAAGATGCGTTTTTGGGTAAGGCGACCGGTGTTGCGTTGAGAGGGTTCCATGTAATATATTGAGCGCAATTTTCTTCTGCTAAAAAAGCAATAGCTTGATCCATTCCGCCGCCTTGAGTTCCTATGTACCTCTCACTTTTGGCACACAGAGTAGCTATCTCTCTTTTGTTTAAGGATGCATTTTGAGCGTACAAAAACGTCAAACATGCAGCACTTACTAAAGCAGAAGAACTAGATAGGCCGGATGCTGGTGGGATGTTTCCGTCGATAAGTAATTGTAATCCAATTGTGTTTGCACTATTCAAGTACTCCAACCCTCCTTTTATTCCACACAATACGTAATTGTACCAAAACGGTTTTCCATTAAGATCAGGTTTGATATCTATATTTTCATATGATTTAATATCTATATCAAAATCTACGTATTTGTTATTCATATTACGTAAATAAAGGTAGGAGTCAGTTGTAAGGCTGGCTGCTACTATAATATCTTGTTCCAAAGCCATTGGGAGTACGGGATAACCACAGTAATCAATATGTTCACCAATAATATTAACCCGGCCTGGAACTCGAACGAAGAAAGATGGTTCATTTCCGAATGTTTCGCAAAAGTACTTTTTTAGATTATCAATTCTCCTATTATTAAACGGAATGCTTTGTACGGGTACATCTTCATTCTTCTTGCAGCCGTTTGAGGTCATTTTCCAGATGTGTTTATATACGTTTATCAAATTACCTTACCTCACATTACCACTTGGTGTTAGTTACTGAATTGTTTGAAATACAATTTGTTCAGTTGTTATCAGCAAAAAGTTCATAATATTCTTATCACAGCACTTGTTGCGAGTTTGTTATATTTACAAACACTTGTAAAACGCCGTCTGCTGATATTTATATACAGATTATCCGCCGCTTTTCGGCCCGTGTGTAATATGGTTATATTAAATTAAAAAAACTAAACACAAATACAATTAAGTAAGGAATAGCTTTAATTTTAAATTTCGAATGTCACGTTATAACCTAACGTGATGCGTGAACAATAGTGCCACACCGACTGGGGCAAAGAGTACGTAACACTAGACGAGGTAATGAACTTGAAGCGATCGGATTAACTAAAGAAAAAGAATACGCATGCATGTAGATATGTCATGAAAGATATTACTAGTTTAGATTCTTGTCGCAGGTGTGTGGGTCTTAAGTATGTATATAAGCGTATATTAAGAAAGTAATAGACGTAGTAAATTTCAATTCATAAAAATAATAATTATTTTTTTATTATTCTTTAGGTGAATTCGTAATTCGGAAGGCGTAATTCAAGGAAAGATTTTGGCTGTATATTTCTGTATGCTTCTTTGGTTGTTAAGTTTTTTTTTCATAGATTATTTTACAGCGTTTAGACATTTAACATTCTTATTCCTACTGGACAAACGCAGAAAAAAACAAATATACCAGTTGCAAAATACTTCAATTGATAAAATGAAGTAACTTTTTAAGGACTAAACTAATTGACATACAAAACATCGTGTCAAGGATGTAGGTATCTGATAAAGACGTTATTCATGATAAAAGTATAAATACCAATATAAAGATATAAATGCCAATATTATCGATGATAAAAAAAATCATTAATTACATATATTATGTCAGTGTAAATAAATATATAAAATATTTTTTAGGTACACAATACCGTACAAAATTTTATAAACAATACTATTTAATCTCAAAATATGTATATCAATAATTATTGTTATATTAATTTATCTTCTTGAAGGATTATTAACTTATTCTGCCGTATTAATTTAGGTAGGTACTCGTGCTAACAGCTAAATATTGATACACTATGACCAAATTATAAATAATGATGCGCCGAGGTGCTATTTAATTAGTAACAAGTTTAATATCATTTTGAGCGTCCATTAGTTCTATGTAAATATATTTAATTTTTGGTTGGCTTAATATTAGGATAAGTATAATAATAATATAAATTAGAATGGCTTCCTTGTGGTCAAAAATAAGAAAATATAATTTTCTAATCTGGCAGCACCACTATTAAAATTTCTAATTATTTTGACAAATCACACTTGTATCATATGTTTGACTATTGACTTAATGTCTTCAGTCATTCATCATTGTCATTTGTTATGGAATTGATAAACAAAATATTTATTTTGTTTACAAGTATACAAATTTTATTACCAAAATATACTTTTATTCTATATTAATTTATTTAAAAGCTGTGGTTGAATTACATTAGTGCTCAAACAAACACGTATTAATGACTTTAAAATTGCATAAAAAATATGTGAACAAACAAACAGAAATAAGCGACACAATTCACTAAAACAACGTCTAAAGCCTAATATAATAAGAAAGGTTCTATGGCGTTATAGCTGTTTAAAATCTAACAAATGATGATACTAATATTGTTACGCCTTTAGTCGAAAATTTTCTTAGTTACACAGTGTTAGTGTTCAACCTAAATTAAAATGTCGCAACAATTAGATTTTAAAAAAATATGTCGGGCCTGCCTAACAGATGTTGGGCCCCTAAAAGATTTATTCACCGTATGTTCATCTGGCATATTCAAATATTGTACATCTGTTGAGGTGAGGGTAGAAAACAATATCACAAAATTGTCATCGAAAATTTATCACGTTTTTTTAATTAGTGTTTTATGAAGATTTCAGATACTGATGCCATGCCGAAGTTAATTTGTCAATCATGTTTGGAACTGTTAAATAAGTTTTACTACTTTAAGCAAGTTGTAGTGAGATCAAATGTTATATTGAAACAACAATACAAGATGCAGGTATTAGCAATTTTTGATGCATGTATTACAGAAAAAAAAGTTCAAATATAAAATTCATTCCTTTATTTGAATAAGTATGCATGACCTTTTGGGTCTCTTTCACTAATTGATTTTATAAAAGTAGTTAATTATATTTCTGTGCTCACCTGACTGCTTTATTCATCCTGGGACCTCTCATGTATTATGCTAAGCAATGAACCATTAGACATTGACAGTGGCGATAGAAACATTTAAATAAAACACTTACATGATTTAAAACGTGATATATTAGTTAAACTACACTACATTTCAGATGCAAAGCATCAAAGTCAAATAAGTTTAACTAATATATCGCGTTTTAAACCGTTAAAGTGTTATATTTAAAAGTACTATTCTTGTTTGTTATTATCCAGGTACAAGCTGAGTCAATTTTACCAGAGAGTAATGATAATACTTTACTTGATATAACAGAAGAGAATGATGATATGACACTACAAGATGAAGCAAATGGCATTACTCAGAACAATGTAGAAAAACCATTTGATACTGCTAGTCTCATTAGGTAATATGTGTTTTATTTATAAAATACACTATGCAATTTACACACCTCAAATTGTCTTAACATTCTTAACACAACTGATTCATGAGATGGTCTGATCTATTAATTTACCTACATAGCTACTAGCTTTATATTAACAGTCAGATACTCGCTCGACGACGTAGAAGAGGACCTGGTAGACCACCAAAAGACCCAGGGTCACAACGCCGTTCAGAACGTATGAAATGTGTTAAATGTGGCAAGAGCTTTCAAAAGTATGAGAATTTCGAAGCTCACATGAGGGGACACTTTGGGAAGCAGGTCTGTATTTCATACATACATTCATAATTTATTTAGAATTTATATGAGATTCTTTCAAAAAAAAAAATATATATATATGACAACACTAGCTGACCCGGCAATAATTGTTTTACATAAAGAATATTTTTAAATAAGGCAACTAGCTAATTGTGAGTGTGTGAGGATAAAGTATTTGAGTAAAAAATATCTAAAGTCCTAGGTTCAGGCCTAACAAATGTTTATGCGAAATTTCATTAGAATCAGTTCATCCAAGAGTTGTTATAGGGGCAGGATAATCTAGTTAATATGTCTGCGCATGAATTATATATATATGATGGCATATGGATATTTTGTGGATTTTTATAATTACAGAGAAGGTCTTTAAAGAAACCTCGGTATCCTATTGTAATTGAGTTTCACGGCATATTCTTAACTAGCTATGTCAGCGACTTTGTCCACATAGAATATTAATTTTGTGCATACAAATTTGTTATTGCAAATCTCTTCTTCATCTCTACAAATTTTACCTATTACCCGCGACGTTGGCTTCGTCCCGTCGTTATTGCAAGCTAATCTTAAGAGACAGATATATAGTGTCGCAGACATTCTTTTAGATCAATTGAAGAGGAGTCTTTGCAGATTAATTAATAATCATAATAATATTTAATAATCAAAATAATATCTAAAACAATCCTTTCAGCCAGACATAAAATGCAAGCATTGTGATAAGACGTTCCTCTCCCTCCGAAGCTTAAACAGTCACATACGTATCCATAGTGCAGTGCGCAAATACCAATGCCTCTCGTGCGGAAAGAGCTTTGCTTACCTCAACGTTTTGAAGAACCATGAGCTGATACACGCAGGCATCAAGAAACATGAGTGTCATATGTGTGATGCGAAGTTTGTGCAGGCATACAACTTGAAGGTAAATGGAATATCTATAAGAGTTTGTTTGTTTGTATGTTTGAACGCGCTAATCCTAGGAAGTACTGGTTCGCGTTGAAAAAATATGTTAGTGTTAATGAGAGCATTTGATACAAGCATCTCTCGCGCAGTGTAATTTCAACCTTAACACTCACCTACTCAAGTTCAATTTCCTAAGCTTCGAACCACAATACTGAATTGTAGATAATTTCACTGAGTTCAATGTTCAAAATTGTATTATTTTTCACATGATGGCAGTATATAAATAAAGTTTGTGTAATGAGTACTAACAATTAACTAATATTTTCTAGATTCACATTGAGACACGTCATCATGATGAGAAAAAGTATAGCTGCTCGCAGTGTGGCAAGCAGTTTTCTCAAGCTGGTAACCTCAAAATACACCTCGTTCGACATTCAGGCATTAAGAACTACCCCTGCACGGCATGCGATATGCGTTTCTGTATTAAGGTAGGTTTTAAGGGATTTACAGGCTCATTGGTCCAATAATTAAAAAGTAAGAACTTAAAGTCCACAATCAAAATCAATTCATAATTTTCCACGAACATGTTAATTATATACATGATAGACTTAGACTTGTATATGAGGCTGCTAGAGGCAGAGTGGCCCAACAACAAAAACATAATTCTCAAAAAGGGAAAAGATAAAAATTCACAATTAACTTAGGCGAAAAAGGAATTTTTAATATTATTTGTGTAACAATTATCTACAATTTTCGGTTATTGTGCTCTCGTAATACTACAAGAGCACAGAAGTTTTTTTTTTCAAATTTCATTTTAACTCCTACTTTACATTGATCAAGCGCGACCAAATAAAATTGCAGTTAGGCTACTCTGGCTATAGCGGCCTCATATCTACATCGGTTTGGGTGGATCTGTGGATTTTCGAATTTTCTATTGCAAGATAAGTCCACAGTGCATCGTTTCGTGTTATATGACTAGTGTTTGACCATATATCAAGTGGACCCCATGCTTGCTCTCTGCATCATTGCTCTTAAAAATATAAAATGTACTCAATTTGTTTAAAATTTTTAGGCAGATTTAGTGAAACATATGCGGTCTCATTCTGCGGAGAAGCCATTTTCATGTCACATGTGCAATAAAAATTTCAAGAGTAAAAGTTTCTTGTCTATTCACATGAGGACGCACACAGGTAATGTGTAGTGAAAAAAGTAGTGTGCAACGAGGCATTTAACTACTTAAGCTGTATTATCAATTTTTATATTTAATTAAAAAACTTTCAACGCTTTAAAACGTGAAGTTAATTTATTTTAACTACGGCCGTCGTTTCGAATGCTTTCCAGCAGCAATAGTCACGACTTGACGGAGGGGATCCCTAATCTGAATGTCAATTTTGCTATGCTAACGCCATCTATTTTGTCGTAGTAGATATTTTGAGAAACTGGCTGGCTTCTTTGGAAACTGATTCACGGTGTTTTCTCGTTTAAATTACGTTTTAAACCGTTTAGTGTTTTATTTAAATATACCTTTTCATGTAACAGCCACTTAGTAGTCAAATAAAAATGTGTACTTCTCAAGTTAACTGCATACTTAATTTTCTGTGAGCTATTAAATGTAAGTCTTAACAATTGCAGGTGAGCGACCATACGCTTGTGATTTGTGTCCGAAGAAGTTTATGGCTAGAAAGGATTTACGAAATCATCGCATGATACACACCGGGGAGAAACCTCACAAGTGCCAACTCTGCAACCAAGCGTTTATACAAAAGTGTGCCCTTAACAGACACATGAAGGGTCACGGGAAACCAGACATGAATGTCTCTCGAGCTCAAATTTCACAGATCGACAACACACCACCTTTGCAGGTTGCATATTCTCATCATCAATGGCATCCTGATGTATGATATTTGTAGAACACTATTATAAAAAAAACCTCTGTACATATAATTTTTTGTCATTGATTTATTGTAAATTTAAAAACTTTCTCCACGCCTTCTCATCAAATTATTTTTATAATAATTTTCTTTACTGGAAATCATGACGACCGTCTCTGTAGCTTAAATGGGTAAACGTGTTGGCTAGCATTTGGTCAATCGCGAGAAGTCCTCGGGTCGAATCCCAGGGAAACAATAGAATGTTTAGATCAGGCAGGCTACAGAAATCTGGTCAAATACTTGCCTGTGTAAGGTTCTTACAGGGCACATAAAGATTACATTGTATGTAATGTCTCCATGCCCCTGATTTGGAAACGGATTTTACTTTTCATGCATGCTGCAGTATGCTGATATTTTGTTTTCCAAAATATTAAGCTTGTACATCTAAATATAAGATTACATCTTACTAATGTATTTTTATTACTCTCTTGTACTTTTACATTTTCACGTAACACGTAACCTATTACTGTATAAACTCCGAATAAATAGATTTCCCTCAAGTCATTTTTCAACACCTAGTTTACATTGATCAAGTGCAAACTGGTTAGGTTATCAAGTGGCGTTTTAATATGAATTTTCATATGTCTTTTTAAAGTACCCCTCTGTGTAAAACTCTTGTCACACACTGTACACTTGTGTTTCCTTTCACCAGTGTGAATTTTATGATGATCATTCAAACGTCGTTTTGATACAAATGTTTTTGGACAATAAGAACAACTAAATGGTCGTTCCCCTGAATGCAGTCTTTTATGCTCCACGCAATAGCCTCGAGTGGAAAACATTTTATTGCAAAATTCGCACTTAAAAGGCTTTGTCCCCTCGTGAATCGGAAGGTGTTTGATTAAGCCGTTCTTGTATCTAAATGAAAAGTTACAATGGTGGCAAATAAATTGTTTGCCTGTATGGGTCCTGTTATAATGGGCTGATAATGTGTCTTTAGATACGAAAAACTTCCCACACTTTTGACAGCCATAACTTCTTTCTTTGCTTACATTGTGGCGCGAAATGTGAATCTGAAATGAATGATAAATAAAATCCCATTACATGTAGGATAATCAGGTAGGTAACAAGGTATCTCCATCATTCATGGATTTTATTAAGCGGAGAAGGCCTAGATTCTGTATGACCAACTAATTTATTTCAGAATTAGAGACACTAAGGAAAAATTGCCCCTAATTAAAATAATTTCCAGAATAACTATCAAAGTTTAATTACCTGTAGAGAAGCCTTAGTATGAAATGTTTTCCCACATATATCACAAATGTATAACTTTCTTTGACCATGATATAGCCTAATATGTTGCCTCATTGATTCCTTTGTCTTGTACACTTTGCCGCATAAGCTACATTGTGTGTCAACAAAGCTTTTTGGTATGTGAATAGTCTCCTGGTGTCTCTTAAATCCATAATTAGTCTTGAATAGTTTATTACATGGTATACATGAGATTTTTAACTGTAAAATAGACCATTTTATATTTGACTATTATTTTTTTGACTTTAAGCACTTTTTTTTAATAATTTAAAATACAATACAAACACTATCTTGATGTCTTTGGCTGTGGTTTTTGAAACGTTTTCTTGATGTAAAATTCTTGTCACATACGCTACAATGTAAATATTGATTATTTTCATCTTTTGTATCACAACTGTGGCTATCATCTGTAAAAAAATATGCCTATCAAAAATGTCACATAGTAAGTTAAAATTTTATTAATTTAACTTACTTAAATACACATCTAGGCCCTCATATTTATATATGCCTGCCTCAATATCTTCTTTAAATTGAGTATTTTGTAAAGATTCATGAATATCCAAACTGTTGTTCAGTTCTCCATGCAAGTCCTCTTCTATCTTAATGTCATGTGAATGCAAAAGGGCCTCTTGAGACTCTAAACATTTTTGTTTGAATTTTGCAAATTTCATTAATAAGTCATAACATATTCTACACAACGCTTTCGGCAATGCTTCGTTTTCTAGAACCTTAAAAAAGTGGAATACAATATTCTCCATATGTAGTTTAGGATACCTATAGACTTAAAATGAACTTATTATTGTCTTAATTAATTACCTGAATTGATGTACACAACCAAAACGTGTGGGGAGAAACATTCTTAAATAACTCGAATTCGTTGGGCAGAGCGATAACGGATAAACAGGCACGACATAAGTGTTTATAACTGGACATAATAATTAGTGTTTTAATTTCTATGTAACATTTTTCCACAACATACACAATCTTACATTTAACTTGATTCAAAATAGTAGACGATAATGTTATGATAGAACCCACTGTTTGTATTAAACTTTAGGGACTAATTTACGTACTGAACAATTAATTCACGAATATTTTTTTTATTAAACTAAGTTTACAGCAATAAGTATATAAATAATGTTTTCGAGATTGCCCAAAAATGGAAAAATAAATAAAAATCACAAAGCTGAGCCGACGAAACTTGGCAAGTCTGAACTTAGCGCGAAATGCTGCGCAGATATGTTAACGGTGATAAGAGCTCTAGGCTACAGATCCACTCAATGTCAAGACAATCAACCGTTTATTCTATTTTTAACAGTACAGGATATTGTAGTAAATAGATTTATGACCACAGTGAATGGTATTGTTTATAAACGATACCATAATTAAAGAAAAATAAATTCATTACACTCTTGTTGAGTTATTATTTATATATATATCGTCGGCCGTATTATAACTCGCACCACTAGATGACTCTGAATCAAAATTATTTAACTGTTAACTTTGTTTTTTGGGTTTTTTTTGCACAAAAAACAGGCTTAGCCTCTTTTATATTTAAGTCTATCAACATTTTGTTTACTACATAAACCATTTCGCTTCCTTCATAACATGTATTTACCTGATTGAAAAAGTTAAAAACAACACGAAGTTATCAAATTTTTGTAAGTTTGTTTTAAGTACTTATAATTTCTATGTACAATGTTAATATGTAGATCATGTTAACAGTGCGCATAGCTATTGTTACTTACCTTGGGACATTGGAAGAAAAAAAATAGATGTAAGTTAACAAATCGGTCTTAATAAAATGATAACACAGGCTGACCCAGTCTATACAAATAATAGAAAAGCTAATTAGGTTTCTGAGCGGTGGCGCCATCACGAATGGATGACATCACTGTCTGATACGATATCGTGTAAAATTCACAAAACATACAGTTAAAAGGATGCACGCTAGGTATAATTCATATTAATAAAACAGATGTAACAAAATATAAACTTTATTTATAAAATGTTTTTAAATCTCACCATTTGCAAAATCTCAATCCTTACAATAATAAATGGAATGTCCTACCATCACCTTGCGCTTAAATAGAATATACAGCATATATGGTGCCATAATGATAAGATTAAATAATTTAACAGTAATAACAATTAGCACCAAAATAATCATAGAGAAGTGTATCTTTATATAACACAATTATCAAGATTGTATTAAAACTATTAAAAAACATATTTCAACATAGATTTACCTAATTGTAGCTATTGTAAAACTTGTCTTGTACAATTACAAAACAAACTGTTTTTATAACAGCAGCTGTATTATTACAATAACTTCAATATTGTCATTTTAAAGCTATCCTGTGCCACATATGTAATTGCGATTAAGAATTCAAAGTTTCCCTTGCATAAAAGGTTTTAGATATTTGTGAAAGCTTTCGTTGACTGGTTTGGCGTTAAGGGGGCTTTTCATAGCTTCTTCCATGAGGCGTTCGTATGCGCGGCCATCGTATGATCCTAGAGTGGAGCTTAATATCTATAAAGATACATGAAAATAAATAGTAATTTTTAATATAAACTGAAATAAAAATTTTGGACTCTTTCCTTACGCTTGATAAAGAAACGTAAGACTTGCGAACGTTGATATACCATTGTTATAGTGTCAATTGTCAGATTTTTTAACAGATGAACAACTTTGAATTTAACAGTACAATTTTTTGTATAACCTAAGTACGATACACAACAAGTCGTAATGTTAATTTAAAAATTAGTCCACTAATTATTGAGGTAGTATTTCTTTAAAGCTTCAACCATATTTACCTCATCCCTGATGTCAAATGCGTCAACAAGACCCACAGCATTGATTCGTAGCTTGGTAAGTGTGTTCTCATACCAGTTCTGCAGTTGTTCGATATCGCGTTCGGATATCGATGTAAACTGCAAAAAGTTTACATTTACCTATCTATATCTATATAATCTATTTAGTTTAAGCTTAATTCTTAGATCTCATGCTAATTTTTCTCCATAAAAATTTGACTAAACAATAAGTTTAAATGAAACACTTTTAACCGTTTAAAACGCGTAATATATTAGGTAACAATTTTAAATCTTTTACATAACGGCCTTACTGCTACTTTAGGTTATTTCGCTTTCACCTGACAAGAAAAGTCAAATGTAGCTTCGGCCGTCGTAAAAAAGGCACCAATATTTTATAATTTTTTCTAATTTATAAAAACCAATATATTTCGCGTTCAACCGCTAAGTGTTTTATTTAAATGTCGATATTATTATCTGGTAGTTGTTATCCAGCACCGTCTCTTTGTGATATAAATTCAGTCACCAGACAATTGTAGCCTAGAATAGGTAATACGCGAACCGAACAGAGGTGACGAAGCAGAACTCTTACCCTAAGTAAGTCTCCCATACGGTTCAGCGCCCAGTAGACCACATACAAATCAACTAGCTGCAACATAACAGTCTTTAATTCAGCGGAAACGCCCTTCACTAATTTCTCGGTTTCATTAAAGTATGTTCCTAAGATGATAGCGCGACAGTGGGCCTGTAATTAAAAAAAAATATATCTTGATGTGTTGCAGATTTAAATACTGTCTATAGTTTACGCGAGTAGTACACATTTAAAAAAAACACGGTTTAAAACGCGATATATTAGTTAAACTTATTTGAAAATGATTTTTTAACTTCGGCCCGACGTTTCGAATGCTTTGCAGCAGCCGTGGTCTCCCCGAGTCTCCCCGTGACCACGGCTGCTGCAAAGCATCCGAAACGTCGGGCCGAAGTTAAAAATCATTTTTAAATAAGTTTAACTAATATATCGCGTTTTAAACCGTGTTTTATTTAAATGTGTACTACTCGCGTAAACTATAGACACCATTTCGTCTTTTATAATACCTCGTGCTTGTCTGTCTTCCTCTCTCAAAAAAAGGTACACTTTTTCGAACAAATAGTCTGCCTATCTAAAATGTTTTTTTTTGATTTTAAAAATGTTGTATTCCAGCAAACAAACAAGCTCTTGTACTATAATTAGTAATTAAAAGTATAATTTATGATAACAAAATTAAAGAACTAATTTCACATTCTATTTATTCTATTCAACAATTACCTCAGAGGCGGATGTTAGTTGCACAGAGGTCATATTCCACGCGTCCTCGTATGACATGCCTTCCTTCTGTCTCTTTTCAATCTGTGTCACGCACAATCCTATCTTTCTGTAAATAAATAAAAATCACTTACTGTCCATATCTGATCAAACAGATTGTAGACTAACAGGCGTTCTTTGGTGGCATTTTCAATAAAATTGGTGACGTCATAAGCCGATATAGCACTTATGTTTTTATGTCACGTTATCGGTTTCACAAATTAAATTTTTTAAAACAAGAATACTTTGCAGCTACATGTAATTTGTAAAAAGAATAGTTTACGTTTTTATTACTTTACTTAAATTTATTACAAAACTGTTACATTGCTGTTTTAACAAAGATTTATTTTTAGTATGTTTTTCATTGTGTGTCTGCGACCTGAAAACCATTTAACTGCTTTATATTAGTAATTTACCCCGCGGCAACATTATGGAATCCTTCAACAATGCCTTCAATAGTATTGTCCCATGGTGGGGACCGACGACCCTTGCTCACACGTCCTATGTACGCCACAGTTGGCGTTAAACTGTTTCCAGCAGATGCCTGTTGCCATGCTTTCACTAGGTATCTGAAATTGAGAAACTCAAGGAATATGACACGTAAAGAAATAAAAATCAATTTGTATTCTTTAATATCAAAAGATTTATTTTAATTTTAACTTAGGTATATTGTATCAACATGAACAAAGTGATTTAAAATGAATAAAGATGAATATGAAATTTTATGCCAAGGTGAGGTTAATACTATTCATATTATTTGCAATTATTAATTAAGTATACTTTCTGTGTCGCCTAATCTACTATAATATATATAGAAATAGTTTGCCTGTTAATTTCAGAATAAATATATCACTCTGCAATTTCTAACCTGGCAGTTTGCAATAACAACACAGTGTTTTCCCCTTCATAAGTGCAGGCAGCGGTCACCAAACCGTAAGTTAGGGGCAAATTCGAAGACAGCATGTAACCATGACCTCCGCACGCCAACCGGCATCGCTCCACGTTTTCAGCGGCGTCAGCAGTCACAACTGCTTTCAGGCAACACGATAGAGCGTGGAGCTAAAGAAAATGACAAAATTAGTATTCATGAATTGTGTAAGGTTTTCACGGCCGTTCAGCATATTATTGTTTTGCGGGCTGTTAGCATAAATGCGAGATACATCTCAGCCATGTAATATCTACACTGTCATCTAGCACCCTGGCACTGTCGTCCTATTTTGGCTTTGGATTTCACTGCCTTTTTGCCAACCAAAGTTATTTTACTGTTGTTGGTTCACACAAGTATATCTTTGAGTTATCATATGTCTTTGTGAACAGGTAAAATGAGTCATTAATTTTTAGGCAAGATGGGCAAGATTATAAGCAGACCTCGGGCAGTCGTTCCAAGTCCCCACTCTCCATTTCAGCGGTGACGTTGTTATACATATTCCAGATCCAATCGGCGTTCAGTTTGAAGGCGTGCACAGACGCGATGCCGACAAACAGCTTATGTTGCTGCGTTACATAGTCTAGAATCTGTGGCTCCGGCTCGCTGGAACGAAATACATATTCAAATATATACCAATTTTTGCGACATATCCTAAACTATTATATAAAGGGTTTGTTTGTTTGAACGCAGTAATCTCGGGAACTACTGGTACGAATTAAAAAAAAATGTGTTGTATTATTGTGTTGATTAGAGCATTTATCGAGGACGTTATAGCTAAAATTGAAAAAGCGGAAAATGGGAAAAACGAAAAAATTATTTTTGTGGGTTTGGATGGTGCTCCGAAAGGTGACAGACATGAAAAAAAAGTATAAAAGAATTATTAATCTGTAAATATCTAATACCGCGCAGTGTCTTCTTTTAAGATCACTGTGGATAATACCAAAAGTTATAAAAATTTAAAGGAGGTTTCCAAAAATAAATTTTGATGGAAAATAACTATTCTAGAATGAAGTCAATGACAAGTGTTGTCAATAAATCTTATTAACTTAGTGATCATTAAGGGCCAGATCTTCATTGAAAAAATAATGGGACACAGAGTCAATTACTCGCTTCTACTAATACTTCCATAGACTATCATAAAATTTAAAACTAGTAATAGGAATTAAAAAAAAACTTGTCAGTAGGCGGTCTCTGTGTACTTATAGAAATGTACGTACTAAATACTGTCTATAGTTAACGCGAGTAGTACACATTTAAAGAAAACACTTAAAAAAAAAAAAAAAAATCATTTGCCCGAAGTTAAAAATCATTTTCAAATAAGTTTAACTAATATATCGCGTTTTAAACCGTTAAAGTGTTTTATTTAAGTGTATGTACCTACTCTATGACTTACTTGGGTTTCGGTTGAGATTGCCGCCTTATAGCGGAGTATCTGGTTGCTATGGTAACAGCCTTTGCTATGTAATTGCACATATCGTTACACAACATAACGCGCACAAACATCATTGTGCCATATGTTAGCTTAGAGCTGGGTGCATTCACGTATGTACCGTCCTAAAACAGAAATTAAAATTATATACTTTAATAGTAAACTCTGCTTAATATTGATAAGTTTACATGACTACTAAATGAGGCTGTTAGAGGCAGAGTGGCCTAATAACAAGAAAAAACATGATTTTCAATAAGGATAATAAAAACGCGCAATTCGCTTAGGCGAAAATTAATTTGTAGTATTATTTGTGTAAGTACTATGTTAATAATTCTCGTCGTTCGTTGTCACTGTGCTCTTGTAGGTTAATATTTTTAGACTATAAAATATAAATAACTCAAGTCATAAAATTGCAGTTAGGCTACTCTGCCTCTAGCGGCCTCATATAATGACAAAAAAGTAGGATGCGCTGTCGGCTTATTAGATAATATTCATAAAATGATAGAACAAATAGAACTATAACTATAATAATAGAAATTCACGATTTTATGTTAATGGTGTGTTTGTTTACCAAAAATGCCAACTTAGAAAATATACCTATTTGTATAAGGTATATCTTATATGTATAATAAATTGTACGAATTGATCACCCAAGCAATCTTCATCACTTTACAAAGTTAACATATATTTATCGTTTTCCTTCCATCGTTTAAATGTTCCAACGGTCGTTAACTTGTTTATTTATTATAACTCGCCATAGGATCAATTACGCAACCAACGTTATGTGTATGTAACACAACGACAAAAGACACTGTTATATGTCTGTTTGTATCAGCAAAATTTTGTACTTTGGATATTACGTTCTAAGTGTTAAACAGCATAATTCTATTTGTAGTAATGGCATGTTACAATGTAGTTCTAAACAAAGTGTGTGGTTTAAACCGCATCTTATAAATTGTTATCTGTACATACATCATATCGACAGACTATTATATATTGTGGCTAGGATGGTTCACAGCATATTTGCAAAATTTATTTTAAATCGGCCTAGTAATTTAGGCGCAGACATTTTCAAATTAACACTTAATTAATTAATTATTTTCATAGGACCATGCTTTCCACTCTTTTTATGAAAGTCATTACTGTCATAAAAAGAGGGAAAGCTCAGCGAGATTTTTGGCCTTATCACAAGTTTTATTCGTTTACTGAATTAAAATATCCATAACACGGTGATGTTTTTACCTCTAAGACCTTCGAGTTCTTCATCAACATGTGATCTCTCGGTATCCTGACGTTCTCTAGACCCAAGAACCCGTTGTTGGTGCCGTTCATGCCAAGCTTGGCGCCGATTTCGCCGACCTTAATGCCAGACAAGGGCATATGCGTTTCCTCGTCCCTCAGCTGCACTATGAACGGGTGGATGCCGTAACACTTGCCCTGAGTGTACAGCTGGGCCATGACAATGCAGTAATTAGCCGTGTGCGCCACTGTGAATAATTTTGAATTATGTTGTAGAAGTTGTTAGTGCAAATTTGGGTTCCTTAAATTGCCACTAAGAATGCGAAAATAAATTTAAAAAATTTACGACTCGGGCAGGACTTGAACCGGCATCATCAACGTTCTGTGCTGTCGCTCTAACCAATTGAGCTACCGAGTCCTACAAGTTATAGTAATATTTTTCAATTTATTTTCGCTTCTTAATCTATATAGTGCCATCATGTGCAATAAACATGCGAAAAATATGAAAGTTTTAAAACGTTAACACTGTCTGTCTAACACCAGGTGGTAATACAGCATGACTTTTTGCCATTCGTATTTAATGGTATAGCGAGTCGGTAAAATATTTATTAATAAACTACGGCCAAAACAATTTGGACGTCGTAATTAAAAATGAGTTAACACATAAGTTTCGCTTCTTATACCGTTAAAAGTGTTAATATAAACTGTTATACAAAACTTTCACCTTTATATAACTTTGTAAAGATACTTTACCTACCTAGTTAGGCGATTAATAAATATTTTTACCCATAATAATTATAAATCACAGTAATGTAAGTTGAGTTTGAGACAATTGGGTCGAATAGTTGTTAATTATGTGAACCGCTTTAAGTCTCTTTGGGGCTTCCCAAAGGTAACGCACACCGATTTTCTTGAAGTTGTCCCCTTTTTGAAACCCCCTCCTAGTTACTACTGTTTTAGTATTGTCCTAAAATAAAGGAAAATAGTTTTTAATTTAATATAAAAACCGGGGGGGGTTTTTTTCCTCCCCTTTTGGGGGGGGGGAAAAAAACCTTATTATAAAATTTGGTGTGACGGAAAATTGGGTTCCCCCCCGCCCCCTTTCACCCCACTTCACCCTTTTTTGTCCCCCCCCTTCCCCCTTTACGTGTGACGTACTTTTTGGATGACCCCTTATAGAAAATAAGAATACTATCATAATTACGTCAAGAAAACATTGTGAAACAATGTTCGATAAGTAATTCCAGAGCAATCAACAATCAATAACCACAGATTTGCCTAAGATATGTTTTTGATTAACTTAAATGCTAGGAAATTGTTTCAGATAATAACTCTATTATGTAAATGCATTTCTATTGTTTATAGGATTATTTAATTTAAACACGTCTACACGGACGCAAACGAAGGTTTTTAGTAGAAAGACGTATTCAAGGATCACCATAATAAAACATAATTAAGTACAATAACATTCCGATAAATTTTAATTTATCTATCATTGCGGAGTTTTGTTTTATAATCTTCGATAACAGCATACTGGGGAAATGATTAATTTTATGTAAAAATTAAATTTTGAATTATTTCGGTAACGACTTTTGTCTTTGCGATAAACGTTACAGCGATAAAACAGTTTCATTTTTGCGTGAAAAAGACAAAAGAACAATTGTGTAATTGAAGTAATCTGTAATATATGCGCAAGATCAGAGTCCCTGTATTTTTCGAGTAGACTTAACTAGTCTACCTTGAACTTCGCGTTGTTACAGTGCAACGATTTGAAGTATTTTTATGTTTTATTCAATTCGTTATTTCAACGCGTAATGCTTCGATTCTAATAAGTCTTTTTAAATAAAAAACTTCCTTACTACAATATTTTGTTATTTTTCCGCCATACAATAAATAAGTTCTATATAATAAATAAAACTTGAGTTCATTCGACATTTACCAATTAAGATAAATTTAATATTTTGATGGTGCATATAAAACTGATTTTTAATAATAAATGTCAACGAGGGCTTGTGATATCATGTCCAGCTGCTACTAAAATAAACTAAGTGTTTATTTGGTTTACAGATCATATAAATTATTAAATTTAGGATATTCTATAGTTGGCCGCCTCTGTAGCTAAGTGGTTAAACGTGTTGCCTTGCATTGCGTTAAGCGCGAGACTGGGTTCGAATCCCGTAAATAAAGTAAATAGTTTCGATCGGGTAGGGCATAGAAGTCAATCTGACTTCTGTGCCCTGCTCTGACTTACTTGCCTGTAAATAAAATCGATCAGTGAAACGGACACAGAAATGTGTTCGCCCTATGCCCCGCGAGGGGAAACGGGATTTCAAATTATAGTTGGACTATCACGCGTATTTCGTACAAGTCAAGTTCATACAGTAGTATGGTAAAGAACGCACTATTACCAAACAACGATGAAGAAAAAAAGTTTTCTCAAACGTCCTTGGGAATATGATCATAATTTTGACAACCTTCTTCCGTGTTTTGCGGCCAAATAAATTACTATGTTAAAATCATATTTGGCGTATAATTAAAAAATGGAACGATCTTCTACTTCTCAACGTGGCAACTAAAGAGGTAACTCATCAAAGGTTTAATTTAAATTTCAAACTGGTTTGCACGTATAAAGCTCTATAGTGAAAAAAAAAACTTTGCCGCATAATAAAATATTGGTTCGTATCGTATCGTATTCGTATCGTTATTAGTTGTTCGTGAACTTCGACCATCAATGCTTCTCTTGCTATACTATTATTAATGGGATCCCCTTAAATATTCTATTTCTATTTTAATATGCCATTCAGCACATTGAGCATGAAATTTCACCTGGCGATAGACGAAGTCTAAGTTCAAATAGGGCCTGGTTTTACCGTGTGCGTCCGGGACATTGTATAGACTAGAGTTATATACTTCTTATTTTTACTTACGTCCACCGGGCCACCACTTGTAGGCTGTTAGAGTTGGACTGTTCAAAACGAACTCTTTCGTTTCAGGGTCGTAAGTGGCTGTCGTCTCTAATCCACGGATAAATGTGCCGTGGCCCAACTCAGTCTACAAGTAAAAAAAAATACCTTCAATTCTCCCTATATGGCTGCCTCAAAACATGCAAAACGTCCAAACGTAATTAAAATAAAATAAATATAATAAAATATTAAAGTTAACTATCCTATTTCACGTTTTAAACCTTTAAAATTTTTTTTACTGAATTGTGAACTAGTCGCGTAAACTACAGATATTATTATATATTAACTTTCTATTTTCCTTACTCGGGGCATAGTTCGAACCGTTTAAGAGATCCTATTTAGGATTTAAGCATTCTCAGTCATACACTACTTATACAATGCTTTTCTGTTTTCTCCGGGATTCGAACCCAGACAAGAGGGCCTGCTTGAAGCGGAGACTTGAAGAATTAAGTGTACTGTCGTCTTTAATGTCAAAATCAGGTCTTGAGGTCAAAGTCTAGTATGAGTAGTCATTTAAAATAATTGGAATTACATAATTTTACAAAGTAGTAATTTGTTGCATAGGGAACGTGCTAAAACTCACGTTATCGGTAGCTGCATAATTTTATATTTTTAAACGGAACTATGAACCTAGTGATCAAGGATATGCAAGACTATCTTCTCAAACACGTTTAATACTAGTATATTATACAATACAATATATATATATATATATATTTATATAATACTACAATATATATACGTGCAAACATTTAAAGTTTTCAACAACATTTAAAAACATTGGACGAGTTGACATCAGTAACATAGTCCACTTCAATTCTTAGAAAAAAATCCCAAATAGGATCTTTATCAGACTTATTAGCACCACGCGAAAAATAAACCTTATTTACGCGAGAGCGACCGGGGTCAAAGTAAGATAGAAAAATAAATTATACATTGGAAAATCTAACCTGCGCATAAGTACCAATAATACTAAGGTTGAAAGCCCTGCCGATCCAGTAAGCTTGTTGTTCAACAGTTCCTTGGCCCATGATAGTGGGTATAAACATAACATAATGTAATGTCAGTGGATTTCCATCACCAAGAATAGCTGAACCTAAAGTGCCTCCAAGCAAAGCCCTGGGAATAAAACCTGTCTTTTATATTGATGATTCTGTAGCTCTATTGTTGACTGTGTTGTCTTAGGTTAATCTCAACAACCTGGGTTAAAACTTGGGAAACATATATGTTTTTGAGTAGACGGGATCTACTAGGCAACTGACATGCCTGTGATAGAAAAATATAGAGAGTATTACAAAATCTTTAAACATTGGCCAATGCCCCTGTTTTTACCATTTAATGTTTGTGATTATCAATTAGATTGATAACATTAAGTACATTAATTAGAAGATTAAATGTTGTAATAAAACTAATTTAATACGATTACAATTCATTTAAAGAAAAACTAACTGATAGTTTTCCATTCCTGCATTCTCTTCATCCTGTAGGCGTCTTATCATTTGGAACATTGCACATGCCTTCTTAACAGCAGCTTCATATTTCTCTTTGTGACTTAAGTATACTGCTGGTACATCATTTGTACTCATAAGTTCTCTGAGAACTCTGTCTTCTGTTAATACAAATAGTTTTTATTTGTTTTTAAATACAAATTTTATAATTTCATTAATAAAGACATTTGTCTAACATTAGAAGTAGAGTTATTATGCTTTAATGTTATTAACTGTTACTATGACATAACTTGGTATATGCATGGTAAGTCTGTTTAAAAATTTGCTAATTACCTTGCAATTTTCTGTCTGTTGTTTTTTGGACTCCCCCATCTAAGAGATTAGTCAGCTCAGTAACATTAAAGGTACAGTTATCTCTTTCTCTTTGCAAATCTGGATTAACTTTTGTAGCCGACATTTTAAACAAACACGACTTAGAGCTAGAACTAAACACTAGTGGTGTGGAAAGGTATAAAAAGTAGGTAACGAAACCGCTTATTGCGTACGCTTAGATTGTCAGTCTAATTACGAAAACGCCACAACACGGTACCGCTCGAGCACTGACTAACTTCGCAAAACTTGTTTGACGGCTTATCTTCAATGGTTGTGACGTAGCTTTTTAGGGCAAGATGGTAATATCTCAAAATCATTGAACTTTAACACAAAGATTAGGTCTACTACTACTGACTATAGATGGGCTAAAAAGTTTATATAAATTCCAATAGATTTTGATTTATTATATGTGTAAATTATTAATTAAGTAGTAATCGTATCTTTGTTCATAGGAGTAATATTAAAACAGTTTTAAATAGTGTTAGACAAAATTAAAAAGTATCTATTTTATTCGTAGAATTATTTAGCTTAATGTTTTGTTGTTATTTTCGACGTATTTCGTTTAATATTAATGTCAAGCTGTCACGATGACGGTAGGACATTTTTCAGATTATAAATAAAATTGTATTTCAAGTATATTTAATTTATATCTGTGGTATGTCATATACCATTTTTACTAAGGGTAACATTGAAATGCAACTGCCAGATTAAAGCACCGCCATATTTCTTTCTTGTGTGCGTTGGATCTCATCGTGTCAGGATGAGGTTAGATTAATTGTATTTTAAGATTAAATGTACTTATTTTGGCACAAATAAACCTACTTCAGAGTTCTTAAAGGAATTATGTTATTTTTATTAAGTTGGTTTTTTTTCACTCGCTGATTTCACGTTGTCAACATTTACGGTCTATGAGTTGCAACGCCATGTGGTCTTCAAATTGTACATTTCCTTTTTCAGTTCCCTCAAACTACAAAAGAGGCTTGCAGCCTCTGTTATGCGATGTGGTAAAAAGAAAGTATGGTTGGATCCAAATGAGATCAATGAAATCGCCAACACCAATTCCCGTAAGTATAACCACGCACACCTACCTATGAACATTTTTTTGGTTTATTGCTTACCATACCCACCAACTTCATAACAATAATTTTACAAGTTCGTTTCTTAATTAGTATAATAAGTATGTGAAGTTACTATTTTTAAATCAGAATATTTTCATATTACACATTTTTTTGTCGCCTTAGTTCAGTGACTTGTAATCATAGTGTTTTGTATTTCGTCATTATTATTCTTGAATTTCACATGTTACTTTGACATATATAATGTGAAGCCAGGTCAAAAGTATGTGATATCATTTTTATATATTCTGTTTATAACTTTTAATTACAGGTCAGAACATCCGTAAGATGATAAAGGATGGTCTGGTCATCAAGAAACCCGTAGCAGTCCACTCACGCGCTCGTGTCCGCAAGAATACTGAGGCTCGCAGAAAAGGTCGTCATTGTGGGTTTGGTAAAAGAAGAGGTACAGCCAATGCTCGTATGCCACAGAAGGTAAGATTTAGCATAATCTGAAAAATATAATTAATACAAACTTTGATTTGTATCTTGTTCAATGTTTTTCATATATGCTTAGTTTTACATTAAATTGTTATAAAATTAATAAAAATAATTTGTAATGTGTCTCTATAATTCCAGGAACTTTGGGTTCAAAGACAAAGGGTACTCCGTAAATTATTGCTTAAATACAGAACAGCAAAAAAGATTGATAGGCATCTGTACCATGCTCTGTACATGAAGGCGAAGGGTAATGTGTTCAAGAACAAGCGTGTACTTATGGAGTACATCCACAGGAAGAAGGCTGAGAAGGCTAGGAGTAAAATGTTAAGGTAGTGTTAAAAATTCTTAACATTTATCTAATTAGAACCAAACATCTTTATCAAGTTCTTAATAAACAGAACAAGAAGACTCTTAATAAAATGTTTAAAATCTAATCAAAATTTCCTGTAAATATATTTTTCTTAATGTCAATGAACTTGTATCTCATAGGTAGGTAGTAGATAACTAAATGTTTTATATTACCTACTTAATATTTTAGAAACAAGCGCATTACACTAAAATATAGTGTGAAGTATTTTTTCTTTATTAAATACATTATATTACAGCAGTCAGATGGCTAGTGCTACCTATTTTGTATCAGTACAAATGGTCATAGTTTTTCTCTATGTATAAATATACTTTCACTAAGTTATTGAATTTTGTAGTTTATTTCAATGCTTAAAAATTTCTTTACACAATGTGTAAAACTTTTAAAAAACTCTAAGCGGTTTTACAACGCTGCTTAAGTTTTTGAGAATTAGGAAATAGTGTGGTTTGCCATTGCATTAAGATACTAACTTATTTATAAAAGGAGGTCTGAATGCTAAGCAGCGTTTTCTTCCAGGCAACCTGAACTACAGAAGAAAAGAAACTAAAAAAAGAGCTTATTATTGTGTGAAAATAAGAAATAACTGATAATTCGTATTACAGTGACCAGGCTGAAGCCCGTCGTAACAAGGTAAAGGAAGCGCGTAAGCGACGTGAAGAACGTATCGCTGCAAAGAAAGAAGAGCTTTTGCAGACCTTTGCCAGGGAGGACGAAGCCGCAGTTACAGCTAAGAAGTGATTTGTAAAGTAACAAATAAACGATAACACTCCACGTTTCGTTTTATTTTGGTAAAACCATAATGATCGACAATGTAATTGGAAATTTCGTGTGCAATAAACGTAGGTATTTTTGATAGGTTAAAAAACATGTCGTAATGTGTACTAAGAAAGAAAGAAATATAAACTAATACACTGGCTTTTTTAGGTGTTTGATTTTTGTAAAATACTGTTTATTGTATCCTGAATTACTCTTGACTTAGATCGTTAGACTTTAGTATGGCAAGCTTTACTATTTTGACCTGTCTTATTTTAATAGTGATGTACATTAAAATACAAAGGTATTTTCGAATTCAACCACCCAGTTACTTATAGAGAAGATATATTATATACCACACTAGTTTTTCTGAAAATTAACGAATAATTGTCAAATTTCAAACAATGACAACCCGTGGAGGGAGCTATTTTCCATAGAGCTAGAATGTATGTACAATACGGCCGATGTAACTTGGCAGGCCTGATCTAAGCGCAAAACGCTGCGTAGAAACGTTCTTTAGGATGTTAACGTTGGTAAGAGCGGGGCGGGACGAAGATCTAGGCTAGTGATTGACTCAATGTCAACACAATCAACCGCTTATTCTATCAAATTTTGTAATCGATTTTTATCGATTTAGATTGTGGATTTTAAATCGTATGAGATATTGTACTAAATGGATTGATGAACACAGTAAATGGTGTTAAAAAACAATACTATGATTACCTTTAAAGGAAAATAAAATCATTAAAAATCTTTTTTATTATTGAACTACCTGAGTTACTATTTATACCTTCATTACGGCTTTTTATACATTTTTCATTAACCCCAGTAACGAAAATGAATGGCAGTATCAGTTTTCTTTACGAGTGTACATGCGCCAAAGTTAGTCTAACCTCTGTTCAGAGCTGCCATGTTACGTCGGCCGTATTATATGTAATGTGAAAAGTATTGTTAACACATAAGCATGGGGGTAAGCTTGATAGTAGGTCAAATACTCCAGTCGTATAACATCTAAATAAGATGAGCAATCGACCTTTGCTGACTTAAGATCTTCGGAAATCTACGGACTTAAACCGAAACGTGGAAACTTCAGGGCTTTTTTATTTATGGACGATGGTCGGACGGCAAACCACGTTGATTCCTGACTACCAACTCAACATTCAGATTTCCTTACGAAGTTACAGCACGTTTCAGAAGAATTATAAATTGAGTAGAAATATGTTGGACCCAGAGGGGAACGAACTTCATACCCGTTGATACTACCGAGCCCGTCAATTTCCGTTACCTTTAAAACTACGCGCTAATGAGCAGATTGGCGGAGATTGCCGTTAGATCAAGGGTGCCCCGAGAGAGGCGTCGGCCTCTGCTTGGACTATCGCAGTGAAGGTGTAAGCTTCAAGTTACACTTTCATAAGTTTATTAAGTTTTATAAACTATGTACGTATGTATGAGTAAACGCGTAAACTATAGACAGTGTTTATGTATAACATACATAAATACTGTCTATAGTTTACGCGACTAGTACACATTTAAATAAAACACTTTAACGGTTTAAAACGTGATATATTAGTTAAACTGCAGAACATCCGAAATGTCGGGACGAAGTTAAAAAATATTTAAACCGTTAAAGTATTTTATTTACATATATGCATTATTAATTTAAGAAATGAAAAACAAATTTTGCTAATAAGTGTATTTTTTTTACAAAGTTTTAGATACCTTAGTTTCTTTATTTGATTTAAAGCACTATAATATTACGCAAATATAATTTTGTTATAACGTCACGAGTCGGCAGACGTAACTTGTTTCAATGCAAAGCTAGATATACTTTAGTCGTCCCGCGGACATTGTCTGATATACTCGTTTAAGTGATAAATAAGCGACAGTAGAAATATGGTAAAAATAAATGAAGATTTGCAAAGAGAGCGGGACAAATGCTCTTTTAATATTACCGAGTTGACTACATTAATCGATGGAGGTCCAGATAAAACTGAGGCGAGGAAAGAAAGAGGTGAGTTGCTATATTTTTTCGGGGTGAACTTGTGTCAATAACTGTGTTGTAAATAAATTACAAACGCTTGATGTTATACACATTTGAAATGTTGATAAGTTTGTTGTGTTATTTCAAATACCTATATTCATTAATAGGAGTTTTGTTTATTTAGTAAAACTAAAACAGTAGTTACCTTACAGAAAATATTTTAATAAGTAGAAATGACGACCTCAGTGCTATACCTGAAGAGTACTTAAGTCACAAAGAAAAATATGAAAATGCGGTAAAGAATTCGGTCATTCTATTTGGATTGGTACGAAAAATGCAGGAAGATGGTAAAACATCCGTTTCTAATTACAGGTAACTTTCGTGTTTTCACTTAAAACAATAATTACACAACAAAATAAGACCGATGTCATGATTTGAACTTTTATCGCTAAACCAAAGACCGACTAATGGATTTACAATTTATGGGTTACCTATACATATTAATTTTACTAAAAAAAAATTGTATATATACATAATATGTTAATACAACTTTAAAGTTATAAATTATAATATTAAGATAATATTATAAATAAGCATTACATGAAATAAAACAAGTATCACATATGATATTCTTGTCATAATTATTTAAATTGTTGATTAATTGGGTCGGATAAAATAAACTCATTTCGATACATAAACTTTATCGTTCTCACTTGGAAACAATGCAAAAAAATACCCATCATAAAATAATCAAAACATCAATTTTCAGAGACGTAGTGTCCGCCCTACTCGGGTCCTCCACTACTCGAGATGGGTCGCCCCTCGGTCTTCACTATATTATGTTTATGCCAGCTATACTGAACCAAGGAAGCGAGGAGCAGCAAGCTCAATGGCTACCTCGAGCGTGGGTATCGAACATCATTGGTAGCTATGCTCAAGTAAGTATTAGCTTGCGAGAAAGACATTTTTAGAGTTCCCTTAACAGAGAGTAATTAGAACGAGTGGTATTTGTCTATAACCAGTCTGTCCATCTTGTACTGTGATAGTTGGAAAATTTATGCATGACGTGATGATTTTGCTTTTGCTTGATATTGAAGGCGACGCCACAATAGGCTTTGAAAGACAATGGTAACATAATAGAAAAAAAACTATCAAACGTTTAAAAAGGAACATATATTAATTAAATTTATTTTTGATAAATTTTATGTACGACGAAACGGGTCGTAATTAAAATAACTGTTAAAAGTCTTATACTTATATTATAAATTAATATTTTTTATTCTAAATAAATAGTTATATTAAAATAAACTTTATAATGGTGACTCACAGACAACGAACGTATGTATTTCAAATTAACGTGCGCGACTCGCATTTACCTCTTAACAACACAATATTCATAAGTGACTTATGCAAACATTTTAACCTTTCGGCACATATACAATGTTTTTCAGACTGAGTTGGGACACGGCACATTCATTCGTGGATTAGAGACGACGGCGACCTATGACCCCTATACTCAGGAGTTCGTATTGAATACACCAACCCTTACTTCGTACAAGTGGTGGCCTGGAGGACGTATGTCATTTTTATAGAGCTCTAAATTCTGACGAACTCGTCTGTTGCAATATATGCTATTATAGCTACTATATGTAGTTAGTATTAACTGGGTCGTGGGTTAAATCCCCACTAGATCCAAAATCTTAAACTTCCACTGGAAACCTGGATATTACATGGGTGTCACGAATCACAATGCACAGATGAAAAATCCGTCAAGTTTAATCGCGTTTCGGTTTTTTTTTTAGTATTTTCAAATATCCATAGACAAAATAGGTCGACAGCATATTTAATTTAGAAGTCATATAGTTGGGATATTACGCTCTCCATTTCCACTTTGTCTGTCCTTATCATAAAAAGAACATTATTCATACCAAGAACATCACACAAGATATGTATTTTTCCAGTTGGTCATACAGTAAACTACTGCATTGTAGTAGCGCAACTATACACCAAGGGTCAATGTCACGGCATACACTCCTTTATAGTCCAAGTAAGAGATGAAGAGACGCACGAGCCATTACCGGGGATAAAGGTTGGAGACATCGGCGCAAAACTCGGTCTGAACGCCGTGAACAATGGTTTTCTTGGACTGGACAATGTGAGGATACCGAGAACCCAAATGCTCATGAAGCACGCTCAAGTATTAGAAAACGGGACCTACGTCAAATCTAAGAACAGCAAACTGAATTATGGCGCTATGGTGTTCGTTAGGGTTGTTATAGTGTTCGACATGGTCAACTATCTGTCAAAGGCGGCGACCATTGCTGTTCGATATTCAGCTGTTAGGAGACAATGTCATATGAAGGAAGGGTGAGTTCAGAATTACTTGAGGCTGCTAGAGGCAGAGTAGCCTGCAACTGCCTCCAGTAACTGCAATTTTATGGCTTGAGTTATTTATATTTTCTTAGTCTAAAACTGTTTATCTACAAGACGACTGTGACCGAAAATTGTTAACATAATTCTTACACAAATAATAGTACAAATTCATTTTCGCCTATGTTGATTGTGCATTTCTCTTATTAGGCAACTCAGCCTCATATATTCTAGAAGATTTTTAAACTCGTATATTACGTTAATTTCACTAACGGGTTCTTGAACCGGTATTCATAACGTTGCGTGCTGCTGCTCTAACCAATTGAGCTACCGTGTCCTACACGCCATGGTTTATTTTTCCCTTGATACATGCATACATCTTTCTGTTATATTACTTGCAATTTCATATGTTATTTTTATATCCCTTATATACATATATTTATTACCATGTATAAGTGAATTTTTTACATGCTCTTTTAGAGAGCCTGAAACCCAAATTCTGGACTACATGACACAGCGGCATAAACTGTTTATCGCAATAGCGGCGACACATGCTCTACGAATCACAGCTTATCAGTTATGGGACACCTTCAATGCTGTCACTGAAGAGTTGGGTGGTGGTAATCTGGATAGATTACCAGAGGTTAGTATCAGACATAATATTATTTATCTTGAACCATCTGGTTCTCTTGTAAACGCGTATTTTACTTTGTAATATTGCAATGAAATCCTGAAATTCAAAATCTGTTTAGCTTAAAATCGTCCGTGCCCTGGTAATTGGTTAGAGTAGCAGCACGGAACGCTGAGGAGGTTGGGTCAAGTCCCGGCTGTGTCGGAAAATTTTAGTTTTTATAATGCCACCATGTGGAAAATATTAAGTTACTTAGCTTAAGTTTAATTTTCAAAGTCTTGAAATTGTGTTTTTTTATTATGTAATTGTCTTAAGCAGAGCTCATAAATGCCGTCTAGTTGTTATCTCAATATGGGGCGTGGGGAAACACATTTATATATTTGTTTTTGTGATTGCTGCAGACAAAAGAGGTTTTATGCATTAAATAAAATACTTTAACGGTTTAAAACGCTATATATATAATAGTTAAACTTATTTGAAAATTATTTTTTTAGGTTTTAATGCATTTTTTAATTTTGTAGCTCCATGCTCTAGCCTGTTGTCTTAAAGCCGTGAGTACTGCAGATACTGCAAGCTATGTGGAGCGGTGTAGACTAGCGTGTGGGGGACATGGTTACATGCATTCATCAAATCTTCCATTGACGTACGGTTTGGTTACCGCCGCCTGTACTTATGAGGGAGAAAATACTGTCTTGTTGTTACAGACAGCTAGGTAAAATTTTGACACATAATAATTATATTTTAAGGCTTTTAAATCCTATGTACCAAAAAGGTATACGTATATAATTTCCCATATTTTTAGGTAAAAACTTATACTTATGTCATTTATTCTAAAATAAGATTTATAATATATTCTTTAAGTACCTTTTTCCCAGATTTCTTGTGAAGACCTGGCAAAATGTAGACACGATAAAATTAACGCCGACCGTGGTATATTTGAAGACTACCAGGGAAGCAGGATTTAGTGGAAAATGGGAAAACTCCGTTGAGTGCATCATTAAAGGATTTCAAATAGTTGCTATGAAGTAAGTTTAATGGCTAATGGAGTTTAATGATATGAGTGTCCTTGTTTAATATTGAGGAGGATAGACGAGCCTGGGGCTCACTTAATGGAAGGTGAAATAACTGTCGACCTATTATGGCTTTGCATATTTGGAAACCCACAGACTATAATCAAAACGCGATTAAACTTCACGGCCTTTTCATCTGTGGACGGTGGTTCGGGACCCGGATGGACTTTCGATATTCCTAACACGTTTCAGATAAATTATAACTTGAATAATTAGAAACATATGGCACTCGGCGGGAAAAAAACTAACGACCCGTTGATTATTACCTGTAAATTGCTACCACTAGACCGACGAGTCTGACAAAATATAAAACTATTAAGAATAATTCGTGTGTCCATAGATTGCGCATATATGGCAACAATTGTATTAATGTCAATTACTGTTTACAGGAAAATTTCATTAAGCGTCAGTCACATGCAAAAACGGATATCGTCTGGAATGTCGATAGAAGATGCGTGGAACATAACATCGGTTCAGCTCGTCGGTGCCGCTGAGGTAACTCGTACTAACTGACTATATTTCTTCGATCGTTGTTTTCTTCCTCAATGCCTTACAGAAGACAAGGACACAAAAAACATACATGTAAATATAATAAAATAGTAGGATTAAATCGCAAATATTGTTTATTGACAAATTTAACTATGATTTTCAGATGCTGTTGTAATATATCATTTGTTATTTTACTCGGTGTGACCGCCTTTGTGTATTTCAATTCCAGGAAACCAAAAGATTGTTTCGGGATGTAAAGAAGTCTGATCAACTTCTTGCCTGTAAATAAGATAGATCAGTGAATGGGACACAGTAATGTGTCCGGCCAATGCCCCACCATCACTCTCGCTTATTTTATTAACAAACATAAATGGTAATGAATTGTGTACGGCCATCGTTCAGCAAAGTTTTTCGGACTGTTGGGCCGACGTAAGCGAGAAGAGGTTCTCAACATTTTGCCATCACGAGCAAACGATGACATCATCAGGAGATGTTGTCCTCTTCTAGCTAGCTTTCTTCGGCCGAACAGCCCGAGAAACAATGATACTAATAGTGGTGTCCCAGACCAGAACTTGTGTCTTGTCAGCTTTCGATTTATGACTGGCCGAATATTTATTTAGCAATAAAACTTATTTACAGGCTCACTGTCGAGTTATAATTCTTCAAACATTTTATGACGGAATCAATAAGGTCTCAAATACGTTATCACCAGCCCTACGAGAGGTTTTACAGCAGTTGGTCGAACTGTATTCAGTGTACTGGGCTATACAGAAAATTGGAGATTTGTTGCAGGTATTTATATTTTATAATGGCGTACGTTTTGTTATTTAGTATACTTAGTGCAATCAAATTGTAATATTTGGAAGTAAGATAAAGAACAGCAGTGGTGGTGGTCAAATGTTTTGCTCTGAAAATCAAACAAATCTTACTGAAAAAAGGTTTACAAATTTTACTGGTTTATTTTATTGGTATACTGGCTGCTTAAAAGGTCAGCTTAAAGACTTCTGATTTGTATTTAACCCCTCCCCCCCCTACTTGGCCTAGGTATTTTGTATTTACCGAGACCGAAAGGCTCCTCATCCCCATCAACTAAATCCTAAACATAACAATTATAAGAAATACGGATATTACACCCATGCACACATACACACCGACACAATTACACTCTTATATATATATATAATAAAAACGCAGAGGCTTTTCTAAGTTGTAACTCTAGGTACTAAGTTCTTTTTTATATTGTCAAATAATTTTATAGTGAGCTCGCGGCGAGGGGGGCCTGGTGACTTGTATCACAGGTTATACCTATAAGAGGCTCTCACAGCGTGATACATGTAAAATTAAAGTAGCTTGATTGAAATTTGCAATGAACTTAATTGCAAAATTGTAAAGTTGTGAGTGCTAAATAGATAAATAAATTATAATAATAATGATAACTTACTTGACGCTGTATGTTAAGTTCTTGTCATTTTTCGAACTGTATCGTTATTGTGTAATTATTACCTCGGCTTTACTATTTTATTGCGTTTATTTGACTTTTGTTCGTATTCTACAGTGTGTGTCCATATCTGAGAGTGACCTGGAAAGCTTGCATAGCTGGTACGAAAATATTCTTGTGCAACTTCGGCCGAACGCTGTCGGGCTTGTCGATGCCTTTGACATAAGGGACGATGTAAGTATTAAATTGATTGAAAGGTTACATGGATACTGTTTGTAAACCTTCTGACCGACAGTGTGATAAAAACCATAAAATCTAGAAGGAGGTCATAAAATCATTTTACAATTTATCTTTTATGATAGAGGAGGATAGACAAGCTCGAGGTGCACTTGATGGCAAGTCAAATACCCCAGCCATATAATATCTAAAAAAGATGAGCGGTTGACCTATTTTGGCTTTGGATATTCGGAAATCCACGAACTGAATCCGAAACGCAATTAATATGCATCTATTTTCATTTGTGGATAGAGCTTCGTGACCTTGAAAAATGTTGAGAAAAATGTTGGCCCCGGTGGTCATCGAAACCGCGAACTCTTGATTATTAGCCATAAGTGCTGCCATTACACCAATGTCACATTCCAGATGTTGCAATCGACTCTAGGAGCATACGATGGACGTGTTTACGAAAGACTAATGGAAGAAGCCCTCAAATCACCCCTCAATGCAGAACCCGTTAACCACACTTTCCACAAATATCTCAAACCCTTTATGCAGGGAAAGTTATGACCAAAGAAAACTACGAATAGAGTTCACTTCACCAGAAATAGCAGTTACTTGGTATCTAAATGAAAATACCAGACACGATCATTCAACCTCGGTATACGAACAATGTTTTATAGTTTTGTATATGCTATATTGCAATAATCCAAAGATATACTCACTCTTGTATTTTTATTTCTCGGATATTATGTACTTAGATACTCTTGTAAGGTAGGTATGTTGTGAATTGCTTTTTGTAACTATGTACTATTGTTTTATAAACAGTGAAATATAAAATAATGTTATGTTAGTTATACTTTTTTTATTTAATGCATACATAGAACATGCATACACAATCAAAAGCGGATAGCCTGTCTATAGTTTACGCGAGTAGCACACATTTAAATAAAAAACTTTATCCGTTTAAAACAAACATATCGCGTTTTAAACCGTTAAAGTATTTTATTTAAACGGACAGCGTTATAAATCATCTTCGAAATACTAAAAGAACTATAAGATCAGTGTTTTTGGTGTCGAGCATTATCATTCAGGGTATACATATCCACGTATTCATTTACCTAAAACCTAACCACTGCTACAACTCGATTATTTATATTACAAAAGCGATTATAAATTGAAAAAAAAAATACGACTTGGGCATGACTTGAACTTGGCATCCTTGGCGTTCCGTGCTATTGCTCTCTCCAAATGAGCTACCGAGTCCTAGCAATTGGTCAATACTCAATCCAATGTATTATCGATTTTCATTTTATATAGTGCCATCATGTGGAATAGAAAATTATTAAAGTTTTCATATTTATATTTATGAATTATTATTCGATTATATTTTTATTCGATGAATGTAATCGATTTTCACATAGATCATGCAATCTTAGATTTCTATTGTTAACGACTAGGTACAAGTGACACGCGACACTTAACATGTCAAAGAACTAAACATAGTACGATCATTTTCAACCGATGAATATTTATGTTACGTATTTTTTACTTATTCTGTCTCTATCTGTTGTTTATGCAGGTTTATATTATATATTGTTTGCGACATTCACGTCTGGAATTAAATGCTTATGAACAATAAAAAATCGACATCAAACAGTACATTAAAAGTAACAATAAATTCGCACAAAATCTTATTCTTCGTATTTAAATTTAACAGACATGATTTAATATTTTTTTATTTTACTATAGGTATATATTGGATGTATGTATATTTTTAATCAATCCTCTCGAATAGACGTCGTATTCAGCATTCTTTCATAATTTCTTTTCATTGATTGTATTTCCAATTGCTTTAATACATTACATAGAATATTATGCGTATGTATTAATTTCATATAGGAGTAGGGTTTTTGAAACATTTAGTTGGCGTCGGCTTCAAAATTATGTTATAATGATATTGGTTAAAAAATAATTTCCCAACGACGGCAAAATCACAAAGAAGTATAATCATTTTGTCTGTTTGTCGGTATCTACGATATAAAAGAATGTTTCACTTTAGTTCCATTATAGTAAACAACATTTCTGATTAATAACATAAAAAGTGAAAGTCGAAACAGATTAATTGAGGTCTTGATATCAAAACAAAGGTCTGCGCAAATTATAAATGTGTAGGAATATTTACATAAATTTAACATATATTGTTTCAATCAATTAAAAAAAATCTATTTTCAGGTATATCAAAGTCGGGTTATCATTTTGAACTGAGTATGTAAAATAACGTTAACAATTTGTATGCAAGCGATATATGTAATAAACTCGAACCATAAAACAATCGCCTTGTAATGTAATTGGACGTAACTATAAAAATTCCGTTTCTCTTACAACCTTTTAATCAGATTCTCTGAATGTTACATGTCTTAACAATTTAACCAGTCAAAAGGTCCCACTACTAAGTGTGGTCCAGCTACATTTACAGAACCTTTAGCTGTGTTTTCCGTGCACAAAGATACGACGGGAACTCAAACTAACGACCGTAGGAATGGATGTCAGGTGCACATACTTCGTGTTATATCGGCAGTTTTTAGTAACTGTAAAATAGCAATTCATTGTAATTAAACAGATAATGAAATTGTCCACGAATTCGTAATTAACTGAATAAGTTGACGTTTTATTTGAATACAATAGTTTAGTATCGATCGGAATAAGGGCAATGAAAGATCTGAATTTATATTTTATGGTAAGTTTGTTTTTATTTACTCGATGCGAGTCTTCGAAGAAATTGGAGTATATATATACAAGAAAGGTGTTTTTAACCGTAGGAATTACATCGTGGTTAGTATGAAGTAAGAAGGAAGGGGAAAAGGATATATTATTTTATATCGTTTATACCACTTTGGTAAGTTACGAAGATGTAAATATTTTTTATAGCACAATATCAGTATAGCGTAGTAAAATTAATATGCAGCATAAAAATAACAAGTAGCTATAATACTTTATAAATAATTAAGGAATCTTGTTCAGCATGTAATCTTATACTGCGCGCGTCAACTATAGATATAATACGAATGTTCTAGCTCGTTTTAGCTATGTAGCTGAACATCTATAAAAATTGCGCACCTTCCAGTCTACTGGTAGGAACGGCCTCCTCTATTATACAATAGAGGGCTTAAGCCACTTCAGGTACATAAAGCCAGGATCGGGCCTCATCGGGCGCTGAAAGTGGGGCAGCGTAGCTTGAACTTGTATAAGTCTCCAAAATGATACAAACAAACACTATTTAACAATTTTCTTCGTTATGAGCTGTGTTCACTGTATCACCTGACCCTGGTTAACTGGCACTGGCTAAGATCTACCCCCAGTCCCTGTGCGCTTCAATAATTTGTATTGATAACCGAGATCAACTGGCTAATTTACTAAGCTGGTTTAAGAATTTTTAAATTATTTATTATATTTTGATAATATTTAATCTATATTCTTAGTTATTAACGCTTTCATTGTAATAACTCTAAATAAGGCACATAATATTTCCGATGCTTGTATACGAGCCGGAAATGTATTTCTCATTAAAAATACAAAATTATTCTTGAAACTAAAAAGCTTTTTTACGTAAGGTTAAATCCGATAGAGGACAAGTAATAGTACTTTTTTGTATGTATATTTTAAGTGTCTTTTGACCTGAAAGGAATATCATTTAAATGTTCAAGTAGCACATTTATTGCAGTTGTTCAGCACCGAATGGTATTGTGTTTAATATTTTAACATGAGTGCAAGCAAAGTGCAAACAAACGTGGACCTAGATAAGGAGAGGATAAAATGCAATTTTAATATTCAAGAACTCACGTACATTATTGACGGTGGAAAACATAAAACACTGCAACGTAGACAAATCGGTAAGCGAATATTGATTCAAGTTTATACATAAATACAATAAATTGTCCTTATGATCGCCTCTGTATGTGTTTAGACGTGGTGCCTAGCAATGCGTTAAGCGCGTACCTGGGTTCGAATCCCGAGAAGAAAATAGATTGTTACGGTCGGGTAGGGCACAGAAGTCTCATCATCTACTTGCCTGTAAATAAAACCGATGAGTGACATGGACACAGATATGTGTTCGTCCCATGTCCTAATAGGAAACGAGATTTCACAAGAAAATAAGCTTTAATATTATGTTTAGTGCCCGTGTTGGTTTAGTAGCACTAAGCACTTACCTTTTATGGTCATGGAAGTTTTGGCTTGGGATTTGGAGTAGCGCGAAGTGTTAGTTTGGTACGTAGAACTTTCTAAGACAATATGTCAGTAAAGATAAATTATACGTTCAATTTTCATATTCAAATAATTTATTACGCACCTTAGTAGGTACACATACAGACACAAAAATAGCAAATATATAATGGACTAGCTGTGTGAGCGACTTCGTCCGCGTACAATAGTTATTTTGGGCATCCAAATTCAAAATCTTTATAAACTTAAGCTGTTGAAGCCCTTGATGTCGGCCGCGTCCATTCCCGTCGTTCTTGCAAGTTAATCTTAAAAGATAGACATATAGCGTTTTATGTACATGTGTACTACTCGCGTAAACTATAGACAGTATTTACATATAGCGTTGCTGACTTTTTAGATAATTTAAAGAGGAATCATTCTTTTATACATATTTTTTGAGTATCTTGAACGGTTTTCGCAACATACGCCTCGGAAACCCATAATGATAATTAGTTCTTCCCGCTTTTTTCACATTACCCGTTGTTTCTTCGCTCTATATTAGTCACATCGTGATGTGTTACAACCTATAGCCGTCCTCGATAAATGCTCTACGCAACATAAAAAGATTTTTCAATTCGAACCAGTAGTTCCGGAGATTAGCGCGTTCAAACAAACAAACTCTTCAGCTTTATATATTAGTATAGATTACAATTAACACATACACAAAGTTTGTTGTGGAAGGACATCACTCATCTGTTGCTGCTACAAGAGTTGCTGCATCATCGATTTTCAGTGATGCCCGTGGATGTGTACACTTAAAGTATTAGCTGTAACAATAACGAATTTAAAGTGAAACAATAGTCAATTTGTAAAAATGCAAAATTATTTTAATTGATGGTGTGTATTATATGTTGAGTAATGTTACAGAGAACAATGTTTTTACATCTGGTAAGCATGAGGATCAGGTCCCAGACGAATGCCTCAGCTTAAAAGAGCGTTATGAAAATGCAGTAAGAAAATCTCTCGACTACGGTGACTTAGTGAGGAACGAATTGCTCGCTATAACTGGATTGGAAAACTTTGGGTAAGATTGGATAATCTTCCTTGTTAAACACTTTAAGCAAATCCTAATATAACCTATATCAAATAAATACTTATTAAGTAGGTCATAAATAGTTTTTTTCTTTCATAAAACAATAATAAATATCACTGTTGGGACCTTAGACTCCACGTAGCATAGAGTGGACTCCTTTTCTGAGGCAACTGCAGTGTTGTATTGTATCTGTATTTAGTTATATAATATTATATTTGTAGTTCTTTCCAATATTATGTCTGTAAAATTAGTTTTTAAATTGTTTCAGAATAAACATATTTCTAATGGACTTTTAAAATTGTCTTACAGTACTCCGATCCTGCGCCGGACCGCCGATGCATTCTTTAAGGAAATATCACCGCTTTTGCTACACTTGGGTATGTTTGTTCCAACTATCATGGGTCAATGTACGGCGGAACAACAAGCGAAATGGTTGCCTTTAGCGTTGAACCTTGAAATTTACGGAACTTATGCTCAGGTACTTTCCGAGGTGGAGGCGGAAATGTAATATTTTTATGCGGGCATGAGATCCTCACTTGTTGGAAGTAGACATGTTCCAGCCCTATAAAATCTAAAATACATTAGTGTAGTCAACATTCTTGTTTTGGACATTAGAAATCCTACAAACTGAAATCGAAGCGAGGATTTAAATTCTACGGCCATTCCATCTATGGTCTACTAGACTATGGATCGCGACCCGGAAGAAGTTTCTAATAATGTCTAATTTTCCAGACATAATTGGTGAAATCATAAATAGATATAACATTAGATAGATATAACAAACATGCTTACTACCTATGCCTGACTAAACCACTTAGATCGTCAGTATTGATGGCCCTGCCGTTCTTGAAATTTTGATTGGACTATGATCTAATGTGTATCTAAAATCTTTATTTTATATCTGTATTTTAGTTTTACTCTGAAGTTTTCCGAATGTTGAAACCAAATCAAGTCAACTTGCGCATGTGCAAGCGCATCTTGTTCCGATGGTTGGGTTCCTCTAGTGAACCCCCTGTTTGTCTATTCTGCTCTCCTTTGAAATAAAATTAAAACGATATTATGTTCGTTCCAGACGGAGTTAGGCCATGGCACCTTCATTAGAGGGTTAGAGACTACCGCCACGTATGATTCTTCTACTGAGGAGTTTGTTTTGCATACACCAACGTTAACAGCATACAAATGGTGGGGAGGAGGGTGTAAGTATAAAAATAGTATTATATTCACTGTTTGTATAATCACTGCTTAACGTCGACACAGATTACTTTGTTATGTGTAAATGGAAAACTTTATAAATTTAATTTATCATCTTTATTATTTTTTTGGATTCGGATATTTTGTATGTGAATTTCATCTAAAAAACATTGTATGTTAGTTTTTTATCTATATAATTATTTACTATATATGTTTTCGTTATTTCATGGTCGTCATTTGTAACTGCATTATAAAATTACGAACAATATCAAATTTCAATTCAAACCTCAGAGAACAAAGAACTGATTCAACTAATATTTTTCGCTTTCGACACCGTTAAAAGTGTTTTATTGAAGTTTTAAGAACATGTTAAATCTAAAACTAATTATGTCGTGTCATGTAAAAATTAATTGTTATCAATCTTTTCACACTTCCAGTGGGCAAAACTGCAAATCATTGTATCGTGGTAGCCCAGCTGTACACTAAAGGAAAATGCTATGGGGTGCATACCTTTATTGTTCAAATACGTGATGCTGAAACGCACGAACCCCTCCCGGGCATCAAAGTAGGCGAAATAGGTCCAAAAATGGGCTTTAACACGGCTGACAATGGGTATCTGGGGTTTGATCATTACCGGATCCCTAGAGAGAATATGTGCATGAAAAATGCTCAAGTATTGAAGGTAGGTGACGATTTTCATGGAATTATGTTAGAACTAGCTGTATAACGACTTCTGACTGTAGCTGTGTAACGACTTCGTCCACGTAGAATATTTCGGGCATCAAAATTTGTTTTAACAAACTTACTTCTGATCTTTATAAACTGTAGGTGTTACCCACGACGTCGGTCGCATCCCGTCGTCCCGAACATTTTTTAAATCATTTAAAGAGAAATCATTCTTTATTACATAGTTTTTGGATATCTTGAACCGTTCCCTTGAATGTTTCCTGGTTTACCCACATTTCCCATTGTTTATTCGCTCTTATTGCTCGCAGCGTGATGCTAAAGACTTCCTAGATATAGGCTTAACCAAAACGAAAATTGTTCAATTCGATCCAGTAGTTACTGAGATTTGCGCATTCAAACAAACAAACTCTTTAACATTGTAATATTAGTATAGATATCAATATCGCACTACTGGGCACCGGTCCCGTCTCCTATAATAGCTTAGACCCACCACGCTGCTTTAATTTGAAATGACGGGCTTTAGCGAGTACAATAGCTAAATTAGTGATGGTAACCGGAACCGACAGTTAAATGTCGTCTTCAAGGCACGGCGATACTGACTATCAAAGACAAATACTGAATTAACAATTCGTCCAATCCAGGATTTGAAGGACTCAGGACTCGTGATCTGAAGCCGAGTACTAACCACTAGACCCAAGCAGTTATCCTTGACTACGTAAATTCAAATTTCGAACTTTATCTTCCAGGACGGTACGTACATGAAGCTAGGCAATGCCAAGCTAACTTATGGCACTATGGTGTTTGTGCGCGTGACTCTCGTATCGGATTCAGCATTCAACCTTGCAAAGGCAGCAACTATAGCTGTGCGTTATTCTGCTGTTAGACGACAATCAGAAGCGAAGCCAGGGTATGTACTAAGTTCAAAGCGTCCAAATGTTCTTTATGCCTAGCTGTTTCTCGTATTCCCTGCATTCTATTTAATTTACGAGAGTAGTACACATTTAAATAACCCAAATACAATAAAGGGAGAATAAAATTTAACCGTTAATCTAACTATATTCTATTTTATTAAATTTTACATGGGCGGGACTTGAACCGGCATCCACAGCGTTCCGTGCTGATGCTCTAACCAATTGAGCTACTATGTCCTACGCGTCATCGTCGAATTTTTCAACCCATACATGCACCTCACACGCAATATGCATATTTATATATTAAAAACAGCTGAGTAAATAGCTATAACTTTTGTCAAGATAGATAAATGTTAAAAAAAATTATAAAAAAAATATAAAAAGTCTGACCTATTTAAAAATATTATTGTTAAAATTGCACCCAAATAATTTTGTATTCCTGTTCTTAACATCAATATTTCTTCCTCTTCCTCTTCTTTGATGCAGCAAGATGCTACAGCCTTCCCTAGTTCTTTAGTTTATTGACCAATCTAACAGTGAATCAATTTTTTTCAATTCGTTATTCAATTTTAATTCACGCAAGTATTATCTAAAATTATATATTTCCAGTGCACCTGAGCCCCAAGTACTAGACTATCCCACGCAACAACACAAATTGTTTATTTGTATCTCATCTGCCCTGGCCATGCAATTCACTGCGAACTGGCTCTGGAAAACATTTACCAAGTATCTCAGTGAAATGAAGAAGGGAAACGTAGATAATTTACCTGAGGTAAGTAAATCTTCTCTCTAAAAATTGTTACTAACTCAACTAACACACATTAGAATTAATTAATTTTAAGAAATGGATTATGGTCTGAAAAATAAATAATTATTATTATTATTAAAGTGATATCCCGTTTCCCCAGATCAGACTTGTCTTAATCCGGCCAAAAAATTCTATTGTTTTTTCGTGCTTGATGCAATGTTAGAAAACACGTTTAACCATTTGGCTACACAGTCGGTGGTCCGCGGTTGTATAGTGGCCAGTATCCCCCGCCTGTCTCTAAATATTTGCTTACCATTAAGGCTTATACAATGTGTCTTCTATATTTTCATGTACACTCGCCGATGCGTTTGGAAACTGAAACAATTTTATAGCAATCGTTGGTCGCTCCTAGCCCTGGTTAGATCCCACGTGTTTCTAATTTTTCTGAAACATGTTGGACTTCGACTGGAAATGTGGATATTAAATGGGGGGTTGGACTATCGAAAGTCCGTCCAGGCTAAGAACCGCCGTCCACAGAAAAGCCGTGAAGTTAATTCGCATTTCGGTTTCAGTCTATGGAAAATAAATAGGTCGACATTTTGTGTATCAAATTAACTCCATGCTTTTCTGTCGTTCTCTATTATTAAAATAAAATCTTTAAAAATATTAATGTGATTCCTTACAGTTGCACGCTCTATCTAGTTGCCTGAAAGCTGTGAGTACTTCAGATGCTGCTGCGTATATTGAACAATGCAGATTGGCGTGTGGAGGGCACGGGTACATGACGTCATCCAGGCTTCCGCATATATACTCCTTTGTAGTCGCTACTAGGACCTATGAAGGAGACTATACGGTTCTGTTATTACAGACAGCGAGGTAATTTTCTTGTTTACCTGAAACCAATGTTGTTCGTAAATAGATGATGTAAAAAAGTTCTTGACGTGTACAAGCAAGAATGTTATGTTTTACGTTAGACCTTTCTAAAAAATACAAAGGTAGAATAATAAATACTAAATATTTATGCACACTACACAGACGACAATCCCTGGAAAATATGAAAAATGCAGTTAGCCAGGACATAATGATCATTTACGTGCCCTACATATGAATAGAATCGTAATTTTAAACACTCACGATACTGTGTTAGATTTTTGTCACTTATTTTCTCTTCTAAATCTCTGCTATTTCTATTAAATAATTATATTAACCAATAATGAGATTTTTTTTCTTGTTTTACAGTAGTTAGTAGTTATAATATTCCAGTAAACATACATTTAATTTGTAAGCTAAGATTATATTAGTAATTTAAATGTAATTTATTAAGCATATTATTAAATATACAACTATAATTTAAAAGTAATTTGACGACTTTTTGAAAACCCCGTATATAAATAAAACACTTTAACGGTTTAAAACGCGATATATTCGTTAATGATTTTAAACCGTTAAAGTGTTTTATTTAAATGTGTACTACTCGCGTAAACTATAGACAGTATTTAAACCCCGTCCAATTGCAGGTTTCTCATAAAAGCTTGGGAACAGGCTGAGTCCGGTGTAAATTTAACGCCTACGGTTTCTTACTTAAGCCGCGCTTGTAAAGTGAAAAATACATGGGAAAACAGTTCTGAAGGTATCATAAGGTCTTTCGAAGCGGTGGCTGCCGGGTAAGGTTCGCTTCTTCTTACAACTTATTGAATCATTATTATTTATGGGTAGGACTTGAATGGCGTCCATAGCTATTCGTGCTGCTGCTCTAATCAGTTGAGCTACCGTGTCAGTTGTCATCAGATTCATAGAATTTTGCTTAATGCCCTCATGTGGAAAATGTTAAAGCTTTTGATATTATTTTTAAAATATTGGCAAACGTAGCTTAATATTTTTAATTAATTAGCATTCAAAAATTTTATAATACGGCCAGGACTGAAACTTAGGCGTGCAATTGCTACAGCGTGCCGCACGAATTCTGTTTGTTAAATCTATATTGCACGAGATTTGCTTGTATAAATGAATAAAAAATAAATGACGACGTAATATTATTTTTTCTACAATTTATTTATGTATATCAAAAAGTAAAGTCACATCTTTCGCTTACAGCAAAATTGCGCATTGTGTGAAAAATATAAGAGAAAAAATGCAAAACGGTTTAGACTTAGATGAAGCGTGGCTACTAACGACAAATCTGCTCGTTTCTGCAGCTGAGGTATCGTTTTTTAATTCACTATAGTAACATTGTAATCTACCGAATATAGTATCAATAACAATTATGATATTAAAGTATATTGTATAAGATAGGATAAGCAGAGGCTCTAATCAAGTGTACATTTGGAAAACAAAAAATTACATAACCATAATGTATGTAGGTATGGGTTAACATAATTTTGCAATTGTTCTGGACAGAATAGATATGTACATTGTGTCAAAGTATTTTTTACAAATCAGTTGAAGACGCCACAGTTACACATTTTTAAATAACACTTTAACGGTTTGAAATGCGATATATATTAGTTAAATTAATTTGATTTTTTAAAATGTATTTTAAGTCTCCCCGTAATCTTTAAAGTCGGGCCTTTTAAGTGTTTTTTTTAATTATACATAATTACACTTGTTTCTTTCCTGTTCTTTAAAGTATTCTAAAACTGATAGAAATAAACAGATATACTAGATAAACGTGATTAGAACGCTTAGTTATGATTCTAGGCACACTGTAGAGCAGTTCTGCTAAGAGTGTATCATGAAGAAGCCAAGCGACTGACAGAAGAGTCGAGTTTAAATGTGAAGGAAGTGGTGGATCAGCTTGTGCAACTCTATTTAACATATTGGAGTCTAGAAAGAACTGGTGATTTGCTGCGAGTGAGTAGTTTCTACTAAAGTAGTAAGAGATTTAAATTAAAACCGAATAAGGCCAAATCTATACTAATGTATAAAGCTGAAGAGTTTGTTTGTTTGTTTGTTTCAACGCGCTAATCTCAGGAACTACTGGTTTGAATTGAAAAAATATTATTATATATTTGTTTTGATTAGAGCATCTATCGAGGAAGATTATAGGCTATAAAACATCGTGCTACGACTAATAGGAGCGAAAAGACATCGGGAAATGTGGAAAAAACGGGGAAAATTAATCATCATTGTGGGTTTCCGTTGCGTATGTTGCGAACACGGTTTAAGATACCCAAAAAATGTATGAAGGAATCTAAAAAAAATGTACGCGACAAGAACGACGGTACACGGAGACGTCGTTGGTAGCGTCTTAAATTTATAGAGTTGAACAGGAGGTTTTCCAAAAACAAATTTGATGCCCAAAATAATTATTCTACGCGGACGAAGTCGCTGACACAGCTAGGAGAGGATAAAGTCGGTCATCCGATTTTATTCATTTGATTTTCTAAAACACTACGAACTGTGACACATTACTTACCTTTAAAGGTATAAAAGGAGCAAATTTCGAAAGGTGCCGCCAAATTCAAATTACTTCACGAAAATGTTCATTAAAGTTTAAAAGTTCTATGCAACATACATAATAAAAGTTAAAAAAAATAATAAAAAGCTTTCGTAGTCATTTTTCAAAGTACTCGAGTTGAATCTTTATACTTTTATGTATGTATATGTTAAAGTTTTGATTTTAAATTGTCTGAAACTTTTAAATAGTACACATCAATTTCGGAAAACAATATACATCAATTGGAAAAAAAATACGAAGAACTCCTGGCTGCCATCAGACCCAATGCAGTTGGCTTAGTGGACGCGTTTGATATCTGCGATGAGGTAAGATATTTTGAATTAAGTGACGAACAATATGATAATAAATATTATATGAAAAAGCAAAAAGATTGAAATTTTTAATACATGATTAAAAATTAACAATGACGTGAGCATCATTCGACCGCCCCACGAACAACTATAAATTGAGCTATTGTGCCAAGGTAGCTCAATTGTCAACGCTCCCATGGTTGAAACGCGTCGGTTTCTAGGTGTGATAATTATAACTATTAAAATGTAAATATCGTTCCAGATATTACAGTCAACACTTGGTGCTTATGATGGGAGGGTCTATGAGCGTCTTATGGAGGAGGCTCTCAAAACACCACTTAATTCTGAGTCCGTGAACCCTGCATTTCATAAATATTTGAAGCCGTATCGTCAAGCCAAACTGTGATAAGCGTCTATATATTTTATTTTATATCTATTAAAATAAAAACAATAAACTACCCATTTTTTCCTTGAGGATTTTTTTTTATTTGAATATCACGATGAATAAAGTAATTAAGATATCATAATCATACATTATAATCGGTTGAGATTATCGCATTGTTTTTTCATATGCAGTAGGTATGTTAAACTTGCCCAGATAAAATTATACCTATGTGATTACAGGTAAAAATAAAAAAAATCAGTTTCACTGATTTATTAAGTTATTGTTAAGACGTCGGTGCCATCCCCGAAGACACTATTACGTTCTCCCGGCATTCAAAGGTCAAAGTACGTATGTAATATTTTCAATAACAAACAACGGATAGAAAACTGCTTCTATAATTACTACATAATTGCCTATGTTCGTTCAACGCGATCGGCTTAAAGTCAACACAAATGACATACGCGTGAATCATCTATCGAAAAACATTTATTCACATAAAACATCTAATTATCACTTGAATATTGGACCCAGCTTATCGTATAATTCTTTACATAAATATCTTGTAAAGATAGTGTTGTTTTGCGAGATATGAAACACTTTGTTATTAGTGTTTGAGTGAACTGTCAGTGACATGACGTTGAAAAAGGTAAATCCTGACCTGGAGAAGGAGAGATCGACATGTACCTTTAATATTGAAGAACTTACTAATCTGCTGGACACAGGGGCTCATTGCACAGCGGAAAGGCGAGCTGTAGGTAAGCTTGGAAATAGTTACATTTAATTTGCTTAGGCGCGAAATACATGTCAGTGAATCTCGTTTTACGTAACACTGCGTTAGGCAAGTGGAACTAGTTGCCGGTACTAGCACTTAGATGACCTCGTAATTGTAATTTCTCCTTTTCTTTTTCAATTGGCAATGCTGTTTATTCTGGTAAATGTTTTTGTCTTGTAAGGCGATCAACAATACATGAACTAAGTTCACAAAAGCAAAACAAAAATTCTAGTTCATATTGATATTACAATTATTGTTTTTTTTTAGTTCAGAAGATTGTGGGTGTAGGGCTCATAAAATTTTTACTAATGTGGTATATTAGTGGAGCTAAAAAAAGGACCACTCAACTTTTTTAAATTTGGTCGAACAAACTGACAGTTGTGACAGCTGATGATGTTGTTATTAAGTAACTCACATATTATTGTGATTACCATAGTCATGAAAATATAATAAATATAGGTATATAGATTTGAAATTTTGGCCCTTCATATAAAAAGGGGCGGTACATATGAAAAAATATAGTATACTAGGAATACATTAAAGAAGCCTTTTAGAAGATTTTAGGCTATCACTATAGGATTTCTTTTCTAAATAAATCACTTTTAACGGTTTAACAACAACATAACAAAATTACTACTATCTTCGATTTTAAAGATAAGCATAATTGTTTCACACTGTTATAAGTCCATTACAATTATAAAAATAAAATTTCTACCCTGGGGGAATCTTGGATTACGTGGTACCTTGTGTGGTGGTATAGAATACCAACTAGGAAATAATAACAACTTTTTATTCCTTTAGAGGACAAGGTGTTTAGCGTAAAAGAACTTAAGGACGAAATACCAGACGAGTTTTTAAGTCACAAAGAAAGATATGAGAATGCAATAAGAAAATCAGTTTTCCTACATAAAGTTCTACAGGAAACAGGTGTTAAACGGGGCGTTTATAATAGGAGTGACAAGTAAGTATACAACTAATAAATATAACAATAAGTAATAGTTACGTCTACCAATTGATCCATTCTAGTATATACATTTTTATTCTGTATCATTAATATGTTTTGTTATGCGGAGAGGTTAAATTACTCATTAAAGGTTTTTGTCACTTATTGAATAATGGCTATTTTTTGTTCTTTAAAAAAATGTTTTCTATCTATAACGATTTACTAGCGAAATTTTTGAATAGGAAAACAGATAATATTTGGATTTCCACACTCGGTATTCCACAGACATTACGAAACACATACTGGCTTTTCTCTCTGAGAATTTTGGTTCGCTTGCAAATATTAGATATTTCTACCACGCTTAAGACATCAATTTTCCAAATGAAGTCTTCCCAGTTAAAGACAATCTAACCCATGACCTGCTGCATATTGTTATCCAGGTACTTTTAAAACATAATGCTAGGGATTGAGGAGCTAAAAAATAAATTAGTCCATGTTGATTTTTCATGATGCATTTATTTTTCAGATCAGATTTTCGAACTACGTACTACTCGATTTTCAAAGATGGTTCCCCGTTCATGTTACAATATTCTATGTTCGTGCCGACAATTTTGGGTCAAGGGGATAGTGAACAGGTAGAATTATGGTACAAGCGGGCTTTGAATATGGAAATAATCGGTACATATGCCCAGGTGATTATAGACATTATTTTATTTATACTCATATTGTAAAGCTGAAGAGTTCGTTAGTTTAAAGGCGCTAATCCCAGAAACTATTGGTTCGAATTATGAAAATATTTTTGGATGTGGATTTACCGAAGATGACTTCAAGCTATAAAACTTGGAGCGAAATAACAGGGGGAAATGTGGTATAAACGGGAAAAATTATATAAATTACAAATCTATTTCGTTTGAAATAAATTCAAACGAACTTTTCATAGTGTTGTTACCCATTAAGCTACCATCTCCTACACGTCATCATCGGTTTCTTTAAACCTATTAATACATACACATCACGCGCAATATAATGTCAACCTTAACACTTAAGTATTTTTTTTTATATTGCAGACGGAGCTTGGCCACGGCACATTTATTCGAGGTTTGGAGACAGAAGCAGTTTACGATGAGAAAACAGAGGAGTTCATATTAAATAGTCCCAGTCTTAGTTCTTATAAGTGGTGGCCTGGAGGATGTAAGTAATTATGAAAATTATCGCAGCTTTTAAATCTCCTACATTATATTCTGAAAAACACAAACTATAAATCTATAGTAATATTAGAAATCGGTTGAGTGTGTTTCTTTGATATTTATCGAGGAAGATGTTCGGTTATATATCATTACGACCATACGAAAATGAATAATTGAAAAATGCGTGCTTTACGCCTTATTGCTCTGAAAATGAAAAATAGATTTATTTTTCAATGATTTTAAAAAATGCCCGCGACGGAACGCGGACGACGTATTGGGTAACAGCTAGTTAGTTAATACATTTTGATAAAATATACATGGAAATAATTACAAAGATTTTTTATTTACTTTGCAGTGGGACATACTACCAACTACTGCATAGTTATGGCTCAGCTCAAGATTAAAGGTAAACCCTATGGTATGCAGCCATTCATAGTTCAGATACGCGATGAAGAAACGCATATGCCCTTACCGGGAGTGAAGGTGGGAGAAATCGGAGCCAAGCTCGCTTTTAACACAGTTAACAATGGCTTTCTTGGCTTCGAGCATGTCAGGATACCAAGGAGACATATGCTTATGAGGTTCTCACAAGTGTCAAAGGTAGAAAACAGTTTATTATTGATTTTAATCCAATGCCTGTCATGTGTCGTGCACTTTAGTAAGTTATAAAAAGTCCCCAGGATTTTTCGTAACATTTTCTTTATGACAGAGTAGTACAGACAAGCATGGAACACTTTACGAAAGATGATCTCAACTATATCATATCTAAACAAGATGTGTTATTGACCTATTTTGGATATCTTCTCCCTTTAGATTTCGTAGTATCCACTGACTTACGGCATTACCATATGTTGATGGCGGATCGTGATTCAGATTTCGGCATTACTTATACTTTTGTTTATTCTTAAGAACATATTTTTTTTAGGATGGCAAGTTTACATCTTCAGCTAACCCCAAATTAGCCTATGGCACAATGGTGATGGTTCGGGTCACTATTGTAAATTCTGCTGCAACGTACCTGTCCCGGGCAGTTACAATTGCGATCAGATATTCAGCAGTTAGGCATCAGTCGAAGCTAAAGCAAAAGTTAGTATTTAGTTATATGTACAGGGATACCTCGTACATTTTATCTTTGATGACTAAATAATATTTAAATAAAACACTTTAACGGTTTAAAACGCGATATATTAGGGAGACAGTCTCCCCGTGACCACGGCTGCTGCAAAGCATCCGAAACGTCGTGCCGAAGTTTAAAATAATTTTCAAATAAGTTTAACTAATATATCGCGTTTTAAACCGTTAAAGTGTTTTATTTAAATGTGTACTACTCGCGTAAACTATGGACAGTATTTGACTTAATAATATCTTCGTGAATGGCTTAGATTTAATGAGATGCTGTAGTTAACGCGAGTAGTACGGATTAAAAAAAAAAAAAGTTTCAAACGCGCATTAGTTAAAAGCCACGGAGAGACTACCCGTAATCAGTTAAAATAATTTGAAAAATTATATCATAATGGTAAAGTATAATATTTAAAATTGTCTTCGTCTTGAATGTTTCCTTTTGACCGTAACAGCTAACAAAATATATTTTTTAGGTACCTAAAATTTTAATTATAACATTATTTAAATTTAACATACATTAGATATTGTTGCGTTTTAGAAGTCATTACAATATGTGGTGAAACGATTTCTTAGTGCATTTTCTGAAAAATTATTTTTACCAATGATTTTTAACTTTTTTCAGTGAACCGGAGCCACAAATCTTGGATTATGTTACACAACAACACAAATTGTTCATCGGTATTGCTACCAGCCACGCGTATATGTTTTGCTCTTATTGGCTATGGGATGTATACGTGATGTACCAAAAGGAGCAGAATGTCGGCAATTTTGATAGATTACCCGAGGTAAAACGCTATTTATAGCTTATACACAGTCATTTCTATTAAACATCAGCTACCAATTGAGCTACCGTGTCGTAAAATCACATGGTAGCTCAATTGGTAAGAGCAGCATGCAGGAACACTGTTGATGCTAGTTCAAGTTAGGACTTGATGTAGGCATCGTATTTTTTTAAAATCTAAATAGATTTATAATTAAATCTTTGCTATATGCTTTTTCAATTGAAATAAGCTTTATGTGAAATTACATTTTTCTTATAACCGACGACAGCATGCGGCATTTTCATCGAACATCAAGTATGATGTTCGATGAAAATGCGTTGTTGGCCTATTAGGTTTTAAAATAGAAAAAAGAAAGGAATTTCGTTATTCCTAACATATATTTTCCAGGCTAGGTCAAATTTCATTGATAAATGCAGAAAGGTCTTAAGAAACGTTCTGGAACTAGTGGTAATCAAATCCTTGACGTATTGATAATTCCGACTCATTTAAATAAAACACTTTTAACGGTTTGTACAAAATGTTTTGCCCTTGACCACGACTGCTGCAAAAACTGTCGGGCCGTAGTTAACTTACACATTATAGCGTATTAAGCAGTTAAAAGTGATTTATTTCCATTACTCAAGCACGTGTATGTAACCCACCTTTTAGCTTCACGCTCTTGCCTGCTGCTTAAAAGTGATAAGTTCAAGTGACTGCACGGGTCTAGTGGAAAAGTGCCGAATGTCCTGTGGGGGTCACGGGTTTATGATGTCTTCCAACTTACCACAATTGTACGGCATCTCCACTGCGACGTGCACCTACGAAGGAGAAAACACTGTTATGCTGTTGCAAACGGCCAGGTGGGCTTTTAATGATTGAAAACTTTAATATTTTTCACAGTTACGTCGGCCGTATTATGTTGCATAATTATGGTTCTACAATTTTAATAAATAAATGACATGATGGCACAATATAAATTAAAAAATGATTGTAAATAAAAAAAACTATAATCGATTTTTATTGCTTTTATTATGTTTGTATTAAATTAAATTTTCAGTAACTTAATTAAAAATGGCTTTAAGAAGCTTAAAGATGAAGGTGGCACGATAGGGTAGGTGATTGGGCAGCAGCTCGGTACGCTGTAGGTCGTAGATTCGAGTTCTGCCTTGTCAACTTTTTGTTTACAATTTTAAAAACATCATCATATCAACATTCAAGCGTTTTGTTAAGTTCACTTTATGTGAACTAAACACAACACTTTTAACGGTTTAAAACGCGAAATGTATTAGTTAACTAATTTACATTTAATTTTATATTTCGCGTTTTAAACAGTGAAAAGAGTTGTTTTTAAGTTTTTTTAACATAATCAGAGTTATTTCTTTATTACGTATAGGGCGTTAGTAAAAGCGTGGGAGCTTGGAAGTCGTGGTCGTCCCTTTAGTCCTACGATGTCATATTTCGCTGAAAAAAATGTACCATCGAAGTGGGACAGTTCCTTGGAGGGAATTCTTAATGCCTTCCAAAAGGTGTCAATAGGGTACGTATTTAGGAATCAAGTATTTTTATTTATTACTTTAAGATTGTCACACATACGTATTGCTTCGTATAACGTATAATAGTAATACGTATAACATCGATCGGTATGGGTAAAATAAAACTGATTAGCATCGAATAAAAATCACGATCGATCCTTCTAAAAAATAAAATCGCATTAAAAAAATAATCTTCTCACATATATTTTTTTATAGAAAGTTGTCATCAAGCGTTTCAAGTCTACAAGAATATACGAAGTCAGGTTTATCAGCTGAAGATGCTTGGAACAAAGCATCTGTCCAATTAATTGGTGCAGCAGAGGTAAAAAATATAATTTACCATTAAACAAAACTTTTAACGGTTTGAAACGCGAAATATATTAGTTAACGTAAACTTTTCTTAACTAGAGCCCGAATACCGACGCAACGAAAGAGATGACGCTAGCGTAGCAAGTAGCGCAAACTCTACTTTGTCCTTAAGGATTCCATCTTCAGTCCCTCCGTGATCATAGCTGCTGCAAAGCATCCGAAATGTTGGGTCGTAGTTAAATAAAATTGTAAACAAGTTAACTAATATATTTCTCGTTTAAAACCGTTGAAAGTGTTTTCTTAATGTGTACTCGCATAAATTAGAGTACTTATTTACCATAAATCAACTGGTAGTAAAAATATAGCAAAAATCTATGTGACTCAATAGCTATTTTTTATTACAGGCATGGGGTCGAGCTGTGGTCCTATCAATATACAAGTCGGAAATCGAAAGATACGGACAGACAGTGTCGCCCGCTTTGAAGTCTGTGCTCTTTGACTTAGTGGAGTTGTACTATGTACATCTTACTCTCGAGAAAATGGGAGATTTATTACTGGTTAGTAGTGTTAAGGAAATAATGTGACCGTTTTATTATTTGAGGAACGTCATTTATCATGCACTAGTTTCGTCCAACGTGGGGTCGATTCCCACCGGGTCCAATATTTTCTAATAAATTTAAAATTTTTATGAAACATGTTGGACTTTCTTTGGAAATCTGGATATTAAATGGGTATATCGAAATTCCGTGCGGGTCACGTACCACCACAGATGGAAAAGCCGTGAAGTTTAATGAGGTTTCAGTCTGTGGATTCCGATTATCCAAAGTCAATATTCCGAATATCCAAAGTCCAAACAGGTCGACGGCGCATATTGTTTAGATGCTATGCATCTTTGTCTGTCCTTTATCTTGAAAACTAAAATGGAAACATATATTATGTATTAGTAATTTTTAAACTGTTTACTTGCATTGTCTCAATTTTGAGACAATTAGACACTTTTCCAAAAATACATTTATCATAGGTAACTTCTTGCGTTGTCTTATTGTGTGAAATCCCGTTTCCCCCTCGTGGGGCATTTGGCGAACGGATTTTTGTGTCCGTTTCACTGATGCGCTCTTTAACATGCAAGTAGTTGATCAGACTTCTATGCCCTGCCCGACCGAAACAATTTTTTGTTTCCCTGGGATTCGAACCCAGGACCTCTCGCGCTTGGCGCTACGCTAGGCAATACGTTTCTCCATTTAAGTACAGAGGCGGTCAAAAAAGGCGTTGTCTTATTGTTTTTATTTATTTCAGTACACGCAGTTATCAGAAAAGGATGTAGTTAGCTTACGTAAAAAATACGAGGACCTATTGGAAAAAATTCGGCCCAACGCAATTGGATTGGTGGATGCCTTCGACTACAGGGACGAGGTTTGTTAATTTATCTAAACCAAAAAATATCGACAGCGCATCTGGTTTAGATGATAAAGGCTGGGGAATTTCACTTCCCAAGTGAACCTTGCTTCCTTCCTTGCTTGCCTGTTCTCCTAGAGGACCATACCATTTTTTTAATTATCTATAATTAAAAAAATGGTAAACAATATTGTTAGCTAAATTTTTTCAATTGTATATTGACAACACACGTAGGCATAAAAGACATTATTTATACTGTCTTTGAGTCGACCTCTATTCCATACCAATGTAACTGCAACGCGATCTTTGTCCATATGATTAGATATAGTTATGCAATTCAATACGATAATATTTTAAAACACTTTCGATTGTTTAAAACACGACAAAACAGTAATTTCATTGTTTTAACTAGCCCTGACATCGGGGGGTAGTTAAAACATTGTTAATAAGTATAACTAATATATTTCGCGTTTCAAACCGTTAAAAATGTTTTAATGGTAACTACTCGCGTAAACTACACTATACACCATTCTTAATTATCCTTTTTTTACAGGTTCTTAACTCAACATTAGGCTCCTATGACGGATTTGCATATGAGCGACTAATGACGGAAGCAATGAAGAGTCCCCTAAATGCAGAACCAGTTAATCAAAGTTTCCATAAATATATAAAACCCTTGATGAAAGGAAAGCTTTAATAATCTTAAATGTCAGCGATAGAGTATACCATTTTTTGTTGAAATTATATTTTTTGTTATGTTTATTGGAGGTTATTGGTGTTTACATATTATAATCTTTTTTACCCTTTCTGTTTTTTGTCATTATTACCTACAGACTGAAAACAGAGCTCGATTACATTTTACAGCTTCTTCACCTATGTTCCTACTTCGTATCACCCATTCCGTCTCTAGATATTTAGAGGTAGTCTAGGATATTTCAGAAAAAGTATAAATTTATTTTAGAAACATGTTGGATCTGGTGGCAATCGAACCCACGACCCAACGATTACAATTTATTTGCCATTGGACCGTCAAGGCAGTTAAAAATGTAGATTATAAAAATCCGTTGCAGTAATAATAAATAGTGAAAAGTTTAAAATAGCTCTGACAAAGAAAATATGTGTGTATGTTTGTTGGTTTGAATGCGCACTCTCACAACTACTACATGGAATTGCAAGTATATTTATGTTGTTTAGAACATTTATGAAGAAAAACATCACGTTGCGTTTGGACGCAACGTGATGTTTTTCTATTCTATTATTGGTAATAGCAAAGATACAGTGGAAAATGTAAAAAAAGAACTTGGAAATTGTTCATCCTTGAGGGTTTCCGTTGCAAAAACAACACATCAAAAAATAAGTATAAAATAACGATTCCTATTTCAATAAAACACTTTAACGGTTTAAAACACGATATATTAGTTAAACTTATTTGGAAATGATTTTTAACTTCGGCCCGACGTTTCGGATGCTTTGCAGCAGCCGTGGTCACGGGGAGACAACTAATATATCGCGTTTTAAACCGTTAAAGTGTTTTATTTAAATGTGTACTACTCATGTATACTATAGACAGTATTTAATAACGATTCCTCTTTAAATAATTTACAACCCACAAACGCGGCCTTCTCCAGCGTGTATTGACGGGAACGGTGTAGTTGGCGGCCCGGACCACCGGTGGGTTCGGATGCAAGGCGGCTTTTTTAAAGAAGCGTTCGGACGTTATTTATGTCTATCTATTAATATTAACTTGCAATAACGACGAGATGCGACCGATGTCGTGGTTAACATCTGTGATTTATAAATTGATTATAGGTATTTTGAAAAAAAAAGTTTCGATGCCCAAAATATCTATTCCATGTGGACGAAGTTGCTGGCATAGCTAAATAAAGAAATAAATACAGAAATTCAATAAATGACTCGTTAACAAATATGTTTAATGAAAAAGTGCCTTTAAAAAGAAATTAAGAGCAAGAGTATCCGTTACTTTTTCGATCTATCGAATATCAATAAAGATGGTGTTTTAAAACTAGAGGTCCTATAAAAATCTGTTAATGTATTTAATGTTTCCTGATGAACTCATAAATTAAACAAACTCTGCCTGCGTGATGTCTATAATTTATGTTGCTTGATTATTTATCGCTAGCAACCTTGTTAATTGGGACTGCCCCGTTATTGGGGTATATATTAAACTAGCTGTATCAGCGACTTCGCCCGTCTAGAATAGTTATTATGGGCAACAAAAATTGATTTTTCTAAACCCCATCACGCGCATCTCGTCGTTCTTGCAAGTTAATTTCAAAATATAGACACATAAACTCCGACATTTTTTTGAGTCGTTTCAAGAGGAATTATTCTTTGATACATATGATGTTTTGTACTCAAAACACTTGAACAGTTTTTGCAGCGTTCGCATCGGAAACATGGATAATTTTCCCTGTTCTTACCACATTTTCCGTTTTTTATTCGCTCCTATTTATCAGAGCGATGTTTTTCTCCTTGTTATCAACACAAAAATAATTTTTCAATTCGGACCAGTAGTTCCCGAGATTAGCGCTCAAACATACAAACTCATCAGCTTTATATATTAGTATAGATTGCAATATGTACCTTAAACGGATATAGTATACAAGGGGATATTATTTATTTTACTATTATGATCAACTATAATGCCTTCCAGCAGTCGGGTATCTATAAAAATACTATTTATTACCTACACTTCATATGTTATTTAATACCTTTGCGAGTTGTTTACGTTCCTTATAGCTCATATTTTGTTGCCAACTTAAAAAACAGATCATGATTAAATGAAACGTGTTTTATGTTATCTTAACTAAATCTAAATACTTGCCTACAGTTAAAATTGGCATGAATCATCGAGTGAGCCATTTTTTAGATACTAACTTTGTTTTTCAAGGTTACTCGTGGTTATTTTTTTCCGAAACTTGTGCATCCGAAACATCGGGTTGCAGTTAAAATTAATGGTACCGTGACAAACTATGGCATGACTCGGCAAGATAAAAAAAGGATTACAATCATTAAAAAGATTACAGTAAGTGCGATGTTAAGGCAAGGAAAGGAAATAATGTCCTGACATTATTTTATTAACAAAGCTTGGTTTTGTTTTACTGAAGTCGGATTCACGTGAAAATAGTTATAGTCGTTTAGATAGCTTTAATTTCTGAAAATAAAATAAGTTACAGCGTGATATATATAAACAAAATGGTTTAATTGTTAGAAAATCATTACATAATACTATAAAGATTTATTTTTATTGCATTACAAAATTATTTACCTTTACAAGTTATCCTGTATCTGAAGTCGTCGGCGAAAGTTAGTAAATTAGTAATTACATGATGTATATTAGTTAAATATTTTGGAATTTATTTAACTACGACCCAGCGTTTCGGATGCCTCGCAACGACCACGGCCACGTAGTTTTCAAATAACATTAACTCATATACATCGCGTATTAAACCGTTAAAGTGTTTTATTCAAATGTGTACTACTCGCGTAAACCACAGACAGTATTTAATAATCCAATATTTCTTTATAAACGGACAAATTTTTCTTTATTAATAAATGTAAAATGTGGTACTTTCTATGCGGGCTACTTCTCAAATGTTAATATAGTATCGAATGAATAAATTCATAAAATAAAATTTATGAGGTCTCGGGATTTCTTATTGATTAAAAAACATCGGAACTAGATCTAACATTTTTATTTCTTAATTATGGTAATATTCTCATGTTCTTATTGATGTTACACTAAGTGACTATAAATACATAGATTTTTGTACGTAAGGAAATGATGCGGTACGACAATTTAAAACTCTTGTTAATTTTACTGTTTTTACTATTGTAAAATAATCTAAACATTGAAAGACTGATACATCAGTACACTGATATTGTTTTAATATATAAGGGATGTAAGTCGTGAAGAACCTACAAGAGTCACATATAGGACTTAGAAGAAGTATTTACTGGAAGGAGGCTTTCAAACGACATAACTGAAACAAAATATAAGCTTTTTTTAATCATAGAGGACAGACAAGCAAGACCTATTTTGGCTTTGGATTGGCGACTTCACGCCTTTTTTATCTGTGGTGGTTCGTCACCCGGACGAAATTTCGATATTCCTATCACCCATTTAAAAGTCACACTTCCAGACGAAGTCCAACATGTTTCAGAAAAATTATAAATTTATTTGAAAAAGTTTGAAGCCACGACCCGTTGATTATCAGCCGTACATTGCTACCACCACCAACGAGCGCCTCGCAATAAATAATTATCTATTTAGTGATTTTAGGATCGAGATGTCGATTTACGTGTTTTGTTAAAATTTAGCTATACTAATTAAGTACATCTAATAAAAGCGTCACTTTACAAGTACATCTACAAAGAATGTTCAAATAATAGTTTTTATCATCATCACGACTTCATACGGTACCTTTTGATAGTCCATTATGTAGATTCATTACCGTTTAAGGTCAGTTTTTGTAATAAGAGATATTGCGATAACTGATATTAATATCAAGATATGGTGTCAGAACAGTTAAGATGACCGGGTCGTAAGTTTCGATAGTAAAAATATGGATGTAGTTAAAGTTCAAAGTATTGCAAAAGCCTTCAGATTTTTATAGTCAGATGTGCTTTTTCTTCTATCTTGGCAAAAGATCACAACAAATTTGGCCGATTTCAAACCACAGATAGAACCACACAGTAGAGAACTAGCGTTGTCCTTTTATAGAGTGTAGTCGTTGCCACAGATGACACAGAGTTTAAGATTCATTAAAAGTCAAACTAAAGAAATTGTAATCTGTGCATATGTGTAAATTCTTTTTAAGGAATTTTAATTTTGGCATAAAATTGTGGTTTTTACTAAGTGATTGTGAGGTAATTCATTAGTTTAATATATAGTCCAGTGTCTCGGGGCGTTTTTAGTGTGACTCAATATAGATCTTGTGAGAAAATCACGATTTCATGTAAAAATGTCAAGTAAGAGAAAATACACTAAGAGATATATAATTTAGTTTCCTAGCCATAAAATTTGCACACCTACAGAGGGGGCAGCTCAATCCACTACAGGCCAATTTTAACTAAATGTAGTGTAGATAATATTATAAAATGTGCTTATAAACGAAGTTGGTAAATCGTTGCAAAATACAAATACATTCGAAAACCTTAATATTTTTCACGTGATATTGTACACGATGGCACTATATAAATTAAAAATCGACACAGAACAACAGCACGGAACTCTACGGATGTCGGTTCAAGTCCTGCCCGTGCCCATTAAAACTATTTAAAAAGAGCTTAAGAATCCGTTGTGTACTTTCCGATGGAAGGTAAAACACCAGAGACTGATATAACATTTGCACAAAACACATCTGAACGTCCACAGATTGAAAACGCAAAGCGACTTCACGGTGTTTTTTTATCATTTCGTGATTCGGACAAAATTTTGATATTCCTACTAACATTTAATATCCAAATTGACAAAAGAAAATATTGTTATATTTTCCACATTTCCCAATGTTTCTTCACCCATAGTGGGCATTTATATTTTTGGGCTATAAATGCTCTAACCAACTCAAAATGTTTTTCAAATTTAACTAATAGTTTAAATAAAACACTTTAACGGTTTAAAACGCGATATATTAGTTAAACTTATTTGAAAATGATTTTTAACTTCGGCCCGACGTTTCGGATGCTTTGCAGCAGCCGTGGTCACGGGGAGACTGGTCGTGGTCACGTCGGGCCGAAGTTAAAAATCATTTTCAAATAAGTTTAACTAATATATCGCGTTTTAAACCGTTAAAGTGTTTTATTTAAATGTGTACTACTCACGTAAACTATAGACAGTATTTAATTAACTAATAGTTCCTGAAATTAACGCAATCAAACGAACACACTCTTCGGCTTTATACTATTAGTATAGATCTATTTTTTTTTAATTCTTTCAGACCGTAAGATAAAATAGATAGATCAAACTGTTTAACCGCCATTAGTGTTAAAACCTGTCAACAAAATTACGAAACAAGATTCTTTTTTCTTTAATATCATTATACAGCCAGGTAGGTCAGTTTAATAAGTCGTAACTAAAAAAACTGATATTGTGCTTCATATTTTGATAGATTTGATAGATAGAACTCACAAGTAGGTAATTGGTGTTTTTTTAAATGTTATAATATAGTGATAGCTTTGTCTTCTTTAATTTTTTTATATTATTTTAAATGTTTTTGTTTGTTCTTTCGTAAAATATTATCAACATCTCAATTTTGAATAATATGTTATTAATGTAAGTAATGAGGTGAATCAAACAAATAAATAGTATAAAACTTTTTATTTATTTTCTATGCGTATAAAATTAAATTATTTTCAATAAATTAAGACAGTAAATAACTTCGAGGCTGCAAGTACATCAAGACAAGTAGTAAACAAGTCGTCTTGGTGTCTTTGCTATGAAACACCTTAAAGAGTTTGAGCATTAGCTTGAGCAGTGCCGAAACCATTGGTGTTTGCAGAAGAGTTCACGACTCTGTAACCCGCGTAGAGGCCCTGGGTGTTGGCAGAGGAAGACGCAGAACCGTGGCCCGAAGTTTGCGCGTTGGCCACAGTGCGTGACCCGTAAGGACCATAGTTCGTTCTCCAAGAACCAAAATGTGCCCCATTGTTAGCTGAAGACGAAGCTGATCCATAGCCGTTACTGGTCGCTGTTGATTTCATTCCCATAGCACTAATATCGGCGTTGGCATTAGCATTTCCGCTACCAAAACCATTGCTATTGGCTGTAGATTTTGCTGAACCGAGTCCGGTGTTAGCAACGGAATTTGCTGATCCAAAACCGTGGGTGTTAGCATTTGATTTAGCATAGCTTGGTTCATAACTGTATGTTTTCAAGGCAGAGTTGTTGATACCATCGTTGACGTGTGCGTTAGCTACGGCAGATCCTTGTCCTTGTGTGTCAGCTGATGATTGTGCAGTTCCGTGGCCGGCATTTGTGTGAGCAGTAGATTTAGCTGATCCACCGTTGGCATGGCTTGAAGCTTGAGCTTTTCCAAGTGGCGAAGGGTTATCGTAGAGCATGCCAAATCGCCAAGAAATACCTTTTGGCTCTGTGGTTTTTGCAGAGGCAATTGCGTTGTTCACATCTGCATTCGATGAGGCTGACCCGAAGCCCCTTGTGTTGGCTGAAGAAATAGCTGATTCATAAGCGTTGTTAACAGAGGAAGAAGCGGAACCATATCCACCGTTGGTTTGCGATTGGGCAGAGGTCATACCTAGTCCTCCCTGAGACCTGAAGTTAGATGGCCCTTGGCCTTGTGTTCTGGCCGAGGTTATTGTAGATCCGTGAGCATTATTAGCTGTGGCGGATGCGGAACCCTGTCCTGAATAAATGTTTGCGTTTGAATTGGTGACACCGTAGTTTCCGGTACCTCGCGTCTGGGCAGACGATTGTGCTGATCCGGAAGCATCGGTACTTGCTGATGAAATTGATGATTCTGAATCACCATTCAGTACCGCCGATGACTCAGCTTTAATCTGTCCCATAGGTAACTGGTACCTTATTTGGGGGTGGTCAAAGTTTTGTTCATACGATAAAATTGTGGCCGGTTGGGGCAATTCATAGTAAAAGATAGGTGCATTTTGAGCTTCTGCTACAGCTTTAGCTACTCCGAATTGGGGTGAACCGGGACCGTCGTAGACTTCAGCGTTTGCTACAGCCTGACCAGGTATAGCTTCACCAATACCAATATTTCTCGCGATCTGGTTGTTATCGGATAACGCAGTGCCATAAGCGTTAAGAACTTCCCCATTGATCGTGGCAGTACTTGCGGCCCTTCCACCGTATCCATTAGTATAGCCTTGGCCCATCGAGAACTCGCGTCCATCACGGTATAAATAACCTACAAAAAAATAAAATCTCTATATTACAAAATTACTATTTTGATAATTGTATTTGTGTCATTACATATATAATGAGGAAGTAATTATAAAAACCGAATTAATTTTTAAGAATAAAATACTTTTTATAGTTATTCTGTGTAATTAATATGTGGTTCTCACCGTTTATAAGGGCCGGGCTACACTGCGCGAGTGTAACACAAGCCAAGGCTACAATGAACTTGGCCGCCATGTTGTGGAGTAGATACGAAGAGATGAAGATCACTTGTCGAGTGGATGCAGAGAGAGCATTTCTCCGCGTTTATATACAAAGAAAGCATCCACCACTCCTTCGCTAACAGCCGAACTTCACCTAGAAACGTTTCCTTGCTCGTAAATTTCGGCGATTTGTTACGGTAGATTAATGAGCTAGTTCAATCGAGATATTAGCGAATGATTTTTATGACAGGTTGACGTTACTTGCAAATCCACCGAGCGGTGCAATGACCGAATAGAATGGTATTAATGAAACATTACTAATTGACTTTTTGAAACATTAAATTTTAACATGTTATTGCACATGAAGGCACTATATAATTAAAAATCGAATATAAATTAAATGGAAAAAATGTTCGACTCGGGCAGGACTTGAACCGGCATCCCATATTTCCGTTTTTGTCTACCGACCTCCCCACCCCCCCAAAACCCCCCCCCCGAGAAAAAAATTTTTAAAATTTTTTTTTGTTTTTAAAACAATTTGCCTTTTAAAAAAAAAATGTTATATGAAAAAAATATATATTTCCCAAATTTTTTTGTACTACATTTAAAACAAGTCTTGTTGTATCATAGGATATGCCTAGATCAAACAGTTACAAAAGGTTGTCTGATCTGTTCCATACTTATAGCTTTAGGCGCTATGGTTCAATATAAACTGAATTAAAAACTAATGAAATATAATAAAATTAATTCCCATAAATTTTACGGATACTTAAAAATACTCATTCATTTTTACGACAACCATACAAAAATTGCGCCTGTCTTGAATATAATATGCAGGTACGTAAAAAAATATAGGTATAAAAAAGTGCTTAAATAATCGTTAATTTTAAAGCTGTATCTTTGTGGTAATAATAAGGATTAAAGTGAAAAAAACACCTCGTCTAGAGATTGGACTTAGTATTACTACGTAGAAATAAAAAACATAGACAGATTTGAAAACTTTAATATTTTTTGACATGTTATTGCACATGAAGGCTCTATATAATTTTGAAAGGAACGCTGACGATGCCGGTTCAAGTCCTGCCCGAGTCGAAATTTTTTTTCAATTTAATTTCTGATTTTTAAAATACATAGACAGATTACTTTTTAATTCTGGTTGATATAATCCTGTTTTTTATTATGGTTCTAGATCGGTCGAGAATTTCTAATTGTTTTTTTTTTCTTACTCCTTGGCAGCAATTATTATTAACCGTAAATCTAGGTACATTATTAAATGGAAAACTTAGACTTATAATTGGATATTCGTATCAGAGGTATCCTAATAAAATTTCACTTAGATAAAATGAAGAACTAAAAAATAAAATACTTATAAGTAAATACTGTCTATAGTTCACGCGAGTAGTACACATTTAAATAAAACACTTTAACGGTTTAAAACGCGATATATTAGTTAAACTTATATGAAAATATCTCCCCGTGACCACGGCTGCTGCAAAGCATCCGAAACGTCGGGCCGAAGTTAAAAATCATTTTCAAATAAGTTTAACTAATATATCGCGTTTTAAACCGCTAAAGTGTTTTATTTAAATACTTATAAGTAAATAATAAAATGCTTAATTATTATTCTTAGTTTTGCGATTCTTAACTGGTTTCTGACAATATTTCTTTGCAATTTCAATTTCTTTTTGACTTTCACTGTCATTAGATCTGGAATTATTCTTAAATTATTATGACATTGACATTGTTACATGTCATGTTCAAAATATCTAAGACACAGAGTAATGTTGCAAAGGAGAACTATTGAAGCTATGATTTATATGATGCTATTTATTGTTGAAGAGTAATCGCGAATCTATCTAGTATTTTTTTAATAAAACACTTTAACGGTTTTAACTAATATATGTCGCGTTTTAAACCGTTAAAGTGTTTTATTTAAATGTGTACTACTCGTGTAAACTACAGATAGTATATACTAGTGATTGTCAATATAAAAGTTTAGCTTCTTCTAAGCATCCTTATAAAACGGGAATAGTAAGAAATATGCCATATTAAAGACAAAATATAAGTTTTTTTTTATTAAGTATATCGTATAATTGATTTACTTCAAGTCTGTTTATACATATTTTTTACTGGCCAGTATCGGTTTACATACAGACACTATTTACATAGCTACCAAGTAAATATAGTCTGTAGTTTACGCGAGTAGTACATATTAAAATGAAACACTTACAACGGTGTCAAAGTCGAAATATATTTATTTGTGTGGTGACGCGGAAACGTGGTGGCGTATTCAAAACGAGTAAAAAATTACTTTAAGTATTATAATATGTCGCGTTTAAAAACTGTTAGAGTTTGGTTTAAGTCGACTAGCTATCTGTAAAAATTATAACACATTGCTCTGTGCAATATGCAAATGGTAAAATGGCTGGCCATTTATTTTTCTGTCGTCTTGGCAACCATTAATTATTTATTGCGCCTCCTAGTTGGTTGATCGATGACCGTAATAACCGATACGAAACTAGACTTACCTACTTACGTTTAATTCAATTTCTTTTTCGAAAGTGGTTTTTGCATTTTATTAGGTTTAGTGTTATAAAATACCTCGTTACTTAAATTGAAATATTAAATTATTTTTTCGTACTAATTTAAAAACTACACGATCGTATAGAAAATATTTTATTTATTAATAAATATTCAAACTAAGGTATAAGTACTATATAATATAATCACTATTTTATTAAAGTAAAAAAGAAAAAAAAAACAAAAGAATCTGACAGCGGTGGGATTCGAACCCACGCCCTTTCGGACTGGTGCCTAAAACCAGCGCCTTAGACCACTCGGCCACGCTGCCGTTGCACAATTGAGTTGAAATAGTGATATATATATTCACTCATTGCTGAGTAACGAAATATTGAACTACATATATTAAAAAATAATTGAAATAAAACCTATATTATACTTTTTATTGAGTTAATTTTAATAGACATAATATGTAGATATATAATTATAACCATAATTGTCATAAAAGGGGCAAAATTATTATACAATACTACAATTACGTACTATATGTTTAAGAGAACAAATATCTGATAGCAATTGCAATAGCTTCTGGCATATTTATATCAAATAATTTTAACAATTCTTGCTGATAATATAATAATTTATCTTTTAACGGTTGGTCTAATGAATCATAGTCAATAAATGGCCATAATTAACGGATGACCCCGTTCTATCCCCACCGGGCTCAACATGTTTCTAATGAAATACTGTCTATAGTTCACGCGAGTAGTACACATTAAAAAAAAACACTTTAACGGTTTAAAACGCCATAAATTAGTTAAACTATTTGAAAATATTTTCGTTTCGGCCCGACGTTTCGGATGCTTTGCAGCAGCTGTGGTCACGGGGAGATGGGGTTTTTTTCAAATAAGTTTAACTAATATATCGCGTTTTAAACCGTTAAAGTGTTTTATTTAAATGTCTCTGATGAATATATAATATCATTATAAGATTTGGCCTTTGTAATCTCGACATTAAATGGGTGGGAATATCAAAATTCCGAGCGGGTCACAATTAACCTTCGGATAGATGGAAAAAACAAGGAACATTCACATAATTCAGAAGAAAAAATATGTCGACATCTTGTCAAGATTTATCTAATAAACTCCATGCTTGACTTGATCTTGTTTAATTTTAAAGTTGTTAAAAATATATATATATTCAAAAATTATCAACAGGAAAAATGTTTGCTTGAGCAGGGCAAAAAAGTCTAATCAAATACTTGTCTGTAAAACTGATCCGCGAGACGGATACAGTAATGTGTTCCCCCTATACCCTACATGGGGGGAATGGGATTTAACATTAAGGCTGTTCTGTAATTTTTATTCCGGTGTAAATAAAACAAACTTTATCTTATTGACCTGTATATTTATCTAAGTGTAAAGGAGCGTATTTACAAGGTGGACATCAATATAATATTTATGTTTCTCTTAGTCTAAACTTATTTATTAGTAGTTTAAAGATAAAATTGCTTCTTTTATTTCATTGCCTCTTTATTTATACGTAAGTCGGCGCAAATGATTTTAGGTTATGGAGATTTTCCATATCGCAAAAAGTAAATTTGTAGGTTCCTCAGTGGTAACATAAAAAGGCACTGAAATAATAAACTTTATTGGCTGCCAATATTAGTCGATAGTAAAGAATCAATTACGGAAAATTACAAATTAAAAATGTCAGCCGTACATACAATGTATAATAAAAAAAAGTGTTCTTCTTCCATAGGCCATTGTTTGCGTAAAACGGAAAGTCAACAAAACTACAGATACATGATGTGAAAAATTGCTAACTCTAGTTTATTAAAATTTAACAATATAATATGTAGTTGTGAAATGCTTTAGTCAACATTAGAGTGAATAATGTCTGTAGTTTACAAGTTTTATACAGTAAATAAATCACTTCTAACGGTCTCAAATGCGAAATATTACTGTTAATCCGTCATCAGTAGCATCAAGTTGCAGTTAAAAATAAATTAACGTATATAAATCGTATCTTAGACCGTTAGAAGTGATTTACTACGGATTAATTTATATAGTTGCTGTTAATTAGAGCAGGTTTTTTAGGATCTAATAGCTGCGTGTTTGTTTAGCATAATTAAATAACTGTCTGTTTATTTGTTAGCTTACTTCATGTATTTATAAATTACATAATTAGTCCTAGAACAATTTACAATTACAATTTACATATTCTTACACTATGTGAGTGATGAATCGGGTTATTGATTTAGGAATGTATAACTTCCAAATATTTCAACATGTTTGAACATAGAAACAGACCAATTTATATTAAAAGGACTGAAAATTTGTTACTTTAAAAATTGATTAGTGCTATACTTTAAATATTATACAGTTAATATATAAAATTAGCATATTACATACCAATAGGCACACGAACAATGCCCTTATAATTATTAACTGCTAATTTAAATTACAATAAATTAAAAGACAACTGCCCAAAGCTATATGCATGCTCAGATCCACCTAGAACTACGACCTTAAATAGAAATTCAAACACTCCTTCGTTTACGTTATTATTGTATAAACAACTTAGATGGCCATGATTATGTAAACGGCAGAAAGCTCACTAAATGTTCTAGAGTAAAAAACGTCAGTAAAAATAGATGGCACAAGTCACATGTTAAAAATAAAGACTGGTTCGCACAACCTAGTTTATAAATTATGTATAAATAGTAAATAAGAAATGAATATCACTTTCGTGACAAGCACAAATGTGACCACTAAAAGAAGTTTTAGATAGTATAAATGTCCCCACAATTAGCATATAACATAATAAAGAACTAATCACATAGTTACGGTGTTACAATCTACCCTAAATATAGTTTATACGATAGAGGAACATATAAAATAAGGTATAAAATATTTAGTAAAACGTCAGACATCATATTCGTAGTTCCTCAGCTAGCAAGAGCAATTTATATAATGAAAATCATAAAAAGTACAAATTCAATTTATTGGTGCGTCATGAGATGATACACAAAACATGAAAATGTATAAAAACCACATCCTATTGATCATTCAGACTTGGACCTGTCAAAGTACATCAAATTCGTTGATTTGATACTTGGCACAAAGATCTGACCTACGTCAACACTTTAAATTCCTTTTGATTTTGCTCTTACCGCTGAAAGATTTATCTATAGAATAATAAGTAATATATAGGAGAATTCTAAATTCCAACATAAAATTCTGTTTATTTAGCGAAATGAATTATAGCAAAAACGAACTGCCATAACTTCCCATACTTATATAGGAAATATTAATCGTTACTTATATATTGTAGTTCTGATTTTATGTACAAAATTTGTTTCCATTACAATAGGAAATAGATAATCATAAGATTTCGAGATGGTTTTCCAACATTTATACCTCAGTAAAAATAAGTCATCCAGTAGAAATATGTAAATATAAGAGAGGGTTGCCTATAAAAGCTGTTTGTCTCCTTATAAACACAGACATTTTCCCCACCACGATAACGTCATTGTGTGAAAAAGACAATAGTGCCTAGTGCTAAATCCTGTTGTGTTTAAAGGAGACCATAGCCATATAGGACAAACAAGATATGGACGACTAACCATAGACTATAGTATAGTCTATGGTAAACTCTACAGCACAATAATTGTCGTTGGCAAATGTACAATTAAAAGAAGCGAATGGCACATTCATTTTATACAGAAACATTACAAGATTCCACTCAAATACAAAGATACACCCCACGTTGGTCTCGCTTAAGAATTAGCCTAATATCGAGACGTCCACGATAGGTACATATTTGGTCTTAATTATTGATATAATTTATTTATGCTCACGCATAATTCGATTTGAAACAACATTAAAATGTACATGGTTTGTACAGAAAAGTACAATCAGTACAAATGCTGTAAATTTTATTTGTAAGAAAACCGACCACAGAACATATTTTGCCACAGATAAACTAAAACTAGTCGCCGAGATGTAAAGAAATGTGTGTTTACTGTTTCTCAATTAAAATATAGGTGGCATTGAATGTTCTGTGTCGTCTCACGCGAAGAATTCCCGATTGTTGTGACCCTTGCCGTACGATGCTGCCGCCGGGCTTCTCTTTGGCTCGTCCAATGCATAGGACCCTTCGTCCTTCTTCCTCATACGGTATACTATGAACATCACTACCAGAATCGCGCATAGCAATCCTACTACTGCTCCACCGATGACGGCTGAAATTGTGAAATGAAGATTATTCATTGCTATTATAAAATAGAGGATTATTTGAAGAATATTTAATTTTCTTGTGAGATCAAGTAACTTTAAAAATCGCTTTAAAAACGACGAAGTTATCCGCGAACAAACATATAAATATATGAATCTAATTCAGAACCTGATATCGGTTAAAAATGTTATTAATACCCACCAGCTAGTATGCCCGGTTGAGCGAAGAAGCTGGTCGCGCGGTCCTCGTGTGGCGTATCCATGATGACCACGCTGCTGTCCGCCGGTCGCGTTTCTGGCTCCAAGTTTGATCCTGCTTGGCTTTGATCCTGAAAATTACAATCGCGTTTTATGTAACGACAAACAACTAATTTCCCTATAGCATCAATTTCCTTGTGTTGATTCAATAACTGTCATGTTTTCTGTGTTTCCATTCGACTCGCCTACGTCTAGAGGTTCTGGATTTTGAAGTCATATTCACAGTTTCACGGGTTAAAAACAAAAGAGGTTAAAATTACATTTACTATCAGTTCTGTTGAATTCTTTGTTATATAGATTATAGGTTCTGTGAGTTTGAGGGCATATACTCGTCAATAAAACCAATTAATGAAAAAAAACAGTAGTTCTTGGTCTCATGTTTTACAGTGGGATTTACTTACAACGGTCTCTCCAGATATATTGAAGTCCACAGGGTCTGGGCGCGAGGGCTGGTTCTCCCCCGCGCCGCGCTGCTCTAAGTCGCCTTCGCTCGGGTTGCCCGATAGAATTCTCGCTGAAATTTTAAATAGAAAAATGTAAGTTTTTATCTTGGTCTCTTAAAAAATTATTAAATTATAAAAAATTACAATCTGCAACAATACCGCAAGTTCAGATTTATCTTGTTTGATATCTAAATATTATTTGTATAGAGAAAATGTGGGACGAAGTCGATTAGAACGTGGTGGCACAAGCCTTTGATGATACAATATTTTAGAAAACAGAAATATAACACTCATAAGACATCAAAAGCACTTGATGATGACTAAACAACACTAATTATGATTTGATGATTACAAAGTTAGGCTAATTTAGAAGTATTAAATACAGAAATTTAAGAACTAACAAAATTGCATTGACACTAAAGGGTACGCGAAAAAAGAAAACATGCGATACCGAAACATCTAGAACATGAAGTATACAACAAAAATGTTTTAAATCATGCTTTATTTGTAAAATAATTGCATTTAATGATAAAATTGCCTAAATTCTGGAACTTACCAAAATCCCACGCGTTAACGTAAGAACAAAGTATACTCAAATGCTGTACAAACAGTACAAAACGTCATGGAACATTGAAATGATTATTGGTTTATTGCGTTAAAGTTAGAAGGAAACTGAGGCCAGAATAACCTACTTGCGATAAAATGTTTGCATTATGAATATTGTGATAAAAATTTGAATTGTAAAGTTGCTTTGGTCATTAAGGTCAATAAAATTCAGACTTGGTCATCTCCAATTATGACAATTAGCATCTCTATCTTTACCAACCCAATTAAGATTATTAATAAATTGAATAAATAAGTTGGTAAATGTATTCTATGAATGGAATGATTTTACGAATTAAATAAACAAATTGATGGAATAACAGACGCGCGTAGACTTTTACTCATTGGTCAAATTTCTTTGATTAAATTAGGGTTTTAATCATATGCAAGGTTAAAAAAAGTTGCAATATATTTTAGATATTGAAATATAGAAATGAAGTAAGTTATGGAAGAATACGAACTTCCTACTAAATACTGAAAGGAGATTTGGTGGTATATCTCAAAAACAATTCATATTTTTCTTCGACGAAAAGTAAAATCTAATTATGAGTAACACTCACTTGCAAGAACGATGTTAATTAATTTTTCAGAAGCTTAAACGAGAACTTAAACGATTTTGGACGGGCTCAATCGTGTAATGGTTTCAACGTAAGGCTAATGAATAATTTGAAGGTCGTGGATTCCCAATTTAAAAAAAAAATTCTGTTGGGAAATATTGCACCTACCCTCGAGTGAATCCCGTGCTCGTCTATCTTCCTCCGAGTCTTAATCTGATGCTTAGCCATTAAAACAATGACTAAGCTGTATACTTCTTGCAAATGAGTGTAAAAAACGCAACATAACTGTCATGCACGGCTGCTACTCACGACTAAATACATCGATGGGCACTACAGGCGGTGGAATGGGAGACTCTAATTCCGAGCCCGGACTGAAAGTATCCGTGAATGCCGGGTCGGGTATCGGAGCCTCCGTGGTGGTGGTGCGTGCGTAGTCTTCGTCATCTTCGGGCGCGTCGGGCTCGTCACCTGATCCGCGTCCGTCCTCGTCGTCGGGTCCGGGGCCTGGGCCGTAACCGGATCCGGAGCTCTCGTCGATTTCTAGACCGGAGCCGTCATCGTCGATGAAGAGATCCTTGTCAGAGGCGAGAGGACCGTCGTGCTGTATGTGAACTACCGCTTCCGTCGGCTGAGCGCCGGCGGCACCGTCCTGCCGATAAGAAAGAGGTACTTAGAGAGAAGAATAGTGTGTTATCGACCATACAAAGAAATATTTTCTTTTGAATATAACTTAACACAATACAATCACGATAAAATTCATTAAATACCATTTCTAAAAGTCATTAAAGATTTGAACATAAGTTATGATTCTACCTAATACCTACATTTATTAAACAATATTAATATTTAATAACTTCATTACATTTTTATTCTTATTATTAGAACTTCAAATGACGTGGGCGATGATTGAGGACAATTTGAATGTATATTGGTACTATGGCCCACTAAGAAATATTAAAGTGTTAAGTACTCATTACTTCTGGTTCTTAGGTCTTAGTAATTGCAACGGGGTGCTTATAACTGCATACAGATATAATTATATGTAGCTACGCGACCTACTTCCAGAGGGTTCACGAAACTACCAATCAATATCAAAAAAATATGTATTTTTCGTTTTGTCACGAAATTAAAGCTAAAAATGAAACAAATTAACCTTTAACGTTAAACGTAACTACGAAAACGACGTTTCTCAAAGTCTAACAATGGTATAAACACATCATATTAGCAACCGAAATCTGTGACATACTGCCTAATCAATGGATTATGCCTATACTATAAGACCACTCTACTCACCTGCACTTAAACCACAATGCACGGTCACTACAAATTTGATTGTATTAAAATTAGGCCTGATTGTTTGTCACTTGGGCAGTGCTTCATTTGGTTAGCCAAGTTGTACAGTGAGAGGGAAAAATCGATATGCTGGGTGTGGTGTGGGGAGGGGAAGACAAACTGCAACGGTTCCCGAAGGCTGGCAATAGAGGCCGGGAAGGTTGGAAACAAGGTTTGTAGGAGGCTAGCCAGGAAAATGTTTCAACATTGTAGCGTAAGAGGGCGCTAGTTTGGCAAAACCGATATACGTCATATTGAATAAAAATTTGTTGTTTAAAAATGGTTCGGTTTATTAAATGAAATTCACTTTCGAACTATACACAATAATTTTGTGCTAAGTTAAACCTGGTTAAACTCTGATTACTGAAATTTATTGCAACGCACAGCGCGTGGTAATGAGAAAATATAATTTATAACCTCTAGTGATGCGCCCACTGTTATTTACAATTCTAAAATTTATTGATAGAAAATATAAACGCCTAACGAAAAATTAATAGCAATATATTCTACATTACAACTAATTAATAAATATAAAATTTAATTATAATTTTTAATTTAATATAAAATTTGCAAAAGGAGTTTCTTCAATTATGTGATATGCGTCAAAAAGATAATTATATATATAACAAGTTGGTGTTTAAATTGAGACAATGACAATAGGATGAATATTAATATTAAATTAAAATTTAAAAGGAAATATGCTTGCAACAAATATTCGGTATTCCGTCTATTTTCGGCGTCTTTTATACTATTCGACCGACTCGATAATTGATAGAATGGAAAATAAATTGATTAATTAAATATATGAAACTTTTTAAAATCTCTGATAAACATTTAAATAATAAATGGTTACGATTTCAATATTTATTTGAATTATCATCGTAAAACAAAGTAGTCATTGGTACATACATAAAACTCAATCACCTTCTATACCTTTTAGAAAAGTAAAGATTTTTTTTAGTTCAAAATTTGGAAGGAGAAGGGTATAGTTTAAAAAGAAAATGTTTTTTTCATTTTTGGGATTATCAGTAAAAAAAATAATTTTAAACCGTGGATCAAGAAAGTGGTTGATTGAAAGAGATGACCTCTCACCAAAATGGCGCAAAAATCTGAACATATTATTAGCTTATAAAAACAGTGCACATCACTAGTAACGTTGTAGAGCTGAATTTTGTTTTAACGCGTTACCTGTGTAACGGGTAGTCGGGTACCACCCTAATCTACGTTTCATAGTAAAGCTAGACATGTAATAATGTATGGTTAATATATAACACTGCTTGTAATTTATAGGTGTCAAATAAGAGCTCTATCGACCAATGAATTATTTGAATAATTTCGAATGCAGAGTATGCATACACCTTTTGAGTGATTACTTTTTGTATAAAATATTTAAAAAAATATGTTAAACTAAATCTCAAGTCGTAGTCAAGACCAAGTCGTCTTTATTGGGTTTAAAATATATAAGAAATTCAATTGGATAAAAAAATTATATTGAAAGGAAGCGCTTATGTTTTGTCTATATCTTTGTTATTAAAATTGTAGCATTTACCGCAATTGAAATCAGAATCGACATCATAAATACAAGTGATGTAACCAATAAGAACTCTTTACAAAATAACAATAATAATGGCCTAAACAGGAAGCGATTGAAAGTTCACCGCGCGGCCTCAAGCGTCCAAAAACTTGAACAAAGCTCTTTGAAACCTTTAAATATGCGATGAATTTAGAAGAGGGCTCAAAGGCGACTGTTTAAAACGTACAAAGTTTAATGGAATTCCGTCGTACTAAGGGAATATTAAGGAGATAATAACGTGGGCGACGACCGCGAAGGTGAGAGTAGTGCTTTTTAATACTTTGTTTAAATAACACATGATATAAGATTTAAAATAACTCAATGTTTTTTTTTATGTAAGATGAGGACAGACAGGCCAGTTCACTTGATGGAAGGAAAATTACTCCAGCCATCGTATCGCGTCTGTAGCTAAATGGCTAAACGTTAAGAGCGAGAGGATCCGAGTTCGAAACCCGGGGAAACAATGGGTTGTTTCTATCGGACAAGAAGTCTGATATACTACGTGCCCGTTTAAAACAAATTATTATAAATTAAAACAACCAGTAAAACGAACAGAATTGTGCTCGCCCCATGCCCAACGGTGCGAATCAGGATTTCACTTCAAAATATAACATCGAAAGTATTTTGACTTTGGATATTCGAAAAACGACAGACTAAAACCATAACGCGATTAAACTTCATGGCTTTAACATCTACCGCAGATTAAAAATGTGTTTAACCAAATAAGAGAGTGTTTAATGGAGGAAACATTGGCGGAGGCCCTTATCCTGTCAACTTTTCATTTTTGGAACCGTGGGCCTCGGTTCGCTAAGACGGACGCAAAGAGAATGCAACCGGGGAACCCTATTTAACAAATACAAACTTTTAAAAATTAAGGAAAGGCGAAGATGCCTTTAGCGAGGGTTGCCTTACCTTTGAGATAATCTTTAAGTGTTTTAGCATTTCTCATGAATAGTGCCCACATAAGAAGAATTCTTTGTCGAACGTAAAAATAAATGTAAGTTGAAGAAACACGAAGCATATTTATAACGATCGTAAAGAAGCTATGCACGAAATCGTTCCCTTTTAGATCATGGAAGTAGCTAACTCTTTTGATTTGTTGGCCTCACTCATTGACACCAGGGCCGGATTGGAAAATCGCTAAAATACAATATTTAATAACTAGTAATAGTACATATATTAATGTTCTATAAAGTTCTACGCTTTACTTTAGTATAATAATAATAGTAAAATGAACTATTAGAAGTTTGAGTCACGAAACGCTCTACGAGTTAACTTTATATTAATTATTTTCATACTTAAAAGTTAAACTGAATATTAAATATATGGATTCTAACATATTTTATTCGGTTGTTTTTACTTTTATAGTCATTAATGATTATTTGCTATTTCGATCGTTCTATTAGGCGTCGTAAATGGAAACAGCAAATATTTATAAAGCTTTTTAATACAACTCTTTTAACGGTTTTAAAACGTGATGTATTTTAGTTATACACTTGATTGTTTTGATACGTCTAAATAAACGTATACAGAAGTAATCAAAAAAGATCAAAATTAAAATTTTCAAGACATTCTTGGGCATTGACCAAGAATAATATCTGAATCCGTCCCCGTGCTGAACTTTAAGCGGTCTAACAGAAAGTTTCGCTGTGGTTTATGTATTTCGAGCCAAAAGAATTGTTCGCGTTCATGCGAAATTGCTACTTACTTTTCTATTTAAATGATTTATGAAAGCTGCTATAGTCATTCGGGAACTTGAATCGAAACAATTTGCGATTTTAAATTTTCGTACGAAAGGACCCAGTATTTATCCATTTAAACATTATTTTAGATTAGAAAATTTCAAGATACAGGCGGGACACAAAGATAAAAATATTGTCATGTTTTTAATGCACATGATGGCATTAGGTAAATGTTCGTTAATTTTTTTCAATCTAAAAGCTCGATTTTTTGGCTTAGGGTAAGACACAGTAGCTGGATTGGTTAAAGCGACAGGAAGGACGCTGTGGATGCTTCATGTGGCTTCAAATTCGAGCCCGAGTCGTTTTTTTTTCAATCTTAAACGATTTATCGAGGACCCGTAACTTACAATACGCCCGTAATAAACGTTTGACACACATTTTTTATCTCTTTCATATTTTATTATATAATATGCACTTTTTTATGATCTAGGTATCACAGGATCAGAGGGTCACTTGATGGTAGATGAGAAGTCCCAGCCATTATTGCTACAATAAGACCAACGAGCCTGCCACTATTGTGCCTAGCTTAATCGAAACATACATACCGCTAAATGTATATTAGATAGCTTGTATGTATACGACAAAGCACAGTAGATAAACTGTGAAATTTTCTTTCACATAATATAATAGCGTTTTTGTTACAGGCGTAATATTTTATAGGCGCAGAAAACAGGTTTGATTTACGATTTAAAGATCGGGTCGTAAATCACACACCATCCCCCCTAATGTTCCAAAGACGTGAAAACCAGTCGAACAAACGACTGGTGTAATTATTGATTATAGTATACTTATATTTTTTTGTTTATAATAATCTAAAATTTTTTAATTTTTGGATCTATAAGCGAAAACTTTTAATTGCTTTCCTATTATCTACTTTGGCGAATATCGTATTTTACTAGCTGATTTTTCAAATGCGAATAAATAAATAACTGTGATAGACAAAAACAAAAGATAGACGGTTTAAATCAAATATTAGTTTGAAATTCGAAAAAAAACTTATTTTTCACTACGCTTAGCAGTAACCGTGGTCACGCGGGAGACTACAACATTACACGTATAATAAGGCACCCCTTATATTGGTGCGGAGGTAAAAAAAAATCAGTAAATATACAAAATAATAAGAGACGTTTATGTAGTGAAACAAATTAATTATATTTCCAGTTTTTGTGTTCCACTTTCTGTCTTATACTATAAGTATACAGATCTTCAGATATGAAACTAATGTATATAATATTATTATTTACTAATAATATTATTTCTTGTAGTTCCCACATTTACCCACTTAAAGTGAAATGAAATAAAAAGCAATTTAGAAGTGGGTTGGTCCGTGGACGTTATCATTGCAATGATAACAAGGGGATCGGGGTTTTAATTTTCTCTGTCTTCAGGGACTGGAATAAATTATTTTCTCTGAAGCTTGCCACAGAATATAGGCTAATTTAAATAGCAGTAGGACAAAAACAAAATCATTAGTGTTTTGTTGTAATTATAACATCAGCTCACAAGAGTTAAACAAAATTAAGAGTTTTATTTATGATTGGAAAACTTACACAGACTGTTGGTACCCACAACACGATGTAGGCCGTGCGTTCGAGACCCGCCTGTATTAACGTTTTGTCAGTGTACAGTATTCTTAAGTTATTCTGTGGCTTAACTTTACATTGCGTGTTATATCAATTTTGCAACTATAAATGAATACATAACTGGATTAAAAAATAAAATTCTAAAGATTAAAATACCAGTAAACTAAAGTTAATTCATGGCATAGTTAGTTTCAACATAATTCCCTACTGCCTAAATATATTCTGTGGTCCCAAGGGTTATTATTTTATATTCATCTTCAAATGACCCATTTAGTTTATTCAAATAAGTTATTGAAAATGTTCTACTTTTTATTAACGGTTTATGGTATTTGAGTTCCAGATTAATAGAATTATGTTATTAAGTTTAGTCTAGTCTAGACTTTAGAATACGAAATTTTAAAGTTAATTTACCTTTTAGTACTGTCTGTAGTTAAGGCGAGTAGTACACATTGAAATAAAACACACAAACTGTTTAAAACGCGATATATTAGTTAAACTTATTTGAAAATTATTTTAACTACGACCCGACGTTTCGGATGCTTTGCAGCAGCCGTGGTCACGGGGAGACCTGAGACCACGGCTATTAAATACTACGATAAAGTGTGTTATTTAAAGCTTCTACTAAGTAGGTAGTAAGTTTGTAAATAAGAAAGTTCCAAAGATTTTTCCTTTCCTTAATACAAATATTTATTTGACAAATAATCTAGATCCAGATTTATATTGGCGTCTTCGGTTGAGCCCAGTATTACACACAGTATCTAAGAAGTGGTGTTGAACATGCGTAAAAGAAAAATAAAATAATTTCGCTCGGGAGGGCACAGAAGTCGGATCAAAGTAGGTTCTTGTCTATAAAAATATGAGAAAGAAATGGTACTATTTTTAGTTTGATGCAAGTGCCTGTAAATGACAGGCGTCTTATCAATGTCTAACAGTAGACTTTAGTCGCTTAGATACATCTGCAAACAGACACATTACTGTGTCCGTTTAACTAATGAGTTTTATTTGCATGAAACCTTTCGTTACTCGATTAAAAAGCCAGAGTTCGAATTTAGGACCGCTTGTGCTATAAACGTTACAGTTTAGTCTATTTTGTCCTTTAATTTGTATATTATGGTAGAAAGATAATTGAAATAAATAATTTTGTTTTGATCGAAGTCAATTTAGTCGCTACCGAATCGAGAACAATTACGATTAGATAATGAAAAGCATCAATAATTATGAGAGTTTCGATGCATCGATTCGCTAAGACGACTGGGGCTATGTTGACCCAGTTCAGTATAATTCCTGCAGGCTTACAGTTCCACGAACAAGGGATCATTAGTAATGTTCCGTTCGCGTGTACTTGTTTCGTAATTTAGACGAATTGATTGATGGTATGAATTTGAACAATGGCCGATACAACGAATCGATAAGGGTATTTTTTGATGTTATATTGTATACAGACGCATATGAACCTAATAAACGGCTCTTTCAATTTCAGGTAGTGAGAAAAAATAAAATTACATATTGACGATTAATAGAGAGGCCGACTATCTTAATTATCTATCTTGTTACAACTCGTAGGAACCATGTCTTAATTTGAATAAGTTGAGCCTTTTTTTATTTTCTGTAGTTTACGCGAGTAGTATACATTGGAGTAAAACATTTTTGACGGTTTAAAATTCTAAATATATAAGTGAACTTGTTTAGTTTCGGATGCTTTGCATCAACCGCGGTAATTGGGGGACTGATGATTGAGGATGTCAGTAATAATCACATTTGTTTTAAATTAGATATTGATGTTCATAATCGCACTTCGTTACAATCATGATGGATCTATTTTG